GTCGCTTAGTTTTTTTATACAACCGCAAAATAATTTTTGTGGTCGTATATTGGTATGACGTTGGCGTCGTCGTCGTCGTCGTCGTCCGAAGACGCATTAGTTTTCGCACTCTAACTTTAGTTTAAGTGAATGGATCTCTATGAAATTTTACCATAAGGTTCAATACCACAAAAGGAAGGTGGGGATTGATTTTGGGGGTTATGGTACCAACAGTTAAGGAATTAGGGGCCAAAAAGGGGCCAAAAATAAGCATTTTCTAGTTTCCAGACAATAACTGTGGAATGGTGTATGGATCTCTCTGAAATTATACTACAAGTTTCCATACCACAAAGGGATGGTTAGGATTTGCTTTGGGGGGTTATTGCTCAAACCGTTTAAGAATTAGGGGCAAAAAAGGGGGAAAAACAAGGTTGTCCTCATTAATGGACAAATACTTTAGTACAAAACATAATTTAAAGCAGTGTAAGGGAGATAAATCAAATACATCATTGAAATTATCTCCCTTACACTGCTTTTAAATTATGTATAAAGTAATGGTTAATGAACAATTAAGATAATTTAAAACAGTGTAAGGGAGGTAATCCAAATACAACGTTTTGGTTACTTCCCTTACACTGCTTTTAAATTATGTTTTAAGAAATGCATATTTATAAAGGAAGACCAGTATGGCGCATTAGATTTGTAAAATCTTTGACCACATTTATTTATTTGTTATGCCGAATCTAACCGTGTATTTAGATTTTTAATTTTGGGTCCAGTTTTCAAATTGGTCTACATTAAGGTCCAAAGGGTCCAAAATTAAACTTTGTTTGATTTTAACAAAAATTAAATATATGGGGTTCTTTGATATGCTGAATCTAAACATGTGTTTAGATTTTTGATTATGGGCCCAGTTTTCAAGTTGGTCCAAGTTGGGGTCCAAAATTAAACTTTGTTTGATTTCAACAAAAATTAAATATATGAGGTTCTTTGATATGCTGAATCTAAACATGTATTTAGATTTTAGATTTTTGGCCCAGTTTTCAAGTTGGTCCAAATTGGGGTTCAAAATTAAACTTTGTTTGATTTCAACAAAAATTGAATATATGGGGTTCTTTGATATGCTGAATCTTACCATGTATTTAGATTTTTTATTTGTGGGCCCGCTATCAAATTGGTTCATATTAAGGTCAAAAGGGTCCAAAATTAAACTTTGTTTGATTTCATCAAAAATTGAATTATTGGGGTTCTTTGATATGCCAAATCTAACCGTGTTTTTAGATTTTTAATTTTGGGTCCCGTTTTTTAAATTGGTTTACATTAAGGTCCAAAGGGTCCAAAATTAAACTTAGTTTGATTTTAACAAAAATTGAATTCTTGGGGTTCTTTGATATGCTGAATCTAAACATGTGTTTAGATTTTTGATTATGGGACCAGTTTTCAAGTTTGTCCAAGTTGGGATCCAAAATTAAACTTTGTTTGATTTCAACAAAAATTGAATATATGGGGTTCTTTGATATGCTGAATCTAACCATGTATTTTGATTTTGGACATTGGACCATAATAGGTAAATTAAAAAAATTGAAGTTCTTAGACCACTTTCTCTCTGTGTCAGAAACCTATGCTGTGTCAAATATTTAATCACAATCCAAATTCAGAGCTGTATCAAGCTTGAATGTTGTGTCCATACTTGCCCCAACTGTTCAGGGTTCGACCTCTGCGGTCGTATCAAGCTGCGCCCAGCGAAGCATTTTATTGTATATAATATCATACAGTCTATACGCTTTTGAAACTGACCCTGTTTAACCGAACAATTTTCTGTGTAAGAGTTATCTCCCTGTCAAGCACTTCTCTTTCAAATCTCACCACTTCTCCCTCTCAATTTCAAAAAGAGAAGTCACTTCTCCTTATGATTCTGAAGTAGTGTGAGCCCTGATCTCCCAGAACACATTTTTTCTTGTTATGAGATCTCCTTCACAACTGTAAAAGAAAGCGACAAAGTTATTTTTCCAAAATGCTCATTATATCCTCAGGAGGTTACGTTTTATTTTGACCGAGGCTATCCGGAGACTCCATATGAGAGTTATTCCCCCTTATGCTTTTGATATAAGTGATATGCATTTCTAACTGGTAAACTATAAGTGATAGAGACCTAAGGTCTTTTGATTTGAGGTCCTTGGTCCAAAAGAAAGAAAATTAGGTCAAGGTCAGAGGTCAAGGTCATATTCTAAATTTAGATTTTGGCTTAATTTCACTTCTTTTCAAAAACCGTATAATATATCGACAACATATTTTTACAAAATTGTTAGTTGCGACATGTCGTAACACATACATTTTGGTTGAAAAGGTACGCTAACATTAAATTAGAGTTTTCTCCCCTCTTAGATTTAAAATTACGTGTATGGTGATATAACTTATTTACCATATATAATAAAGACCTAGTGTCTTTTGATTTTAGGTCCTTGATTTATGACCTTCAAATTGAGCTCAAGGTCATTGGTAAGTTTGACAATCTAGATTTTGACCTTTGCTTTTACTTCTTATGTATACATGATAAAGCCATGGGACTTTATGCATTAGGTTGCAAGCCATATGACCTTGGAAAAGCCAACCGGAAGTGACCTTGTGTAAACCGGAAGTAGCTATTTTTTGTACCTGTGTAATGTACAAGTATATAGAACCATATATTTTTGGAATCAGTGTTAGGTAAACTATCAAATAATACCGGAAGTGACATTTTTCAAACCAGAAGTAACAAATTATCTTCCTTATTTAAGAAAAAAATGTCTAGAAACCATATATTTTTTTAAACCAGCGTACAATAAGCTATCATTTGACGCTGGAAATAACATTTTAAACCGAAATTTAATATTTTTGTATCAAAATAGATCTTTTCGGGTGGAAAGACTTTCAATTGTTCTCTGTTCTCTGAACAATTGGTTTTCAATTTATTTTGTAATCTTTCAGAGATTTCCACTACACCTAAAGTAGAACAAAACTTGGCTTTAAATTGATGCAAACTAGAAAAAAACTTTTTATGTACTGTCTGACAATGGACCAGATATATAGACTACCATAACATTCTGCAAGATACAACATTGTAGTAAACAAATGTTTTCAGCCACAGGTCTTCTACAGTTTCTCTGTTATCTTTCTGCCCTACATGTAAGATATTAGTTACTTTTCATAAAAAGTTAGTTTAATCATTCTACAAATACAAGTTTCCAGAAGTAAAAATTGATTTTTGAAATGACTTTCTTTGTCTTTCTGCGATGCATCCATTTGAAAACATTGTCTATAGAAATCAGTTTAAAAATTACATTTTGAATAATTTATCTTTTTCAAATTTAAAATGGTTTTATATCGATCTTTGGAATTGACATTTAAATTTTTTTATACAGCCATGTAAATAGTTACATAGCATCAAGTCACCATAACAACATGAAAATAACTTTTGGAAATAATGTACACTTTACTTAATAGACTGACAACTTCTTTCATGAATGTTAGTTTAGATATTCAGAGAAACATCACATCCCATTGAACAGAAAATGAAATATAACCAGTTGTATAGGCTTATGATAATAAACTGAAATGAATATTACAGATAACACAAGCTTTTTGAGACAAGGAAATGAAAATTAAAAAAAATGACAAAAGAAGCAAAAGCCAGTTTTGTATAACTGACTCAGCAATAATAATAACAGATCTTCAACAATTAACAAAAATAGAAATATTAATTAAGTAATCCAATTGTAACTTAAAATTGTTTGAGTTTATCCAGATAAACTGTAATCATTTATTAAGAAGCTTAATTTTATCTGCATAGAATTGATCCTCTTCCCAACCAAACAGAGGATTTTATCTACTCAATATTCACTTAAGAATTCAAAGAAAATTTAAATCACAGATTTCCCAACTTATAGACAAAATCAATGAATTTTATTTCATTTTGATGATTATATAAAGTTTGATATATTGACACAATAAGTATATTCATGTTAATATTTGTACAATTGTATTTACATGAATGTGAAGTACTAGGGCACCTGTTGTTAATGAAAAAGTTATGGCTGAAAGATTGTTATTTGATCTGTGGCTTCACCTTTTTGTCAAGAAGAAAAAATAGGTTTAAGTACAGAAATTCAATAACTACATTTTTTGTCAAGAAGAAAAAATAGGTTTAAGTACAGAAGTTCAATGATTATTTTAATTTGATTCTTCATCGACAAAGGAGGTTTTAAAATATTGATAAAATACTTAAAACTCTGCTTTTAGTCGTAACTTTTGTGAAGGTGATCGCTTGGTGATATTTTTATGTTAAATAATGGAGTAAGGTGTTGGATTTTGTAACTGCTAGTTTCAACATTACATCACTCAATTAAAATTCATTTTTTCTAAGCTTTGAGTTCTGATAAAATAAATTGAAACAGTTTCTTCTGTTATTAGGAATAATTGTTACAAAATAGCAAGCATGAGCTAGACAGGTGTTCTGAGAAGGAACATACCTGACAGTGTAACCATACCTACCTGTCTGACAGGTCTCACTACAACTAAGGTTTTTAGAACTTTTTTACAAAACAATTTATGCTCATCATATGAATAAAGAGAGATGTTGGGTAAATGGCAATAAGACAGCAACTAAACACAAAAAAGAACAAAAAACATATGGTCTTCCTGTGCCTCTTCAATACGTCAAGCCTTAAATCCTTCCCTGATTAAAAAATTTGTGAATAAATTTTACAGAGACTATCAAAGAGTGGCCATCAAAATGAGGGAGAAATTTAAAGATTTTACAGGAAAAGACAACCTCTGACAAGATTTCAGACGAGACAGAAATGTGAACATATGACATGCACACCATATTCAATGCTAATTACATCTTTTTTCAATAAATATTTCATATGTAACATTTAAATCTAATTGATAGCCTACCTAGTTTCCATCTTGTCCTTCTGTATTTATACTTTAATGTAACGTTATGGTTTATTGGTCAATAGTTTCTTCATTTATTTTCACAGCTTGCTGCAGACTCTGAAAATGATGACAATAACCTGGAACAAAAAAGACAGCAAGGCAAAAAAGTGGTTTATGGACAAGTTATACAGGTACGGTAAAATCACATAACATTGGATCATTGTATCTGCTTTGTTCAAGGCTAGGATGTGTCAGTACTTGTGTTAATGTAAATGTACTGAGACCCATCCCTTATTCACATTTAATGAAACGGAAACAGGATATTGATAACTTTTTCATCTGTTAAATACTTAAGATTGTGCAAAGCATATTTTTAACCATTAAAAGATGTTGATTACATAATTTATTGTCCTCAAAACACTACAAAATTAGTAACAGTCATCTTTAGCACACCTTGGCATCTGTAGTCTCATGTCCATCATTGTCCGTCATTCATCCTTTTACTTTTACAAAAATCTTCTTCCCTTTCATATTTGGTAGAATTTTTAGTCGTCATATTTTCTTGACCATGTTATATCGTCAGTTTAATTTGACAATTTTTATGTGAAATATGGGACCATTTTTAGCTCACCTGGCCCGAAGGGCCAAGTGAGCTTTTCTCATCACTTGGCGTCCGTCGTCCGTTGTCCGGCGTCGTCCGTCGTCGTCCGGCGTCGTCCGTCGTCGTCCGTCGTCGGCGTTAACTTTTTACATTTTGAACTTCTTCTAGAGAACCACTGAATGGAATGAAACCAAACATGGCATGAATGTTCCTTATGAGGTGCTGACCAAGTGTTGTTACTTTGTAGCCGATCCATCATCCAAGATGGCCGCCAGTGGGGGACTTAGTTTAACATAGGACCCTATGGGAAATGCATACAAATGACTTCTTTTAGAGAACCACTGAATGGAATGAAACCAAACATGGCATGAATGTTCCTTATGAGGTGCTCACCAAGTGTTGTTACTTTGTAGCCGATCCATCATCCAAGATGGCTGCCAGCGGGGGACTTAGTTTAACATAGGACCCTATGGGAAATGCATACAAATGACTTCTTTTAGAGAACCACTGAATGGAATAAAACCAAACATGGCATGAATGTTCCTTATGAGGTGCTGACCATGTGTTGTTACTTTGTAGCCGATCCATCATCCAAGATGGCCGCCATCGGGGAACTTAGTTTAACATAGGACCCTATGGGAAATACATACAAATGTCTTCTTTTAGAGAACCACTGAATGGAATGAAACCAAACATGGCATGAATGTTCCTTATGAGGTGCTGACCAAGTGTTGTTACTTTGTAGCTGATCCATCATCCAAGATGGCCGCCAGCGGGGGACTTAGTTTAACATAGGACCCTATGGGAAATACATAAAAATGTCTTCTTTTAGAGAACCACTGACTGGAATGGAACCAAACATGGCATGAATGTTCCTTCTGAGATGCTGACCAAGTGTTGTTACTTTGCAGTCGGTCCATCATCCAAGATGGCCGCCAGCAGGGGACTCAGTTTAACATAGGACCCTATGGGAAATACATACAAATGTCTTCTTTTAGAGAACCACTGAATGGAATGAAACCAAACATGGCATGAATGTCCCTTATGAGGTTCTGACCAAGTGTTGTTACTTTGTAGCCGATCCATCATCCAAGATGGCCGCCAGCGGGGGACTTAGTTTAACATAGGACCCTATGGGAAATACATACAAATGTCTTCTTTTAGAGAACCACTGAATGGAAAGAAACCAAACATGGCATGAATGTTCCTTATGAGGTGCTGACCAAGTGTTGTTACTTTGCAGTCGGTCCATCATCAAAGATGGCTGACAGCAGGGGACTTAGTTTAACAAAGGACCTATGGGAAATACATACAAATGTCTTCTTTTAGAGAACCACTGAATGGAATGAAACCAAACATGGCATGAATGCTCCTTATGAGGTACTGACCAAGTGTTGTTACTTTGCAGTCAGTCCATCATCCAAGATGGCCGACAGCAGGGGACTTAGTTTAACAAAGGACCTATGGGAAATACATACAAATGTCATCTTTTAGAGAACCACTGAATGGAATGAAACCAAACATGGCATGAATCTTCCTTATGAGATGCTGACCAAGTGTTGTTACTTTGTAGCCGATCCATCATCCAAGATGGCTGACAGCGGGGGACTTAGTTTAACATAGGACCCTATGGGAAATACATACAATTGTCTTCTTTTAGAGAACCACTGAATGGAATTGAACCAAACATTGCATGAATGTTCCTTATGAGTTGCTGACCAAGTGTTGTTACTTTGCAGTCGATCCATCATCCAAGATGGCCGCTAGGGGGGGGGGGCTTAGTTTAACATAGGACCCTATGGGAAATACATACAAATGTCTTCTTTTAGAGTACCACTGAATGGAATGAAACCAAACATGGCATGAATGTTCCTTATGAAGTGCTGACCAAGTGTTGTTACTTTGTTGTCGATTTACTGTTCAAGATGGCCACCAGGATATTTTATTAAATAACGGGACCAATATTAATCAAAATTTGGCCTCAATCATTATTTGGGTATCTGTTATGATTTTTATCTATCTTTACATGATTTCTAAAACCAAAGTAGAGTCAGGTGAGCGACACAGGCTCTTGAGAGCCTCTAGTTTAAGTAATGACACCTTGTGAATGCAACTCCTCTGAGCCTGTTTTACAGAAAGCTCTCATAATTGTTTGGTTTATTGTCATTCATGTGCATTTGCCCATATTTTCTGTAATTTTGTTTCGACAATTTTTACAGGACTTTGGGACACTGATGTTGAGAAAGCAACTTGTCTGTGACCATTTTACAGAAAGCTTTCATACTTGGTTGGATTTTTTGCCATCATGTGTAGCTGACTATATTATACTGTTATTTTGATCAAACCATTTTTACAGAATTTATGGGACTTCGACCATTTTTTTAGTATCTTAAAAACACCTTGTGAATGCAATTTCTCAGAGACAGTTTTACAGAAAACTCTAATACTTGGTAGGATTGTTTGCCTTCATGTGTAGTTGACCATATTGTACCACCATTTGGGAGTAATGGGACTTTGACCATTTGCTGAAGTATTGTTGACCATATCATGCTGTCATTTTGATTCTACCATTTTTACAGGAGTTATGGAACTTTGACTCTTTTTTTTAGTATTGTGACAAAACCCTGTGATTGCAACTTCTCTGTGACCTTTAAACAGAAAGCTATCATGCTTTAACCATATTTTACTGTCATTTTGTTCCAACTATTTTATTGGGAGTTGTAGGACTTTTCCCATATTTTGACTATCATACCACAATGACACTTTGTGACTGCAATTTAATTTCTCATTTTGGCATAGCAATCTATTTGATTGTTATATTTAAAACCATAATTGATAAATAGAAACTTGGTCTGGCAAAAATAATCAGAAAGAGCATATATACTGTATCCTCCAGTTTCCATTCAAGACAAATAGTCAGTTTTATGCAAAAATGCCAGCTGAGCAATACAGGCTCTCTAGTTTTTAGATGTTTTCTCTTACAAATATGCTTATTGTAAATATCTGTTTTTTTCACACAAATTTGTATATTTAGTTTTGGTGGAACAAATTCCTTTAGTCACACTTTTTCTAAATGAATATATAATTTTCTGTCTTGCAGAACTCAAATCCATGCGATATCTTACTCAAACCTGTGTGAACTTTTAATTACTGAATCTGTTTTTTACAGATAGTTGTGAAATTGTATAAAATCAGATAAGATGTATACTAAAAGTTTACAAAAGCATTAGAAATAATTTATGGAGATTAAGAAAATCCGATAACTGTTTAAATGTAGAGGTAAACAAGTTATGTATATGTAAATATGTTTTACATATATTTGATGGCAGCTTAAAAAAATACTATGCTTAGTATTTAAATGAATAACTGCCAACATATAACCTTTTTCTTATCATATACTATCCAACCTTAAATGCAAAATCAATTAATTCAACTTGTAGAAGGGTCATTATACATCAAGATATTTAATAGACAATTAAGTTCAACAAAAAGAATCGTGACTCTATGGAATAAAGGATTTAAATGTTTGTTTTGGTGATATCTGGTTACCTGATAATCAGCTGACTATCAAAGTACTTGTATGAAATGAGCAATTTTTTATTCAGGTCAATTGTTTATTCTAAAATATTTTTTTTTTGTTTCCACTCTTTTCTGTTAGTTTCTCAGTTTTGTTCATGGGTATTAGTAATCGTCAAATAAAACAGTAAAAAAACATTTCATTGAAGAGTAAAAATTTCTCATTCCTCTCACTTAATCATGACAGCACATCTTTGAATTATAACCAAACCCAATATTTACAACTGTTCATGTTAAAAAATGTTACATATTGAAATCAATGTTGCTTAGTTGAAATAGCTTGCTTGAATAGATTGACAAGTTTCATCTGAAAAAAGTAGGATTTCGGTTGATTCAGATCTTTTTAAAATTAAAATAGATTTGACCATTTTTTGCAAGAAAATAAGTTTCTGCTTTGGTGTTAAGTTCCTTTTGCCCTGGGACTCCGATGATGTGATGCATTACTTTAAAAAGAAAAGATAAAAGGTGAACCATATGGAATATTTTATGACAATTTTACGCATAAAGATTAAATATAATATTATTCAAAATTTTGAAAGATAAAAAAGCACAAGTATTAACAAAAGATAATTTCAAAACACATGTATATGTTAAGCCTGTCTGAAATCTGAACAGTATGACAAAAACAGTGAGAAAGGAAGAGTTCTTTTTTGCGAAATCTTCAGCAAGGAATGAAATATGAATATGTAAAATTGAGAATGGAAATGGGGAATGTGTCAAAGAGACAACGACCCGACCATAGAGCAGACAACAGCCGAAGGCCATATGTATATATGTATATATGCAATAATATAAAACAATGCTTTATTTTTATATGAAAATTGGTTTTAATATTATACATCAACATTCTTATAAATATTCAAAAGATTGATAACTGCATTGCTTTTTATGTGTTGATTGTAAAGATTTGTATGATATATTTTACAGTTACAACACACATTTACACAGAAATATATCCATGTTAGCACCACAAAAACATCATCAACAGAGAGTAACAACATGGCTGTAAGTATTTGATTAACAAAAGTTAGTTGAAGTCCTTTAGAATAATGCTCTTTATCTGAACATCGATGAAATTCAAATGGGTGACCTTAGTCTAAACATTAGCTTTACAGAAAGACAAAACCACATCAAACCAATTGGTCTTGTAAACTGTGTTACTTATAATTTAAAAACTATTTCCATTAAACAAAAAATCTCTCAAATCTCTGTTGTTAAACCAACTGTTAACTCCAACTTTCAACATATTACTGTTGGTGTTCTTTATTGTTAACTAAAGTTCATAACACTTTGTTGAATGTTGAATATGAATAAATTATATAGCCTCACAGGATCAGTTTGATGAAAGGAATATGACATTTTGTCTGTTTGTTCCTACTTCCTGGTCAACTTTTAAAAGAGTTTTTACATTCCAACATAACGGATGCATCATGGGTAGTAATAAAGGTCTGGAAAAAATTGTTCATTTATAAACAACTGACCCTTGTAAAGTTAAAATAAGTTCCAAAGTTCCAATATCATGATACCTGTAAACTTATACCATAATGTGATCAAATAACAGTTTTAATATTCATAAAAATGATAATGACTGTTTAAATAATTAAGATTGTTTAGGCATTGGTAATATTTTAGAGCACATTATATATCAATAACTACCATATGATAATATTAGAATATGGATCCTGATTTTTTATTGATATTTGTATTTTGATACGGTGAGCATCAATATTAATGCTTTTCTGTGTCAAAGAATGTACTATCAGCTTTGTTTATATTGAATATGAATCAATGATTTAAATCATTAAACTGTCATCCGATATCAAAGTAACTGACAAATATATTGAGTTCATAGTTGTTGATTTTTAAAAAGGTTAAGAGGTTGTTTTGGTATTTGATAATCTCACCTTTAATTTTTACTTCATAAATTTTAACATAGAAACTTATTTGGTTTTAAAGTTTCATTATTTTTGAATAATATTTATGCCCCTATCACTCAGTCTTCTGTCTGTCTGTTTATTACCTAAAAATTAAATTGAAGTCAATAATGTATAGGTAATTACAGATCAAGTTTTGGCTTTCTTTATGGACGTTTGAATTAAAAACAAATATCATAGTTGTCTCATTGGCACTCATACCACATCTTCATATATCTAAATAATCAAAACTGTACTTCTCTGTTGATTAAAAAAAATAAAATTAAGTTGAATCTTGATATGTAGATTTATAATTGTGAGCTACAGATCAAGTTGATGTTTCCTTCCATAACATGAAAAAAAACCTATGCATTAATTGTATATGTACCTCAATTAGGGGGGGGGGGGGGGGGGGCGGCTGTAGACCATAAAATACTGGTCAAATATAGAATCCTGGGATACTTGCACAGTGACCTCAAACATGTGACTGCCTGTAAAATGCTTGTAACTGAAATGTTATGGTGGACAGAGTGATAATGAAAATAATACAGTGTAAATTTAATGCACTAAATAATTAGTGTCAATCTACCCCAGCAGTGATCATGATGGCCTTACGCAATCCTCATAAAAAATTAAGTAGACATTATAGACTCATTGTAAAACTAAATCAAGTTTAAGTTGGTAAAGGAATGAAATAACTAGTTTGTATGGACAATGAATTCAAATATTCCATATAAACCTGAATGTCATGAATAAATAAACTGTAGTCAATAGACTCAATAAATATATACATACATATTGTTTAAATAAGAAGTTTTAGCTAACCTGAAGTTTGAAATTGAAATAATATAATTTTAACATCTACAAAATGTTTTTCTTTAGCTTTCACACGACTTTCATCTATATGATATATATATTTGACTGGCTGTACAGTAACCTATAGTTGCTTTCATCCATTTCATTTGGTTTCTGGTGGATAGTTGTTGACAATCATACCACATCTACTTATTTTTATTGTAAATAATACTAATTATTTATTTCAAACAACATGTACATCACTAAGGAAAATGTGATTCCATACCACTGGAAAATTTGATTCCCATACCACTTAAAAATGTGATTCTCACACCACTGGCACTCATACCACATCTTCATATATCTAAATAATCAAAACTGTACTTCTCTGTTGTTTAAAAAAAATAAAATTAAGTTGAATCTTGATATGTAGATTTATAATTGTGAGCTACAGATCAAGTTGATGTTTCCTTCCATAACATGAAAAAAAACCTATGCATTAATTATATATGTACCTCAATTAGGGGGGGGCGGCTGTAGACCATAAAATACTGGTCAAATATAGAATCCTGGGATACTTGCACAGTGACCTCAAACATGTGACTGCCTGTAAAATGCTTGTAACTGAAATGTTATGGTGGACAGAGTGATAATGAAAATAATACAGTGTAAATTTAATGCATTTGAGGCGCTTTTCTGGAATTACCTTCATCAGGAACACTCATAGCCAAAAAGTTTAAACTCAAGTAGGTATAAGAACCAAAAAAGTTTTACTTGCAATCACATATGTTACAATTAACAGCTTTGGCCGACTTTTGAAAAGACAGATGCATATTTTGGCAAGTTATAAAATTAGACCACCTAAATATTGTATGCCAAAACTTCACAGTTTGGCTTAAAAACCAAATGATAAAATCAGATAAGTTATATGATAGATTTAGATATGTTTTATTCTAAAAGGATTTAGATAAGAGAAATGCCATTAGCTATATATGGATGAGTTTAGATAATAGTGCTGTTTGAGGTATTTAAATAATCAGTTAGGATTGTTGCCATGAAGGTCCTCATAATCAAGAGATAGAAGTAAAAGGTGACAAAATTAAATAATTAGTGTCAATCTACCCCAGCAGTGATCGGCTTTGTAGATCAACAGATGATGGCCTTACGCAATCCTCATAAAAAATTAAGTAGACATTATCGACTCATTGTAAAACTAAATCAAGTTTAAGTTGGTAAAGGAATGAAATAACTAGTTTGTATGGACAATGAATTCAAATATTCCATATAAACCTGAATGTCATGAATAAATAAACTGTAGTCAATAGACTCAATAAATATATACATACATATTGTTTAAATAAGAAGTTTTAGCTAACCTGAAGTTTGAAATTGAAATAATATAATTTTAACATCTACAAAATGTTTTTCTTTAGCTTTCACACGACTTTCATCTATATGATATATATATTTGACTGGCTGTACAGTAACCTATAGTTGCTTTCATCCATTTCATTTGGTTTCTGGTGGATAGTTGTTGACAATCATACCACATCTACTTATTTTTATTGTAAATAATACTAATTATTTATTTCAAACAACATGTACATCACTAAGGAAAATGTGATTCCATACCACTGGAAAATTTGATTCCCATACCACTTAAAAATGTGATTCTCACACCACTGGAAAATGGGATTCCCATACCACTCAAAAATGTGATTCCCATGACACTAGAAAATGGGATTCCCATACAACTGGAAATGTGATTCCCATATCACTGGAAAATTATTTAGAACTCATGATAAATAAAAGATGTGGCTATATGTTAATGAGGCAGCAACCCAAGGACACATAAAGATAGTAATAGGTTTATCTATGGCCTTGAACAATATATAAGTGTCTGTACAATGTGTCAATCTTTAGATATCTAGCATCCAGACAGGTTAACAGTGACAACACAAAGTCTGCAATCAATACCAAGGCTGGCCTTTTTTGAGTGATGTTGATGGAGTCATCAATAATTGTTGAAGTTTGCAATAAGGTCAGTTTAAGGGGAATTTGTAATGATAGGTCAATGACATTTGGTAGGAATTTGTATCAGCATTGGCACATCTCATTCAATGATATTTGGTAGGAAGTTGTATCAGCATTGGCACATCTCATTCAATGACATTTGGTAGGAAGTTGTATCAGCATTGGCACATCTCATTCAATGACATTTGGTAGGAAGTTATATCAGCATTGGCACATCTCATTCAATGACATTTGGTAGGAAGTTGTATCAGCAATGGCACATCTCATTCAATGACATTTGGTAGGAAGTTGTATCAGCATTGGCAAATCTCATTCAATGACATTTGGTAGGAAGTTGTATCAGCATTGTCAAATCTCATTCAATGACATTTGGTAGGAAGTTGTATCAGCAATGGCACATCTCATTCAATGACATTTGGTAGGAAGTTGTATCAGCATTGGCACATCTCTTTCAATGACATTTGGTAGGAAGTTGTATCAGCATTGGCACATCTCATTCAATGACATTTGGTAGGAAGTTATATCAGCATTGGCAAATCTCATTCAATGACATTTGGTAGGAAGTTGTAACAGCATTGTCAAATCTCATTCAATGACATTTGGTAGGAAGTTGTATCAGCATTGGCAAATCTCATTCAATGACATTTGGTAGGAAGTTGTATCAGCATTGTCAAATCTCATTCAATGACATTTGGTAGGAAGTTGTATCAGCAATGGCACATCTCATTCAATGACATTTGGTAGGAAGTTGTATCAGCATTGGCAAATCTCATTCAATGACATTTGGTAGGAAGTTGTATCAGCATTGGCACATCTCATTCAATGACATTTGGTAGGAAGTTGTATCAGCATTGGCACATCTCATTTTCATTGTGATTATTTTGCTCCTTCCCCTCAGTCATTTCCAAAGTTTTCACACTGGCAGGACATATCTCTGTGTCAACAGTTAATTATTTAATTTACAATATTTTCAGAATTTATAAATATTACAGAATGTCCTGAATTACCCCCTACCTGTGCCAGAATAGGGTTATTAAACTGTTGCTTAGTAAAGGGATACAACATATAGACTTCAAATTGGAAAATATTAGATTTATGAAGTAGATTCTTAGTTAGATCTTAACTATGCCCTATTCTTCTTAATTATTCTAAAACTTCAAAAATTGTGTGAAAAATAATGAAATGTTTTAGGATCTACATAATTTTGATAATCATCACCACTTCATTGTTAAAATTAGCTTGTAACAAGCAGACTAATAGAATATGACAGATGAAATATTTTGAACAATGAATCTATTCACTTAGATATTGATTTGTAAGACTGGTAACAGGAAAAGAAATATAGATTATCATACATCTCATGTTTTATTCTAATAGGTTTACATCTGTATTTATATGTTACATCTGACAGCAGTCATTACAAAAAGTGTTGTATATAGTACATAATAATATAAACTGAGTTCATGGCATGTTAGCATGCTATGTATAGTGTCTTGACTTTAAAGATTGACTGTGTTGAAGACCTTCTATAGAATGACAGGATGAAGAACAGCAATAAAAACACTTTCCCATGACTTTCTTCAATATGTACTTTTATCCTTTTGAAAAAATTCTTTTGATCTGATACCACCTGAAAAAAGATTTTTTTTATGTAATGTAAGATATTTATGTCTGATGAAAAAAAAACTACTGGTAAATTGTATTGAACAGGTATTCGCAGGAATAAGTTATTTTCTGCTAAATATTTTTATTTGGTGACCTAATCTCCTACTGTTCATATTTTTTACTACTAAAATATTGGTTAACAAGATTCGTTGGACATTTGAAAACAATAATAAGGTTTGTAAGGTTGACTTAAAAAAAACTCAAAAATAAGACTAACTATAAGAGATGTAAAATATTGATTAATGCTTATACAGAATTTTATTTGTTGTCTCTTTTTTGTTTCACCTGCCATAAAAGTTGGTTATGAAGGTGAGACATAGCCATAGCCATCCTATATTCCATTGTCTGCTTTGTCATCATCAAAGCTCTCTGTGATTAAAGAATTTTAGACATCAATAACTTTGTCAAATCTTCAAGGAATTTTATGAAACTTGGGACAGAAGCTTTTTTTTAGATCAAGAGATAGCATCTGGAGCAACTTTACAGTTCCATGGATTTTTCAGATGTAATTTGATATATTAGATAACAGAAGTGGTTTGACTTCAATTAAACACTAACCATTCAAAACAAAAAGGGATCTAAAGGTGGCAATGTTTTTTTTACTAGAAAGAACTATTTTCTATTTATTAGGTTGTGGCAATGGAATGAAGTGCAAAACATTTTCATTTTAATAGGTTGAGTAGATAGAAAGTAATGCCAAATATTTTCTTTTAATTAGGTTGAGTTGTTGGAAAGTAATGCCAAACATTGCCAGTTTAAAATCATGCCCAGGTACAAGGTCAAAGCTGAAGGAGATGTGGTAGGTATTGTTAACTAATTTGTGATCTGATGTGTTCTGAATACTATAGTCAAATGTATATGCAGAAGTGTTCTGCTTGTTTTGAAAGATTAAAAAGATTGAAGGAATACCATTCAGGTACATGTATACTCAAAATACAAAAATAATCATTAAAAAAAAAAAAAAAAAAGTACCACTAAAGGAAATGTTAACATAAATGATACAGTAATACGGTTAGGGTAACATAAATGATACAGCAATACAGTTAGGGTAACATAAATGATACAGCAATACAGTTAGGGTAACATAAATGATACAGCAATACAGTTTGGGTAACATAAATGATACAGCAATACGGATAGGGTGACATAAATGATAAGCAATACGGTTAGGGTGACATAAATGATACAGCAATAAGGTTAGGGTTACATAAATGATACAGCAATACGGTTAGGGTAACATAAATGATACAGCAATACGGTTAGGGTTACATAAATGATACAGCAATACGACAACACCTGTTCAACAAAAATGGACATTTTGAGCATTCAATATGGTATTTAACAAGGTATAAGTGCCTACAGACAAGGACTGCTGAAATTTTAATGACTCCTTGAAATAGTGGCATTACCAACAGCAGAATTCTTGATGCTATATTTGCAGTGAGAACATTTTTCTTATAGATTGTTTGACAGAAAAAAATTAAAAAAGATGAACCCCTAATTGTTCCTTTCTACTGAAAAATGTAGATTTGGTATTGAATTAAATTTCAAACTATGAAAAGAAATACAAATCAATTTTTACTGAAATAATTAGCAAAAGAAACATTTTTTTTTTAATTAACTGAAATGTATATGTATCTAATGACAATGCATATAGATATAAGGAATTTGTAGGTACAAGTGGATGATCAGATTGTGTTGGAAAGTATGAAATCTCCCGGGTCATTCCTCCATGTCAGTAAAGCATTCCTAGGACCTATGTCTGTGTACTCAAAAAGGTAAGTAAGGAAATGTAAAAGAACTTATAAAATTAAAGAAAACAGTTTTGATAAATGAAACTTAAACTCCCAACTAGATTGAAGAAGCTTTTAATTAATATGGTAAAATTAAATAAGAGAATTTTTAGTTATGTGTAAAAATTATTTCATGATGCATTGGTTTAGGGTATTACAAAATATTTGAAGATAATATTGTGTGAAATTTGAAGTCATTTTGTGACAAAGTTGTAAATCTAAAATAATATGATAGAGTTATAATTATATATTGACTGTTTTATGAATCACTAGATAGTGAATAAAATATTTCCTAGGAAGATATAAAATTCCTTGTACATTGAATTTGTAAAACTATCTTTTGCTTATGTAACTTTTTTAATGAAATAAGTCTGATGGATTTGGCTGAGAAAAATAAAACTTTATGTTTCAGTTTTGAGTTGAATTTATCAGTACAGCAGACAGGATTTACAGTATATAGGAAGTACAAACCCCATATAGAAGACGACAATAAAGTCAGGGTAAGTAAACAAAAATAAAACTCACTGTTTCCATTTTATTCATAATTTTTGGCTAGGTAATGAGTGTTTTCATAAATCATGTCTTACACCTTGACATTAAAATGTTATGATAGTATTTAATTCATTTCTTGTAGTTATATAAAATTGTGTTTGACTGTTGACAAATTTTAAGTATGAAGCACTTTCCTACTTCATGCAAAATATGCTTATTTTCATCTCTTTTTACATACCAATAAATCTAAAGACACATTTATTTCTTAATTGAGTTCAGAATGTCAAACAAATTCTTTTATATGCAAAGTTCTTATTCCTTTATTGTATAATTTGGAAGAAATTTGACAATTTTATATTTCGTATTTTAAAGGTGGGTGATATCATAAGATTTTACCATAAAGAAATGGAGGCCTACCTCGTGGCTGAAGGACTGTTCGATGATGAACTCTTGGAGGATGGTTAGATTTATTTTTTTTAAGTACAAAGAGATGCAAAATATTTAACTATGTATACACAACACATATTTAAGAAATACTTTTTTTTTCTTAAATATACTAAATCTAAGCATTTTATCCACAATAAAATGTAAAATAACAATACATATCTTACTATAATGGATGACTAACAATATAATACATTATTGGCTTTCTTGGTGCTACTCATTCATTTAAAAAGAAAATTTAACTTTATAAATATTTAAAACTATCAAACTCTGTGATATCTTGTACCAAAAAGTCATACATAAATTACCTTACAATACTGGGGAGATCCCTGCTGAGCTAACTTTATACTGTATGAAATGTTCACCTGGTATGTTCCTGGCAGGTGTAAAGCTTTATAGACTGAAGAGAATAAATGACCTGGGGAGATCCCTGCTGAGCTAACTTTATACTGTATGAATTGTTCACCTGGTATGTTCCTGGCAGGTGTAAAGCTTTATAGACTGAAGAGAATAAATGACCTGGGGAGATCCCTGCAGCTAACTTTATACTGTATGAATTGTTCACCTGGTATGTTCCTGGCAAGTGTAAAGCTTTATAGACTGAAGAGAATAAATGACCTGGGGAGATCCCTGCAGCTAACTTTATACTGTATGAATTGTTCACCTGGTATGTTCCTGGCAGGTGTAAAGCTTTATAGACTGAAGAGAATAAATGACCTGGGGAGATCCCTGCAGCTAACTTTATACTGTATGAATTGTTCACCTGGTATGTTCCTGGCAAGTGTAAAGCTTTATAGACTAAAGAGAATAAATGACCTGGGGAGATACCAGCGGAATAAGAATTATACATTAAAATACATAATTTTTCCTGGGGAGATCCCAGCGGAATAAGAATAATACATTAAAATACATAATTGTTCCTGGGGAGATCTTGGCAGAAATTAACCTATCTGATGTATTATTGAATTGGGGGAGTATGATTCCCCTCGAATTATAAAGGCCAAATTGAATGAGTTCTTAAAACTGAATGAGTGAAAGCCCCCAAGAAATAATATAAATGCTATCCAATACAAAAATTGAAAAAAAAAATGTATTGGTTACATGCAAAATATAATAGAATTTAAAAACACATTTTCTTCTGTGCTTTACAAATAACCCTTTTATCAGTTCTAATATATCTAACATAACAGTAAGAGAACCATCGACTAAGTATTTGTATGATCTGATCTTCAACTCCAGCAGCTGCAGCTGAAGTAGTGGCACCAATTCTGAACAAGTGACCACAGAACTTACTTTCACTATAAACTAGACGGATTAAAAGCAGTCTTAAGTAGTTAATGAAAGTTTCCCTAGATAATGGCCTTGTGTCAAAATCACTGTCAACAGATAAAGGAAAACTTTGTAAGGCTCATTATTTCTAAGCAATACTTCAAGTACTTATTCATAGTACCAACTGGGTCGAATATATCATTCTCATTTATGGTTATATCTACTCCTACTCGAGAAGGGTCAGTCTTAGATGTTTTTAGTTTTAGCACAAATTGATCATGTGTTAAACTAATCTCAATAGCATCAATTAATAAGCAGTTCAGATAATCATCCTTACTTCTGCAAGTGAACTCTCCGCATCGAAGAAAGCTGAAGAAAGCTGTCAAAAATGCACATTGCTGCAATAGATCAATGAAAGGTGAAAAACGCCTCTTGATAACAAATTGCATAATCATTTTAAAACATCTGAAGTAATGTGCAATCTGTTCCTAGAATCATTGAGTTGAGATTTCTTAATATCCCACATGATATAAGGAAGTCGTTATGTCCCTGCTGTAGGGTAATTACGACCTGCATGCAAGTAATGGTAGCATATACCATCTATTACATTTTCATCGTATCATGCTGCAACTTTTTACTATTCTTACAGAGTGGTGCAATGTAAATCAAATGGTTGTCTGTGATGGTAGGTAAACAATTCAGGGAGCACTGTATACTGCTCATATTCATGAATGTTACAAAAATTTGTAAGGCTTATAAGTTTGTTTCCTTCTTCGACTCTATGATAAGTCCCATAAATTACGTGCTTGTTGTTCTAGAACATCGTTATTTGGGATGGCAAAAGGCAAGGCACTGGCTTTTCTTCTGCTTTTGGTGCTAGTATTCTGAATTTCTGCATCTGGTAACGAACAAGAGAGTCCGCAATGTTATTATTAATACCAGGAATATGTTGAGCATGAATAATAAAATGGTGTGTAGCAGCATGAAAAGTCAACTTTCTCATAAGCTTCATGATACTCTTAACTTTAGATCTGCCTTTGGAAATAATATCAACTGTAGTCATATTGTCACAATGGAACAAAATACGCTTTCTGTTCCAGTTATGACCACCACAATACACAAGCCATGACTATGGGGTAAAGTTCAAAAAACGCCATTGATGTTTTTTCATCCATAACTTCTATGGGAAAATCCCCCTGAAACCACTGATTTTTGTAAAAACCTGCAAATGAAGTTAATGTAGCATCAGTATATAGTTCCATATCAGCGGCTTCCAATATATTGTCATTAATGAAAAAAGATACACCATTCCAGTTTTTCAAAAATGTCAACCACATGTCCAAATCTAATCTACAGTCAAGATTTAATTGTATGCGATGGTGAAATTTCTTTACCTTGGTTTATAAAGCTATAAGGTGTGACACAAAGGATCTTCCATGCAGAATAACTTGAGAAGCGAAATTCACATGCCTTAAAATACTTAGGATTTCTGTTTTTATACGACCGCAAAAAAATTTTGCGGTCGTATATTGGTATGACGTTGGCGTCGTCGTCGTCTGAAGACACATTAGTTTTCGCACTCTAACTTTAGTTTAAGTGAATGGATCTCTATGAAATTTTACCACAAGGTTCAATACCACAAAAGGAAGGTTGGGATTGATTTTGGGGGTTATGGTACCAACATTAAAGGAATTAGGGGCCAAAAAGGGGCCAAAAATAAGCATTTTTGTAACTTCCAGACATAACTTGTGTGTTAGTGTATGGATCTCTCTGACATTGTACCACAAGGTTCCATATCACAAAAGGAATGCTGGGATTGATTTTGGGGGTAATTGCCTCAAAATTTTAGGAATTAGGGGCCGAAAAAGGGGCAAAAAACAAGCATTTTTCTAGTTTTATGACAATAACTTGCGTGTAAGTGTATGGATCTTTCTGAAATTGTACTAGAAGGTTCCATATCACAAAGGGAAAGCTGGAATTGAGTTTGGGGGTAATTGCCGAAACGTTTAGGAATTGGGGGCCAAAAAGGGGCCAAAAAACTCATTTTTCTAGTTTCCAGACAATAACTTGTGTTCAAGTGTATGGATCTCTCTGAAATTGTACTGCAAGGTACCATACCACAAAGGGAAGGCTGGGATTGATGATGGGGGTAATTGCCTCAATATTTTAGGAATTAGGGGCCAAAAAGGGGCAAAAACAAGCATTTTTCTAGTTTCAGGACAATAACTTGTGTGTAAGTGTATGGATCTTTCTGAAATTGTACTACAAGGTTCCATATCACAAAGGGAAAGCTGGGTTTGAGTTTGGGGTAATTGCCCTAAACATTTAGGAATTTGGGGCCAAAAAGGGGCCAAAAAACAAGCATTTTTCTAGTTTCCAGACAATAACTTGTGTTCAAGTGTATGGATCTCTCTGAAATTGTGCTGCAAGGTACCATACCACAAAGGGAAGGCTGGGATTGAGTTTGGGGGTAATGAATCATAAGGGGGTTCAGAAAATTTGGGGGGGGGGGGGGGATTTTTTTTTTTTCCTTTTTTTTCTTTTTTTTCCTTTTTTTTTCTTTTAAAATTTTCCATTTTAAGTTGGTTATTTCTGATTTATATTTAAAAGCAAATAATAATGATATGGTAGGAGATACACACCAAACAGGATGTGTAAATTATTATATAATAAGTATTGTGCAAAAGCAAGAAATTTTCAATTGCACAGTATTGCACAATAGCAAGAAATCTTCAATTGCACAGTATTGCGCAATAGCAAGAAATCTTCAATTGCACAGTATTGCGCAATAGCAAGAAATATCTAACAGCACAATATTGCACAATAGCAAGAAATTGTTAATTGTACAGTATTGCGCAATAGCAAGAAATATTTAATTGCACAGTATTGTGCAAAAGAAGATACTTCGTATAAATTGCTTATTTCTTGACCAATTTCAATGGGGTTTTATTCTTGAATTCTTGGGGTTCTTTAATATGCTGAATCTAACCGTGTATTTAGTTTTTGGATTTTGGGCCCCATTTTTAAATTGGTCCACATTGAGGTCCAAAGGGTCCAAAATTAAACTTTGTTTGATTTCATCAAAAATTGAATTATTGGGGTTCTTTGATATGCCGAATCTAACCGTGTATTTAGATTCTTAATTTTTGGTTCCGTTTTCAAATTGGTCTACATTAAGGTCCAAAGGGTCCAAAATTAAACTTAGTTTGATTTTAACAAGAATTGAATTCTTAGGGTTCTTTGATATGCTGAATCTAAACATGTATTTAGATTTTTGATTTTTGGGCCCCGTTATCAACTTTGTCCACATTGAGGTCAAAAGGGTCCAAAATTAAACTTTGTTTGATTTCATCAAAAATTGAATATTGGGGTTCTTTGATATGCTGAATCTAACCATGTATTTAGATTTTGGATATTGGACCATAATAGGTGAATGTCCAATTTAGAATTTTTAAGTTCTTAGACCACATTCATCCTGTGTCAGAAACCTATGCTGTGTCAAATATTTAATCACAATCCAAATGCAAAGCTGTATCAAGCTTGAATGTTGTGTCCATACTTGCCCCAACTGTTCAGTGTTCGACCTCTGCGGTCGTATCAAGCTGCGCCCTGCGGAGCATTTTATTGTACAATGTTTGTGGTTGCGAAACATCCCAAATTTTTCACAAATCCTGTTAACTTTTAAAAGGTAGTCAGGCTTCCATCAGTTCTGAGTCTAAAAATATACCTAGATATTCAATAACTTTACAAGGCCCTCTGTCTTCTTAGCTGATAGAGGTACTCCTAATGAATCAAATATAGACAACAAAGTTTCCTTGGTTTGAAATGCATCAACGCCATTTGGCTCTATTACTAAGAAATCATCTAATAAATGATGAATGTTCCTTATATTGTATTTGTCCTCCCAGAGAAGCTGGAATTGTCTGTTATGTCGGTTGTTGTAGACACTTGTCCCCTAGTGTGACAAGGTGTCAAGAGCAGAACTGGTCTTCATGTTTTATATACAGTATATTGAACCTGGGTTAGTTTGGTTATTTCGTGGCTTCACTGACATTAAGTAAAAAGGTATCCAGATAACATTACTTTTACTTGAATGTTAGATCAGTCTGTTCACAATACTATGACAATGTTCACAGGTGCTTGGTCTAAGATAAGCAAAAATGTTACAAAATAACGAATTGTTTCGCACAGACCAATCAACCATGATTTTGTTGTAAAATAAAAGAGCCGCAGCTTGTAAAGAAAACTGCCTGTGGTACTCATAAAATCCCCTGCCTGCTTACCTGGTGGTCATATCCACTATATCCCTTTCATAAAGGTCAAGCTCATTTCTCCTCTGGGGATATGCTGAACACATTACATTTTTTTGTAAATGCCAAAAGCTTGAACAAATTCTCCTGTTGTCAAGGATCTATTCAATCTGGGATCAGGTTTATTGGGATACGGTATGTGTTCAATATTGTCACTGCACAGACCAGTGTAATAGGGTATTAACAGGGATGCAAGATTAACGTCCCTATCTGCTGTTATATTTTGTTTAAGCTATGGCGAAATTGTTTCCACCAAAGGCAGGGATTCTGCAGAATAACCGTAACATGTTCATATGTAGACTCTTGTGTCACGATCATTGACCTCCTAAGCCTGCACTTCACTGACTGCAGCAGTCGTAGGAACATGCCTCCTATTTAAAGATGATGCTTGAAAGCATTGGAGAGCTGACTCAATCGAAAAGTTGCTTGTAGAACTAGGAGTTGTGATTAATACTGATGTAGCAGGGGTTGTGTTTGGAATTATTTGACTGCCGTTGACAAAAGTTGTTAAAACTGCTAAAATAGCCGTTCTATCCTCATTGTTTACATTTTGAGGTGCATTGTGGGATCGGGCACTTGTATCTGAAGGCGTGTCTTGTGATGTAACAGTACCGTATTCATCATTCTGTCATGGCAGACGCTTACGTCATCGACACTTGAAAGTCTTATTAAACGAACTAAAGCCATCCTCCGAGCGTTAGTTGGAACTTGAATATTCCTACTTCTCAGCTCTGCATATAGCCTTATGAAAGTCCAGTTTTCCAAAAATTCTGGATCATATGGAGCAGGTCTCTGATTCCATGGGCGTTTAGGACCCATTGTAAACACTCGAATATTAGATGATCAATACTTCCCAATCAAATAAACAATATGTCCAATCACTGTTTCAAGAAAAAGTTTCTATCCATGTTCAAAATTGTCAAAGTAACGATATTATATAGATATTTAGAATAAAGTTCGATTACAGTAAATAATAGCTCATTATAAATGCTTCTGATATGTCAGTTTTTCACTATCAATTTCATCAGCAATACTATTACCCCCCTCTAGGGGAGTATTTCTAAAACAATTTTTTGGCATGATGCAGGTTATGTTCTTCTTGTATAATCTATGATGGCATGATACTAAAGTATAGTGTGGCGTCTTATTGCTGAACTAGTATGCATTATTGTTTAGGGGCCAGCTGAAGCCTGCCTCTGGGTGCAGGATTGTCTTGCTGCGTTGAAGACCCATTGGTGGCTTTGGCCTGTTTTCTGCTCTTTTGTGGGGTTGGTGTCTCTTTGACAAATATCCTGTTTCCATTCCCAATTCTATAATACTATAACTTCAGAATTTCGGTGTGCATTATCAACAAACATAGATATGAGATTACTTATTGCAATCAGAATTGCATACATAAAAACTTAAAAAAGTGATAAGAATTTACATTTGAAATTCTGATTAATAAGATACTATGCCTGGCAAATTTTTGCAATAATAAAAACATCATAAAAATTATATAGTGTGTTTCACATTAATTCAATACTGTGGATTCATTTATTTCCGTGGGTATCAATTTTCGTGGATTGCTGAAAACTTGCATATTCGTGGATATTTGATTTCGTGGTTTTGCCAATCTCTGTATACAGAGCCTATTGAAAATATGTAATTCGTTGAACATTTGAATTCGTGGTTCACCTGTACCCACGAAACCCACGAAAATTGGTATCCAACGAATAATAATGAATCCACAGTAATAGCAATATGATAAAAAGAATTACACTTAGATTAGGTAAACTTTTGGAAAAATACAAAGGAATTTGTATGTTTTTACTTTGTTATGGTTTATTACAGCAATGTTGACATTTTCACAATATAAAGCAATAATTTGAATTAACAGTACATCTCAGAATGAGACCAATGGATCAGAATAATCCAAAGACGTTATTCCCAAGTACATCAGCCGTAACTTACTGGCAGATAGAGCTTCAGACTGGTCCTATCGATGGTGGAGTGCTCAAGTGGGAACAGCAATGCAGAATTATTCATATGTGTTCACGGAAGTATCTGACAGTAGACAAAGCATTACAGAAGGTGACCTTAACAGGTGACCATATGGACCCAAATACAGTATTCAGGATTCATCCAGTTATCAGGGTAATAAATACATTTGTTTTATTTAGATGCAGAAAATTGTTCTTTGAACTTTTTAAGCTGTCATATTTTATGTGCAGAGAGAGCTTATCAAGTTTTAAGTATTTGTATCATATAAAACTATATCTGATAAATCTAGTAATTTACCGTTGCTTAATTCAGTAATCAATACTAACTTCAATTCTTCATAACAGTCATGCAAATTTCAACACAGCTGGTCATCATGTTATAATTTTGTAGTCAATTTAAAAGAGATTTTATATAATTTCAGGAATATGATGAAGTACCTTTGGATAGTTATTGTAGAATTGAACATGTAGTATCAAAGAGATGGCTGCATGCTTTAACAGGTAATACAGAGAAGAGTTAATAAAAATATTATTATGAGTAATGTATAAACCTGTATAAATACATCTCTCACAAGTTGTTCTATTTGTTATTAAACATGTGAAAGCTGAACAAAAGGATAGTTTCAGATTAACTTCTGGACAGATTTGTTGAAATTGACAGATATGCGTGTACTTGTATGTCTTGTCCTTGGTTCAACTTTTGTAGTTTCATCTTGCAGCATTGAAGATGTTGGATCACTGGTAGTACTTAGGATTTTTTTATCTAAGAAAACTAACTCATTTAATTTTTACAAAATCTTATTGGAATAGATAATTCATATTTAAATTATTTATAATGATGATACCCAAGTTTATATATATATATGAATTGAACAATAGAAGTGTGCATATCTAGAGGTCATTAAAGAGTATGAAAAAAAAATTTCTAGCTGTCACTACATGTGTCATGCCCTATATACTAAACATGTGTAAAGACTATTAAACATGTATCAAGCCCTAAAGACTACATGTGTCAAGTCTTGTAGAAAAAAAAATGTGTTAAGCCTTGTAGACTAAATGTGTAAAGCCATATGAACTAAACATGTATAAAGCCCTCTAGACTAAACTTGTGTTAAGCCCTATGAACTAAAAATGTGTCAAACCTTGTAAACTAAACATGAATCAAGCCATATTGATTGAACATGTGTCAAGTCTGGTAGAATTAACATGTGTCAAGTCTTTAGACAAAACATGTGTCAAGCCCTGTATATTCAACATGTGTCAAGCCTGAGTACTTAGCATATGTCAAGCCATATACACTAAACATGTGTCAAGCCCTCTATACTAAATATGTGTCCAGCCCTATAAACCAAATAATGTGTCAAGCCCTGTAGACTAAGAGTGTGTCAAGTCCTATAGACTAAACATGTGTAAAACAATATATATTTAACACAACTAATAAGTGTAAGATACTGATTTAAGATTTTTACAGTTGAATCAAAACTCAAATTCTAGAGCACAGTGTTTTAAGAGAGAATTCAAAGGCAAAGAATCAGGTGTAGAGATACCAAGAAAAATGTAGACAATCAGCAAACACAAAACTAATGCTTTGGGTCATTCCTTCTTCAATTAAAACTGGTAGTGATATCAGATACTCTGGAAGGGTAAATATATCCTGCCTCAAACCAGGGAGGACAGGTGATCTGACATTAAAACACAAGACATATATCTTGCCTCCACCAGAGAAGACAGGTGATCCGACATTAAAACACAAGACATATATTCGATCTGACATTTGAGCACAAGACTGAAATGGACAAAAACGCTTTACAGACAACAGCAACCCTTAACAAAGATCCTGACTTGAGACAGCCGCATATAGGGCTAGGTTAAAATCAATTCTCACCTGATATCTTGATAACTAGGGGAAAATATGGATGAAGATATAAAAGATAAAGAAATGATTAAGATAAGTTTTTGGTTTTGTTTTTACAGTTGATTATGTTAGAAGATTTGCACAGCAAGAAGAGGATAGCTCTATGGGATCATTAAAATGGAGTACTGCTACTTTGAAACAAGTGAGTTCATCTGTCTGTTGTTTAAAGACACATTAATCCCAAGTAACTTATATTTTAGATAGGCTAGTGATAATTGAATTGTATAATTTGACCAAATGTGTGTTAAAGTTATAATTAAAAATTTATCTTTCATTTCTGTCAATGCTAACTTTTTTTGGTGGATGAAGAAGACTTGGCTCTTTTTAAAGAGAAAGTCTAAAGCAGCTATTTTTACCATGTTTTTTAGAGGGTTTAGAAGATAAGAGCTACATCAGCTTATTGAAAAGCAACTGTTTTTAATCTAGTTGTAAGGCTCAGTTGTCATAGATTTTATAGATATTATTACATTTGTCAGTCAGATTGGAGTTTATTATAGTATATTACAAACCTACAGATATACAGTTTATATGATCATTCTATTTCTATATACTTTCTATGTATGGAGCAATAATTCAGGTCATTCTAATACTATATACTTTCTATGTATGGAGCAATAATTCAGGTCATTCTAATACTATATACTTTCTATGTATGGAGCAATAATTCAGGTCATTCTAATATTATATACTTTCTATGTATGGAGCAATAATTCAGAATATTCTTTTGTGCTTTTTTACAAACATATAGTCAAATGTTTAACTATAGGCACATTTACCTCTTTTACTTAACTTGTTTATCATATCATGAATTAACCAGCACATCCTACTTTCCTTAGAATTCTAAATCTTAGAAGTTGATCATTGAATTAAAAGTATGCAGGACATATTACAAGTTTACAAAAAAAAATTGTATTCAAAAGAGTTTACATTAACTTAAATATCTTTTGTAAAAATTTTATGTTTGGAGATATTTTATAGTTTTTAGTAATGCTACTGTAAAAGAAAACCATATAGTCCTACACATGGCCTGCCATGGCATTGTTTTATATCCTAGATATTAGATAAATGCTGTATAAATGTAAATTTCTGTAGGGGTTACAACAGGTATGTATGTGAGTAGGGAACCTTAAATATTACTGTTACCACTATTATATAAAATTAATAGAACATTGAATAAACAGTCCTTTTGTACTCTGTATTTTGGACAAGTTTGTCAAAAGCTACTTGTGTTTGACTAAATCTGCAATAATAGGTTACTAACAGTAACATTTTTCTTAAAACCAATATTTATTTAATTTCTTTTGTGATCCTAATGTTCATTGTATAAATGAAATCTAATTTAAACCACACACTAACATTTACCATAAATTCTCACTGTTCGAGTCATCCCTTTCTGCAATCCATATTGTTATCCAAAACCTGTTGTATGGACAGTTGTTCAGTAAAAATTTTATTGGGAGAGGGGCAGGTTCAGAGGATAAAATAAAAAAACACAATGTGTAAATAGAGGATACAAAAAAACAATTTGTTAAAAGAGAAAACAAAAAACACAATGTGTTAATAGGAAAGCAAAAAAAAAAAAAATGCAAAAAGAAAGAATACAAAAAACACAATGTGTAAAAAGAAAGAATACAATAAACACAATGTGTAAATAAAGTATCAGTTGTTCATACACCATGATGAACTCTGTTTATGTCATATTTGAGAATCCCCATAAAAATTATAAAGGAGTAAATGACATTAAATTTGAAAGTTTATTCAGTTTTTGGAAAATGAAGTAATACATAAGATTAAGCATAAAAGATACTCTCTAGATATGATATGAACAGGAAGTGATGTCATCAGATATTGTAATATGATCTTGTTTCCTACCAGCATGCTAAAACCTACAGTGGATTTGTAAGTCTATGTGTCTCTAAATTTATCTGTTAAATGCAGGAAGTATTCTTTTTTTCTCTGTATGCATGATATCTCTGTTTTATTTTTACTATATTTGCAAGATTGTTTTTTTCTGTACAATAAAATATTTTATTTGCCTTTTTTCATCATTATGATAGATATGCATTATACAAAACAATTTATTCAACTTTATTTCAGATCTAAATTCTTATATGTCTTTGTAGATAGAGAGTAAAACTATCATTTTGTTGGCTTTTACAATTATTTAGTTGGTTTGAATAAAAAAATATTTTTTGCAGCTTGTTTTATTTACGTTTTTAATTCATTACACTTTAAAGCAACTCAATTTTAAGCTCACCTGGCCTGAAAGGCCAAGTGAGCTATTCTCATCACTTGTCTATCAACTTTTACAAAAATCTTCTCCTCTGAAACTGCTTGGCCAAATTTAACCAAACTTGGCCAAAATCATATGTGTCCGATGATCCCGGCCACCAACCAACATGGTGGACATGGCTAAGAATAGAACATAGGGGTGAAATGCCAGTTTTGCTATTATCTTGGAAACAATTATAAAGAGATAGAAACTTTAAGTAGCAAATATGATCAGCAAGACAAGATTTACAAATCAGTGAATATATTTGGAATCTTTATAGGAGTTATTGCCCTTAAAAGATAATTATTTTTTTTACCATTTTTTCCATTTTTGCTTATTATCTAGAAAACTTTAATAGATAGATAGAAACTGCAAAAATGATCAGCAAGACAAGATCTACTGTAAGTCAAAATAGTGGAAATTGTTGATTGACTCCTTAAATGAGTAATTGCCCCAAATTAGGATTATTACCATTTTTTTGTGTATTTGCTCAGCAGACTGAAAACCATAATAGATAAAGAGACACTAAAAAAAGGAAAATGATCAGCAGAACAAGATATAAAAATTTGTCAAAAAAGATGAAATCGTCAGTCGACTCCCTATAGTAGTTATTGCCCCTAAACAACAATTTATACCGTTTTTTTGCCTTTTTGACAAGAAATTCAGTATTTAAAGAAAAATTATAATGAGCAAAATTGATCAGCAAGACAAGATAAACAAAAAAGATATCTTAATCATGAATTATATTCTAGTCTTCAATGTTGAAAAGACACATATGTCAAAGTGAGCAACACAGGCTCTTAAGAGCCTCTAATTTATTAAGACTTTAAAAGAAATCATAAATTTAATAATTTTGGTGAAAAGATATCAAATAATTACAGCATTTAAGTGAAAAAAATCATAATTCATATTTCTTATATTTCACATAAAAAATTCTGTCAGGTTAGACTCTAACTGCATTACAAAGTACAACATAATCCATTGATGTGTTAACCAATTTACTTTATCTATATACAGTTTTATTCATTTAAATTCTTGTTGAAAGTAAACTTCCAAGGTAGAACTTCAGGTAAATCTCTGGTTTAATTACCTGAATCCAGCTGTTTAACATTAGCAATTTCAATTTTAACTGCTAGCCTCATAAAAAAACAACTTGCAGTCTTAATACAACTGAAATTGGTTAACACATGTATAGTTTATGTTATAATTTGATACAAGTTTTTAAAGAAGGATTTTCAATTATTCTGAAATAAAGGAATCAGAGTAAAGCACATGTAAAACTCAACTTAAACTAGAATATGATATAGCAATAATAATATACAACAATATCTCTTAAGTTGTTTACAATACATTGAAGGATTAACAATAGTAAACAAAGTAATGTATAAAAACACTGCAGTCTAAACATATATATAATACCATATTCAGAATGTTTATTTTTCAATAATTTCTGTTTCCAGATAAGTACAATAGAAGAAAAACAGTATGATGATGCTTTTACAATCCAAGGAGTGTCCTCAGATCTAGTAGAAATATTTGACTACATGGCAGGCATGGTACCATTTATACAAAAGCTAATAAGAGATGTGAGTAGCTAGGAAATAACCATATTTTATCAAGCAATTTTCAATTGTTCAAAAGTTTTCTAACAAGAACTCAATTCTATTTTGATTTTTTCTGAAGCTTTTAAAAAACTTAGCTGTTGTTTAAAAGAGAATTGCTCAGGTAAATCTAAGGTATAGTAAACTGTTTCCCCTGAGAAGTATTGATTCAATACATAGCAATTGTATTAATTGCGCTATCTTAAATTCAAATCAGATCAGTGGCAAATATGAGTTGACAGTGATTATGTTTTATGTTGTCAGAACATAAAAGTCTAACCTTCTTACAAAGTTTTTTATCAACATCCTCACTTCTTTTCTTTTTCTTACCAATTGACATTGATGAAATTGGTTGGTGTTTGTCATCTTTGTTTACAGGGGGCCTTTGTGCCAAAGTGGTCAAAGTAGTTCCTCTACAGTGAACACTAGCTGGTCAACACTTATGTTTGGGATATTTTTTGTGAAACTCAATGGTCTTCTTTTGATTTTTTTTCATATTTAAATCTTTATCATTTCTATGTACTCACATCCGATTATTATTTTTTCTTTTCAGAAAAAAGATGGTGTCCAGCTAAATGCTAAAATGACCCATGATGCTGTTGTGGTAAGTGACAGTAATAAAACTGTCAAAAAGCAATGCAGGAATATTTTATAAAAATTTATGATCAGGATATTTTTTACTTTAATTAGACAAAGTATACATAGTTTTACAGTATTTTGGATTTTAATGAAATTTTGTATGCACAAGAAATTATGCTGCATCTGAATATACAAACATGCCGTACGGTTGCCTATAATTGCTTACATCCACTTTATTTGAACTTTGGTGGATAGTTGTCTCATTGGCAATCATACCACATCTCCTTATTTTTACAAAGACTAACACAACTTTTCCTGAAATTTTCATGTTATGAGATTTTTTAAACAAAAATTATGAATGAAATGGAATGTTTTGCTCATTTTGCATTAGAATTGAAACAAAGGCCAATTGTATAATACAGAACAGTTATCTCCTAATTGTGTTAATCTTTGTCATATGTTTTTGAATTTTCAACATCAGAACAAGCAGAAGATTGAGTTTCATTTGCTTAAAAAAGCTGCTATACTTTAGAATAACACAACAATGAATACTTCAACAAGAATCAAATAAGTGATTTGGCTTTGGGTGATTACTTTTTGTATAACTGTGTTCAATTCAAACAAAAATAGAATGTATATATATGATATAATGTATTTAAAATCTAACACTTTTTTGTTAAGAAAGCAAAAACCATTGTCCTGTTAATAGGTTAACTATATTTGGTCTGTAGAATCATTGTTATGTGTATATGTCTGTCTGATGGGGACCTGAAGGCCTTAACCTCATTTTCGTGATACATTCCGTCATAATAATTTAAGGAGATGAGACATTTCAGTGTGGTCACACTTGATGTTTTTTCTAGAAGTATAGGATCTAATTAATCTCATTAAATCATGAGGGAGATTTCAATTTGATATAAAAAAAAACAAAAAGATTTTTCAGATTTATTACAAAATAAGTAAATGAATTATTTTTCAGGCATTGTCAGAACTGAAAGACTTTATGATTGTTGATAGTTTACCCAACAAAAACCGACAGAAACTAATGAGAAATCTCAGGGTAAGTACTGACTTTACGACTGTTGATAGTTGAACCAACAAAAACTGATTCCATAATAGAACTTTGATTATTTGTGAAAATATATCCCTGCCAAAAAAAGAGGCGAAACAACACATGGATGTGAAGACAAAAATAAACTCAATTTGCGACAATAAAACCTAAGCTTTACATAGGCCAAGCTTCAAATACAATACAGTTATCTCTAAATTTGTTTTTGTATTGACAGATAGTGGAGTTACTAGTCTACCTGTTACAGATCCCATTCAGAGGAACACCTGATCAACAGTAAGTTTTTATAAACATTTGCAATTCTTGGTTTATTTTTTTCTTTTGTTTAATCTGAAGAAATTCTCTCAATTAGACGAGTTTTCCCGATACCTTAAGTAATAGTTCTGCTATATTTTTAAGCTTCTCAGAATTATTTGAACCTGACAAGGGTCACCATGTCTTGACGTTATTTTCATGGTTTGTTTTTCTAGGTTGAATTTTCATAAACTCAAACGTACACTGTCCTCATGTTCAAGGTTATTGAACATGGTTTGAAAATAGGAAATACTTTTGAGAGTTGTCTGGAATATATATGTCCAATAAAAATCATTTATATCAATAATAGTAGGGGGCATTTATATGTTTGTTCCTTGTGTTTCTGTCCTGTATGAAAGTTTTGGGTTATCGTAGTTTACCATGAAGTTGCGGTCTAATTAACTTGAAAATTAGTACACATGTACATTATTGTATAAAACATATGCCAAGTTAGGATTTTGACCTACATTTCTTGGTTCACTGAACATTGAAATATTACAGTGCAAGTAGGGCATGCATGGGGTTCAATGGACACATTTTCTTGTTTTTTTTATGTTGATACATTAGACAGAAAGGTGATTGGAAGTTGAAAAATTCCTTGAAAGTTATTGTACTTTGCTTATTTGTCAATTCAAAATATTTGCTATTAAGATATTTACAATATTTTTTTTAATGTGGTTCTTTTTGTCAAACAGAAAACTAAAAGAATGAAATAAATAGGCTTAACATCAAGATCTAACTGATTTTTCTTAAAGTTTTTTTTATACACATACCTCATTGGGAGAAGCTGTTGATTTTATAGACTATTTCCCGTTATAACACATCTTTAATCATTACACAAATGTATACTGTATTTTGACTATATCTGTAGTTGCATTTGAAGGACTATATATCAAGTATTTTTGGATAATAAATAAGGATATTTCTGTATGTATGATAAATGTTGTTCTATTTTATCGTTTTAGTCATTTAACAAGGATATTTGTGGAAGCATACGATGTATTGTATACATATTTGAAGGGAGACAGTAGAAAGAATGAACTGTATATTGCCAAGTACATTGACTTCTTCTTATCTCAGTTTGAGTACAAAGAGGTAAGCTTTGTTTGTGATATCTTGTACATGCTGTTCAGACACCCATTCTTGTAAAAATCCCTTGTTTAATTTTCAAAAGTTTAAAAATTAAATGTGTTATACTGATTTCCTTGTTCCCATGTTTCTTGAATAACCATCATCAGATATGCTTGATATCAAAAGTTTTTATAGCAACAAATAAATGTTTGAGAACATTAAATCAAAAAGGATCTAAACAGAACAGCAGAACCTCTGTAATGTCAGCTCTGCCTGAGGTGAGGTGCAATCTTTTACTTTTAGTACAAGTTATCATGGATATCTGAGTTAATTGTCATGTTATTATTCCATTCTAAAGAAATCTAAAACATGCAAGAGTTTGTCTCTAGTGCTGTGTGGAGGCAGTAGAACGTTTCCCCGTGCTTGAGGTGTATGCTCTTATAATATTTACAGTTACGGTGTGCTTGTTCATTTGAGAACTTCTCATATTAATACACCGTAAAAATTTCATGTTTGGTTAAATTTCTTCAAAATACTGGTCTGTTTTCTATGTATTGTGTGCAATTTTGTCCCATGTACATTTACTCCATATCCTTTCATTTTTATTTACAACTTTGTATCATGCTGTTCAATAAAAAGACATGTATGAAATATTAATCAACAGCAATCCGACAATGAGCATCAACCTAAAATAAACATCTGTAGGTCACAATAATCTTGCTCTCACTGTAATAATTTCTAGATGACTCAAAGAAGAACTAGAGGAATGTTTAGTAACAACACAACAAGACTTTATAAGAAATGTTGAGGCTGCAAATAATTTGCAGACAAAGACCTTATGTTATATTGAATAATTAATTTTTTGTAGGGAATGATTGGATTAAACTCAGCACACATGGTGATGGAGTTAATTAAAGACAACAGAAAAATTGTTGACAGAATCACAACAGAACATATTGACAAGTTTGTGGAATTGTTACGGAGAGACAAGGTATTTAAGATAGTTTAGGAAGAATTGCAATGCAACCTATATAAAGAAGATTTTATATATGTCATGTAAATAATGATTTGATTGAAAATTAACTGATATTTATTTCAAGTATTTGTGAATTTCCTCAATTTTTTTATTTTTTTTTTCACCATATGAATGATTTTATAACAATTGAATGATAATTAAACGTAACTTTTAAAATATTACCCCAGACCTACGTTTTCACATATTTCATATTGAGAGAACTGTCAATTACTGATATAACCCAGCTGTCTTGTTAAATATCATCTTTGTACCAAAGGATTGCAATCTTTTTTTCTTCGTAAACCTGAAGGATGATAGCTTTTTTCACCTTCTCTTTTTGACAATCATTGAAATTAAAATTTTCATGAGTTGTTTGATTTCTTTTTCAGAATTACAGATATTTAGATTTACTGAAGGTTTTATGTGTTTGTGATGGTGTTTCTATAGCAGACAATCAAAAATACATCACAGAAGTTTGGCTGATGAAAGGCAACAGGGTAAGAAGGAAGAAAAATGTTTTTTTGTTAACTCTGTTGTGTTAGTTAAAAATGTAAACATTCCATTACTTTAAAAGTCTGGAACTTATGTAACTTTTTTGTGGATGTTTGAATTCTGAGTTTGTAACAATGGACCCAATAATTTAAACTTTATATTTGTTTAGTTTTTTAATTAATGATCTGCAAAATTTACCAAAATTGGTACTTACCTGTAGGATATTCCATGAAAAATAATATTGATTTCAAATTGTTTTTGTTTGTAGAACTGTGTGTTTTACACAGATTTAGGACAGAAAATTGGTAAAGAGAAAGGAGTAGTCTATGTGTCTACTACTACTGGACGTACCTGGATGGAGCTTTCTAAATTTGCACAGGTATGTTGTTCATTAATTTGGCTCAACTTGATGAAAGAATGATATGAATTATTGCCATCAATTACAATAATGATCATTCCTTTCATTTTAGATATTTTACATTTTCATACTCTATAAATAGGCATATCTTAACCCAACTTAATAATATTATATTGCAGATTTGTATGAAGATTTCAGCTTTGCACACACACAAAAGTTACTAAAATCAACTACTTTTTTTCAAATTTTGACTAATTTCTGTTATTGTTACATAGATAATCTTCAACATCAAAGAATGAAGCATTATTAGTAGGGGATCAAACCAAAAAAACAAGATATAGTAAAAAAAATAGCAGTACGGGAACATTTGTTGACATAACAAGAACTTGCTATGAAAAATTCTCATTGCAATAAAGAAAACGTTAGAATAATTCAGATTGTATGTTAATATACATGTGTTTTATATGTTAATATCTATATGTAAGTATGTTGTTGTTGTCGCTTGTCATTTTAAAGACCTGATAATTAAGTGGTATTGAGAAATATACTTTATATAATAGACATAATACATGAATGGAGGTTATGCTGTATTTAATGTACAAATGTACAATGATCAACAATTCAACTGAATGAGGAAATTTTCTTTTAATGTGTATTTTCAGTGTTTTGCTGCCAAGATAAAAGCAAAATTAAACACATGAAAAATCATATATGTGGTAGTCGTTTATACTTTCCACAATTTGTTCAAACTCATATCAGTATTATTTTCTTGTATAATGTTTTGTTTGTTTTTAAAGTTTTTTTGGAAAGAAATATTTACATTTTGTGACTTTTTTTTCAGAAGTCAAGTAGCGATGATGAGTTGTATCTATTTTTAGAACACCAGTTGGAGCTGTTTGGATATCTTTGTAATGTATGTATTGCTATGAGAATTCTGTTGGTCCATGCTTCAATGAAAAATATTATGTAAAAACTTGAAATGCATGTATTCAGGCGTATGATATTTACTGACAAACACATACTAAAGCTAAGTATTAGTTTGAACTTGAAAAGTTAATGAAAAAAGATAGGACAAAATCACTTGATCTACACTGAAAGTATTGAAAAGTAAATATCAATGCCTTTATTGCTTTTGTCTTGCCTCGGCCAAGTCAGGAAGGCGATGACTATGTGCGGGTGTCATCAATAGACCTTATCATTATTTTTGAATCTGAGACACTGGACCTGAAATTTTGTAACTTCATACAATAATCACTTTTGCAATTCTAGGTAAGGCATTTTCTCTTATGACGTTAAATTTCACAGGAACGTCTGTCAGGGCCAGTAATTGCACATAAATAGTGATAAGATATATTGTTAGTTTACATGTTGAAGTTTGTGATTAGGTCAGTTTTAAAGGGAACAAGTAAATCAATATGTTATTTGGCATGCAGTTGTATTAGCATTTGCACATCTCATATCCATTATAATTATCTGCCCCCCCCTGTTTCCTTCCATCAGTCATGGTGACTTTTTTTGACTCATTGAAATTTTGCATAGATCACATGCTAAAGCTTGTATTTTGGTCAGGTTAATGGGAATCATTTATGATGTCAATGGTATTTGGTATGCATTTGTATAAGCATAGGCATTTCTCATTTTCATGGAGACTAAATTGTCCCTGCAGGGCATGCACCTTCAGTCATGATTTAATTTTGAATGTTATGCATAATTTACATTTTTTCAAGTATTCCCATTTTATTTCAACCTTTGCATTATACTATCAAAATTACATACAGGTGAGACATATCTCTGTGTCAACAGTTTTATTTTAAACACACACTTTGAAAATAAAAGCAATACTAGTATATAGTAATGTTCTCTAATTATGTAAAACTCAGGTCTAACTTGGAGGCATTACTAAAGATAACAGCTACATCTCAAGCCTAAATGTGTTAAGCAAACATCAATCAATCAAGTCTAAACATTGTATGAACTCAAGTGATAAATGAAATAATGCCAATTAATAAGTCAATTCATCCTTAGTGCACATTGTTATCAGGTATTTGTTTCTAACTTTAGGGCCAGAATGACTTTTCCGTCAAAGTTATAACACAGGAGCTGAATTATTTGACATGGGATGAAGCTTTTACATGTCTGAGTGATGAACGTCTTCCTGATGAACTGAGGGCACAGTATTGTGATCTTATTATCAGTAAGTCCTTTATAGCTTCTAACTCTAACAGGTCCCAACCTATATAGAGGACACATAACCTATCACTAACTAACAATGAACCCTGACCTAGACAAAATTCTAACCATAAATGGACCATAACCCATAAGTACAGGGACTCCAAAAGTAAAGGTAGGCCCAAATTTAAAGTAAATGCTATGGTGATTTAATGATGTAAATATATAATGTATTGATAGATAATTAAAAAAATATTAGATATCAAGTGGGCCATCAGTATACAAACCCAAAAGAAAAAGATCTTGAAAAACAGAACGGAAAAATATAGATTCAGGATTATAATCACAATACCTATTAAACACTGGTAGTTAATCAAAAATTAACCTTTAAAGATAATAATGCAAAAAATAAATAGTTTTCAAGATAGATAAATAAAAAATGTACCATAAAATTGTTTTTACTTTCAGCCATGTTTGTTAATGTTGGTGACAATCATTCTGTGATAGACAGGGTAAAATTGACGTACAATTACGATGAAATTGATGACATAGAGGTGAGTTATTACTTTTTGTAGGATATATCATTGCTGATTCTTGTATGGCTTCTCATTTCACTAAAAAATTGTGATTTGTATTTCTAGGTTATTGTTTGCTTAATGATTGCAAAGATTAACTTGAGTTTTGTGGGCATTTAAAACTTATTCAATCCCACCATATTTAATTTTAAGTCTGTACCAAGTCCGGATATATTGACTATGTGTTGATCTTTGTTGTTAGTTTTTCTCTGAGTGACTGTTTTTTAATGGAGGAGTTGGGTGTTGGAGGTTGATATGGTATTTGTATTTTCTAGTAATTTTATGCTATATTGCATTCACCTTGTCCATATGTCTGTCCATCCAACAAATATTTCCGTCACTTTTTTCTAAGGAATTACTTAACAGAATGACTTTATATTTGGTCAGCAGCTTGTCAGTGACGAGTTGTAATAGATGAGCACTTTTCGGATCTGTTGGACACCCTCTTCCTGTTTGCAAATACTTTGAATTTCAGTATGTTATATGAACTTTAATTTTGTGTCACTCTTTTCTAAAGTACTACTGAACATAAAGACTTCATACTTGGTCAGCAGCTTGACAGTGAATCAGAAATTCCCTTACACCTATTTCTCATTTGCTGATACTATGAATTTTGTGATATGTTGAATTCTTGTTGGTGATAACTGTTGTCCCTTTTATTTATTGTTTTTGGCTTATCATTCCTGACAATGATGTTGATTGTTATTCTGGTTTCTTGTTTAGATTTTCATTCTGGTAATTGATGATGTTTGGCAATATTTTGTTCTCGGTTTGGGCTTCACATTCCAGTTTATGATGCTTATTTGTAAATTGCAGTATAAAACTATGATATGTGTATTGGAATTTTATTTGTCTTCACATTGTATTACTTTTTGGGCTTCACATTCCAGTATACAATGATGATGTGTATAAGGATTTTATTTGTCTTCACATTTTACTACTTGTTTGGCTTCACATTGCAGTAAACAATGATGATGTGTATTGGGATTTCATTTGTCTTCACATTGTACTACTTGTTTGGCTTCACATTGCAGTTAACAATGATGATGTGTATTGGAATTTAATTTGTCTTCACATTGTACTACTTCTTTGTCTTCACATTCTAGTTATTGATGCTCTTTCATATCCCATGATTCTAATTTGTGTCTTTAAAAAGTGATGAATGGTATGATGCTTTATAGGTCAAATTTAATTAATATGCGTTTTCATTAGTGTAATCCGGAAATGGAGTAAGATAGAACAGGAAGTAATATTATTATCGAGGATTAAAACAATATTATAAAAATGAGTATCCTGAATTTCAGGGTAAACAGAAAGAAGTCAAGTCTGATTTCACGTTGCCGTTAGTGAAAGTTGTGTTTGATGAATATCCAGAGAAAAATCCTGAAGCTTTTGAACGAATGATAAATGGAAACTACTCGCCTGATACTTTTATACAAGGCAGTTCTGCATCTTGTAGAGGTTCTAGACTTTCAAATACTGAAATGTCTAGGTGTCATTCACGTACTAGAAAGGTGATATGTTATCCATTGTCATGATTGGCACATAGTTTGGAAATAATGCACCACTACTCCACAATTTACAGTGCATTATTTTGTTTAATATCCTTTGACAGTTGCATGTTTTTTTACAGTTTCATAACCCACTGTTCTAGATTCTGGAATCATTGAAGCCAGTTTTAGATTGTATTTATGAAAAGACATTTATATAATGATGAAAATTGGGTTTAATCTGTCTGTTTTAACATGAATGCTTAATGTTATTATTGAATGACCTACATTTTGGTTTGTAACCTTTCAGAACTATATTAACTTTAATGATAATTGAACAGGTTGACATAATTTGGACACTTTAGTGCTGAAAGGTCAGTGATGGTGTCATAAACATGTGAAAATTGACATATTTGACTAAAAACGGCCATTTAACACAGTTTTTGGACAGAATGAGTATGAGATCTCGGCTTTACCCAAAAATGATATTTTATACACATTAACATCTTTGTTTAAAATGCCTTGTAGCAAAATATCTTTTTGAGTAAAGCCTTTTCTCATATCTAAATATCAATGACAAGATCTCTTACTGAGTTTTGCACTAAATGCATTCAGTTTGAAGCTCTAATACAAATATAGAAGACAAAGTTCAAATCTATTGAAACAGATGTCTGACAGTTATACTAACGTCTTACAAACATCTGAAGGATGTTGTTTGGCAGTTTTATAATACTTTTTAATATTCGAATTGAAGGAGCGATAAAGTGGCCTATCATATACATACTCCCTTTGGGGCCTTAAGTGAGACACCTCTTAAATATCAGAAAAGGGGGGGGGGGAGTAATTATCCCCAATGAAATATTTTTTTGTATTGTATGTATGAATCAAATTGCATGTGTGTTTAACAATATAAAGTAATATTTTTAAAATTGTCTTCCTATAATAACAGATTCCCATAAATTGTCTTTTCCTTTAAGTTCCAAAAACTTAAAGAACATTTTTGTACTTCTAAAACTCAAACAAAAATTGTTTGAAGTCATGATTAAGGAAAGTAATGTTAAATTTCTGGTTAAGGAGTTTTCTCACTGATCTGTAGCCTTGCTATATAAGTCATGTTCTGGGTCTTTCATTCTATTTGAAAATAAGACGATGTGGTATGATTGCCAATGAGAAAACTCTCCATCAGAGACCAAAAGATGTAGAAGTTCATAATTTCTATTTTGGAAATGTTAGATATCTGTATAAATATTGAAAGAGGAATAATTGTTGACAGATTTATTAATTTGTATATGTGATGTAACTGATTAGTATTGTAATAAACACAGCTGAATTAACAGATGTTTTATCAGATGCAGTTTTCGACTCGATGGGTTGAAATTCTCTCGAAAAAGGTCAAAAAAGTTTTTAAACAGAAAGTAATTTGCGTCATGAAATATTTTTTTCAAAAAGGCCATTTTTGCAGTCTCGATAAAACCAGCAAGATCATGACATTATCTTTAAACAGGACAGACACATTTTTAAATGGGTCATTCTATGGTAACATGAGGTGAACATTTTGTGACTAATTCTTATAATATTTATTATGTTGATTTGTTTGTTACTAATTCCTTTAATATGTTTTATGTTGATTTTATTAACAGTTTAAGCCAAGAAAACAGGTAAGACGGCTGTTGTAATATAGACCTATCATGTATAAAAATGGAGATCTTTAATTAAAACAAAGATGACTAATGTACATTTGCACTTGCATGAAATCTGTCTTTTAACCTCTTGACAATAAATTACTCTAATAACCCTTCAAAATAATTACATGTATTAATTTTCTTGACAATTTTTATGAATGTATTTCCATTAAATAAAGAGTTTCTAAAATGGCAATGTACTATTCTTATTTTTAGAACTGTCCAGCCGTTGATTATCCTTATTTTAATGACAATATACTATTCATATTATTAGAATTGTCCAGCTGTTTAATTATCCTTATTTGTTTCCCAATTCTGTACATTCTTTGTATCTCACTGTTAACGAATGTTCTGAAAAACTGTTTATATTGCTGTAGTGTCTATATATTATCGTGTGAGGAGTCTGATTTAAAGAGCTTTGTTACACAGTTGCATTGTTTTATTTTATTTATATGAAAGCATTTCAGTTGATAGAATTATGAATTTTTTTTTTACTTTTATTCAGTAAACATACCTGAATATTTTATTTACAACAATAATGTGTTTCAGAGACATTTTTCTGTCAGTGGTTCATCTAATTTGTAGAAAAATTTGGTTTTGATATTAAATTTCAAGAAAACTTAAAACCTCATAGTAGCAGAAATATATGTTTCAATAATTAAACAATGCAATTTAAATAGTTATAATTTTTCACATGAATGTTTTTGTAAACTATTGAGTGTTGTTATTCAGGCACCACAACTCCAACGTCAAAAAACCACTTTGGATGGAAAGGTAGACGGTTCAGCTTAAAGGCTTAATTACTTCCCAAGACTAACAAAATACCTAGATACTAAATTCTATTTAGCTTAATTTTCAGGTTATGATTAGATACTGGTTGAACTATCTGCATGAATATTTTTCTTTTCAATTAGCAATGTCATTGCTTCTATATAATTTTTACGGATTTCTATATACACTTAAGTTTTACTAACAAGAATTATAGACATACCATGACAGATTCTGCAACTAAAACTTCCACTTGCTTATAAACATTAAAAGTAAATGAAGTTATCAACATTTAACTAAACATTAAGACATAATCTTTATCAACCCAAGGAGGGCTACTGTTCCTTACTACTGTGAAAACTTTTCTGTATAACTGAAGATTAAATGAAAGAGGTAGGGGCAGTAAGGACTGTGTTTGGCTCCCAATATTTAGTCAAATATTTCAAAATGAAAAGGTTTTTTTTGCAAACTTTTGTAATGAATTGTTGACATTAACACCTCAAAAAAGGCCAAAAATAGAGAAATTTGAGAAATTTTCTGGATTTTAAATAAATTTTAGCATAGAAAGCATTAAACGGAGGGTTTCAACAAACTTAATATTCAAGTTAGATATGTTATTTATTATAAAAAACAAAATTTTACAAGAGCTTTTTCCAACACATACACTTGTTTCTGGACATAAAGCCCAATCAAAATATGCCTGTTTTCATTGAATTTGATGAAAAATTTAATTTTATGCTCATTGTGACGTCTAACATAAAAAACTGTGATACGTAAATTTTTACAAATAGACATATTTTCTATCTAGTCTATGTTTTAACTATGATCATAGTGTAAATAGCCATTAAGGGGAATCGATACAGTTTCAAGGGAGATAATTGTTAAGGTGATATTGAACATTCAACATGTTTTGTTAAAAAGAAACTTTAGTTGTTCTTAAACAAATATTTTTAACTTGCCTAAATTGTCTGTTTTATTATTAGCTTTGAATTTATACTTTTGCAGGAAGACTTTGTTAAACTTATTAAAAAGCTGAAAAATGTGTTTCCCCAAAATATGCGGCCACAATTTGGGAAACACACTTTTCAGAAAAATCACAAAGAAACCCAACTCAAATCAGAAGAAAAAGAAAAAATTGCAAATTAAGAAACTTATAAAATTTAACTTATTTTGGTGTGCCATACAAAATTTGACTCAAGTTTTGAAAGGAAACAATACTTTTGACAAGTAATTTAATTTTTGCTAATGCACATTTATCATAGCTTTGAAATAAAAAACAATCTGGCAATTTTATTGCTAAAAATACAAGTTTAAGATAATCTTAAAAGTGTAAGAAAACTTCAACAAATTCCTCTAATTTTGAACCTCATTTTTCTCAACAAGCACAGTAACATATGTTTTATTTGGTGATTTTTCAAATGACTTATCTCAATCTACAACATATCTCAAAATCACAAAAATGACTCTAAATTGAAATTGTTTCGACTCCTCTTCAATACTACTTTGAATTTAAGTTAGAAATAGGGGCCATGATATGGCCTTATCGAACCTATTCATTTATTTTTTACTTCTGTTGTTAAAGTTCACTAAGAAATAGTCTGTCTTCCTTGGGTAAAAGTTTTTGAAAATAATACTTTCTAATTTTTATTTATTCCTTTGTCAAATCAAGACTTGGAAAATATATACTAGTATTGTGTGTGCAATGTATGAAATTAAATGAAAACAAACATATGTATTACTCATGCATATGTATGAAAAGTTATAGAATGCAAGTATATTACTCAGGTCAAATTATGTATTACAATTGACAAAATGCATATGCATAAAGTATGATACCACAAGTTTGTTAAAAATTATAAGACAGACAGATAATACATAGACCTAAAGAAAAAGTACACGACGACAAACAGTGGTACAATCAGCACTATAATATTATAAAGTTTAACTCACAAGAGAAAAATATTTAATGTTGCATATTAAACACATTTTTGATTTTTTATGTTTGTGTAAGATTGACAAATGCTGCAGTATTTCTATATTTATTTGCAACTATTTTTATATAAAATTATTTCCTTTAAAAAAGTATACCTTTAAATCTAAGTATATTTTTAATTTAGATTTTTCTTTCTATTCAACATTTTGTTATGAACATGGATTGCTTCATTGCCATAATATATAATTCTTTATAACTTTATTATTACCATGACTTTACAGGATCTGGCTGATCTGAGCAACTCCATTACATCTAAATATTTCCCAACATTGAGTGAATGGATTGCAAAATTCCTTGGACAAAACAGTGATATGACAGCTTCAGAGATTGGTAACAACAAACTTGTCAAACAGGTAAGCATTGCTAAAACTTTGAAGAGTAGAAACATTGACAGCTTCAGGGATCGGTAACAACAAACTTGTCAAACAGGTAAGCATTGCTAAAACTTTGAAGAGTAGAAACATTGACAGCTTCGGGGATCGGTAACAACAAACTTGTCAAACAGGTAAGCATTGCTAAAACTTTGAAGAGTAGAAACATTGACAGCTTCAGGGATCGGTAACAACAAACTTGTCAAACAGGTAGGCATTACCAAAACTTTGACCAGAAGAAGCATTGGACATAGTACAAATAAGACACATTAATTTGTCTGCCTTTTTTTTGTTGGAGATATATCTAAATGGGATAATCCTCATATAAACTCAAAGTTATACAAATATTATATGTAAATCATTTCAAGAAGACAAATAAAAGTTTTTTTGGAAAAAAAATTGGTATAAACATATGACATTAAACAAAGGACATCTATTCATTTGTTTTGTTTACAGGTATTGAGACTGGTACACTTTTTAGTGGCTTTTGGATTTTACCAGTCTACAGAAGATATAATGACCTTGTTAGAGCCAATGATGGGTTTGATTGATGGCAGAAATGACAAACCATATCCAGTAATACCTCCAGGTAAAAACTTTATGTAGGGTAACTACAAACCTCTCAGTAAAACCTCCAGGTTAAAACTTAAAGTGAGGAACTGACGATATGGTAGCTACAAACCTGTCTTAACCAACCCAGGAGTAAACAGGAACTAAACTCTGAACTATATCCAAATTAAAAACTTGTTTAATCAGAACAAACCACATAACCCCAAAATGGCAGCTTAGTTTAGACAGGTTTTATTCTTTGACTGAAATTTAACCTTAAAGAAATTTCCTTCCAAATACATATGAAGTTATACTGTATTTTACAGTCAAAGAAAATCCAAGGAGGATAAATGAAAGTTATGGAATTTTCTTTTTTTATTTAGGCAAAGAAGGAGATGAGGTGTTGAAAAACTTCAGACAGCATGAGAGATACCATCCAAGTCAAGAAACACAGGCTGTTGTAGATGCCAAATGCCAGTAAGTAGAAGATAATGGACCATCATCCAAACATCTGTGATGTGATGGATGAAGGTCATTATATGAGGAAGCCAAGGGCTTCCGAGGGTTAATAGTGAACCTTTTATTATGTGCCAGCCACACGCCTATTTTACAGTTGAGTGATTTTTTGTATGTCCAGGTAGTATATAAGGCCAGGTGACCTGAGTAGTATCCTCTTTCATTTTGAGGCAAACAGTAAAATCTCCAGTGTAAATGGGTAGTAACACGACCAGTATTTGCATTTATATCAAACCTTATCGGGAATGGGTATTCACTAGGGAGGGTACTATTAACCCTCGGAAGCCCTTGGCTTCCTCATATAATGACCTTCATCCATCACATCACAGATGTTTGGATGATGGTCCATTATATATCATAACCCGGGCTTGACTCGGGTTAATAGTGAACTCTTTACAGCCAAAAATGCAAATACCAACAAGAACAACAAGAACATCAATCACCATAACCAAACAATTGGTCTCTCATACTTTAACAAGAATCTATGTATGAGCCTAAATAATATCAAAGTATTTAACTGCAGATAAAAAGAAAACTCATCTGTCTCCATACATGTATATCACTTGTACGAAAGAGAATACACAATCACCAATATGTCTATCTACTATCTTTTTATTCCATGTGTTAGATGTTTCTGTTTTCATACCAAAATCATAAACAGTCTCTATTATCTATTAATACCAAATATAAAACATCCTCTAGTAGAAAACCTAACTACCACTCTACATAATATGTACATGTAGTAGATCATAAATTATCACATTTTGTCTCAATTACATTACTCCAAAACTACCCAGAATTGCAATGACTATCATGAAATAATAGAATATTTCTTTGTTTTGTGGAATAAAGACATAAGCTTCATAATAACTTTTATTATGTTCAAAAACAAAAATCTGTTACAATCTTCAGAAAACAATTAATACTCTAAAGTTCACTTTTAAATGTCTCTCACATGTAACAAATATAACAAAATAACACTGTTGTTTTCTCATTGTTCTTAAATTATCACATTTTCTCTATGCTTCATCTCAAACGTTCTTGAAATTTAATGCTATTGACTAAAACTGTTCGATTCAACTCCAAATGTCAGCAAACTCCTGTTGCAAAAAACCAAATGGAATGTCCAAAAACCATTCATCTTGCAGAAATGCTAGATACATCATAACATGTACGTAGAAAAACCATAGCTGATCCTCCTGGTCCACCATACAGTTCCTGTAAACCACTAGCTATAAATAAGAATTAAATACTGTTTCAGTATATGATGGCAATGGAGTTTCAATATCTTTAAAATAAAACTTATGAAAAGTGTAAGCTGACCTCCAGTTAGCAGTTTTTAATATATCATTCAGTGAAATTCCAGCTTGTTTAGCAGCTGAAGTTGAAGCACTACGATATGAGTGTGCTTTAAATTTGTTTATATCAATCCCTGCATTACCTAACACTATTTTCAACCAACGAGCAATAGTTGAAGTTGTAACATGTTTGAATGTTGTAAAAGAAATGAATAAATTTTTACTTTTTGAACATCCTTTGTCCGTAAAATATAATGTTTAATACATCTAACAGGACAAATTTCCTGTTTTTGATATTTATGTATGATAACATCCAAATTAGATTTGTTTGGTTTAGTTGTTTTTTGTAAAACTGGTATCTTAAAAATTAAAGAATTGTCTGTTACAGATACAAATCTCAGATCTAAATTAACAAGTGTTTGTGATCTTTGAGCTGATGACAATGCAAATAAAGCAATGCATTTCAGAGTTAACATTTTTAGAGATAAATTCTCATTTGGATATAATTGTGATAAGTACTTCAAAACTGTACCAACATTCCATGTAAATGTATATCTAGGTAAAGACGGCCTTAAATTAAAAATGCCTTTCATAAATCTAGTTATGTGTTTATCTTTTGCCAATTCAGCCATACCCATTAATGTCAGAGTCTGACAAATAGCTGATTTATGAGAATTAATACAGCTGTAAGATTTTTTGTTTTCATACAAAAAAGATAGATAATTCAAAATTTGTATCACAGATGGAGAAGTGGAATTAATTTGTTCTTTACTACACCACAACATCCACTTCCTCCAAGCATATTCATACTGTTTATTGGTTGATTCTCTCCATGATTCGGAGAGAATTCTAACAGCTCTTTTTGAAAAGCCTTTATCAATGAGATATCGCCGGATACAATACAAGCGATAAGGAATAATCTTCGTTTGTTCATTGAATGTCTTTGACCATTGTGAGCCAAAGTTAATAGATCTGACCAATTTGGTAATTTTAGTGGAGTAGAAATTAATAATTCTAATAATTTTGGAAACCATGTTTGTGTGGTCCAAACAGGAGCTATAATTAATGCCTTCCTTACCTTGTCCTCTTCTATTTTCTGTAGGACTCTTGGCAACTGACTGAAAGGAGCAAAAATATATGGTAATAAATTACTCCAAGAGAGAGAAAATGCATCTGAAGCATAAGCTTCTGGATCAGGAAACCAACTAACATACTTTGGCAGTTGTTTGTTTAAACGAGACGCAAACAAATCAATCTCTGGGTTAAATAAACTTAAAGTCACTTTTTCAAAAACTGAACTGTTTAGTTTCCACTCTGAAGAATCATTAAATTGTCTAGATAAATTATCAGGTTGTATATTTTGTTTTCCTGGGATATGTACCGCAGATATAAATACTTTTCTTTCAGTACTCCAAAACCAAATTTCTTTTGCCAGTTTTAAAAGCGATAATATTGATCCCCTTTGATTATTGATGTATGCAACCGCTACTGCGCTGTCTGTTCTAACACAAATATGACAATCTTTAACAGATCTACAAAGAGCCTGCAATGCCAAAATTATTGCTTTTAATTCTAACACATTAATGTGATTCTGACATTCATCTATATTCCATCTACCTTGGGTACAATCTTTCTCAAATACTGCACCCCAACCTATCAACGACGCATCAGTTTGTAAATAATCTTTTGGAGGCTCTTGTCGAATTGGACAACCATTTTCTTTTTTAATATTTTGAATCCACCATAAAATCTCATTTTTACTCTCCACCGACAAAGACATATGAGCATTAAAATTTTTAAAAGATTTTTGTAAAGCTTTTGTTTTGTCAATGTCCAAATATCTATGCTGTAAATGTGCAAGTGTAATTGCATGATAAGATGAAGAATATAACCCAATTAATTGGGCAACCGTACGAATTTGTGTAATCTTCCGTTCAAACACTTTGTATGAAATTTCTATAATTTTTTGTATTTTATCTTCTGGTAAAAATACCTTGAACAAAACTGAATCAATAATGAATCCCAGAAAACATTGTTCTTTGTGAAGGTATAAAATTTGATTTCTCTATATTTATTGAAAAACCTAGTGATTCTATTAAATCATTTACAAAATGTGTGTTTCTTTTTGCTTGTTCGAAACAAAGTGCTTGTAATAGGGAATCATCAATATAAAAGAAAGAACTAATTCCTAACTGTCTCACATGTGAAAATACCACTTTCATGATTTTTGTAAACATTCTCGGAGCTGAAGCTATTCCGAATGGGAGACATTCAAAATTATATAATTTGTTATTCCACATAAATTTCAAATACTTTTTACTGTATTCGTGTATTGCTACGGACCAATATGCCTCGGACAAATCCAGGCTTGTAAAAAATGCATTTCTAGAGATGCTTTTCAAAATAACTTCCAGAGTTTCTTGTTTAAAATGATAATACTGAATATAACTGTTTAATTTTTTCAGGTTAATAACTGGTCTAAATGTTCCATTTTTCTTTTTTACAAGAAAGAGATTTGAAATAAATTCACCTTTCTCATGGTGTTAAATTTTAATTGCTCCCTTTTTTAACATATCAGATACCTCTGTATCAACTAATCTTTCCTCATTTTTATTAAATTTTATAGGTCTTGGAATTATTTTCTGAACTGGTATTTCATCAAATTCTATTTTGTAACCAGTAATTGTTTCTAATACCCAACTATCTGATGTTAATTTTTTCCAATTTCTAATATGATATTTTAATTTACCAATGTTTAAGCCAACTTTTTCAACATGTTTACATGTAATACCAACCTTCAATTTTTTCTTCTGTATTGAGAATTCATCATGGGTTGCCTGTATGACCCTCTTGGGTAGCGGCTCTGCCCTCTGAAATTGCCTCTTGGGTTTGACATACCAAACCGGTACCCTCGCCGATAGGATCGGCCTCTGTAGTTTTTTGAACTGAAAGTTTTGTTAATCTTTTGTGCATCATTAATCTCCCGAAGTCTTTTACTAATATCATCTCCAAAGAGTTTTTTCACCCACGACCTCATTTCTGTTACACAGTTGATGGAATTTACGTTCAAAATGAGGCTTCAAATTCATTCTCCTTTTAATAGATAACTCAAAATGCAAATTACACTGTATAGAAATAGCTCTTGAAATTAACTCTCTCATTGTCTTAATACAAGGATTTTTCCCTCGTAATAATTCTGCCACCTTAATCAAAGGGACCATGCCTGCCCCTGTTAGCTTTTGAATATTTTGAGAAATCAAATCCTCAGTCTTAGCTCTACGGGCTAAAAATTGCCAAATTTCTGGGTTGACAGGTGGTGGTACTAAAGCTTTACAATTGCTAGGTATCTTGCTATCCTTAGTCAAAGATGTAACATCCGACTTTTTCTTACAAATTTTTTCTATGACTGATGCTATGGAAGGGCTGACCTCAGAATCAAACCGTTCATCGTCCTCAAAAATTTTTGGCATTTCATAATCAAACTCCTCGTCTTCACTTTCAACGACAAGTTGTGTGGGATCAACATTACTCTCATGTTCAGACAAATCATCAGTTTCAAACAAATTGAAAACATTTTGGTCATTTTCGACCTCATTAATGTCATTATCTTCAAGTTCCTGTATAAAACTATGGGGTCACTACTTGGACCTGCAGTACCACTACTATTGACATTTATTGCAGACACAATATTACTAGATAAGTCAGCAAATAATTGTTTCAGTAACTCATTTTGCTCGGCTTGAGCTTGTTTACTTTTAGAAGTTTTTCTGGGAGCCTTTGGCTTACTACAGCTAGCGGACGGTTCGTCCTGCGTAATTTGAATACTTCTTTTCAAAGGTGCTTTGCCTTTCTTATTTTTGCCTGGACCTTTTCCAGGTCCTTTTTCTGTAGGCACAACCACTGTTTTCTTATTAGTGTTTACGTTTGTACTCACAGTTTGTGAAATAGAATCTATATCCGGTTTAAGATAAACCCTGAATGCACTCCGGTGTATTTGAAGCGTGATTCACACTTATATTTTCAGAAAACCCGGAGAAACTTGCGTCAAACTCATCCTCGGAAGCAAAAAGCTTCATAATCTCCTCATAGTTTCTTTCATCTTCAGATTCTGAAGAAGATGGTCTATGAGACCTTGCCATTTGAAAATCTATAGTATAGACACGTGTATCGATCAAACAGGGTCTGCTTGATACGTACTTAAATGCGTGCGGCCTTGAAATAAAAGAGGATACTACTCAGGTCACCTGGCCTTATATACTACCTGGACATACAAAAAATCACTCAACTGTAAAATAGGCGTGTGGCTGGCACATAATAAAAGGTTCACTATTAACCCGAGTCAAGCCCGGGTTATGATATATAATGGTTTTGTGTGTGATCTAGTTTTTTGAATTTTTGCTGGTCAGTAATTCTAAAATTCTAAAATTTTCTTCAACAACAAAGGTTATTGCATTTTCATGAATTATACTGCAGTGTTTGTTACATGTTTTTGAAAACTAATTTTTACATATTTAAAAATTATATTTTCAGGGCTCTTGAAGTATTGGACCTTTTCTTCAATTTCATCTTCAATGTCAGATTAGAGGTCAGTTTCTATAGTTTCTTGTGCCATAAAACACATACAATTACATTAGCAAATAAACTTAAGTGTTAAAAATTCAAGAAGCAGTCGTGTTTAAACCAACAAAAAAAAACTTGTATATAATCTCCCAATTGTGAAATATTCTGGTGTTATTTAGATTACAATTTAATTATTCATTGTGTTTATCTGTTTATTAGTTATGTTATTAATGGGGCATTAACTACGAGATATAAAAATAAATTAATATATGATTTGTTTTGTTCAATCATTAATAAAAGTGAAATAGTGAAATAATAATTCGCTTTTAGCAGCCAGTTTGGTTCAATTTTGTCAAAATAAGCTAAGAAACATTGCTGATGAATTATTCACTTGCAAGTGAATAATTCGACCTCATTGAATCCGTATTCATGTGACCTTCAATTTAACCCCTAAGCTAGAGATGGGTTATGCATGAATAAGGCGTGTTCAGTTATTAAAAGAAAAAGAATTGTCTACATTGAAAGTGAAACAAGGGTAAACCATTTGATTCAATCGACAAAACTCATTCTTATACAGGTCAAAATAATGATTAACATATATTTTTAACCTATAATATGAAATCAAACAGACCTAGAAAAATCCAATTGCAAGAGTTCGCTATCTATTTATCTCTATATTTATGTTTATATCGGGTTATATGACCGTTGGCAGTCTTCGGTGGTCACCTTGATGGTTAATTAGATGGCGTCTAGACTAAATGATGAAATGCTGATACATATTATCGAGCCCATGCATTGTAAATTGTTTATTTTAGACTTTTTATAATTTGGATATACGTTTTAGTATGTTATAAATCAAATATGACAATTTGAGTCAAATCGGTGAACATGAATTTGACAGCTAATGCCCCTTTAAGAATATATCATAGAAAGGAGAAATTGAGAAATCTCAAATTTAATTTACCGTTTTAGTTACCAGATCAACATAAACTTTCTATATTCATTTTCTTGAAATCTTTGTGGCATATAACTTTACCATTATGTATTTTTTACAGAAATTCATGAATTGCTTCAAGTTGACACATACAGCAGCCAACAGGCCAAATCTTCCTCATCCAGAGTTAGCACCAATGCTTTATGAAACTTATGATCTGTCAAACCAGCATGGGTAAGGAAGAAACCTTTGAGGGTTTAGTTAAAAAAAGACAATTTTAGAATTCTAGGATACCCTTAAATTTGTAAACTATATTAACAGTAGTTATGATTGGTTGACGATATTATTAACTGTAGTTATAATTTATTTACAATGTCATTAATATTAGTTATGATTTATTGACAATGTCATTAATATTAGTTATGATTTATTGACAATGTCCTTAATATAAGTTTTGATTTATTGACAATATCATTAATATTAGTTATGATTTTGTTGACAATGTCATTAATATTAGTTATGATTTGTTGACAATGTCATTAACAGTTGTTTTGATTGGTTGACAATGCCATAAGCAGCTGTTATGATTGGTTGACAATGTCATTAATAGTTGTTATGATTGGTTGAGCTAGTTATTATAGTAGTTACTAATTATTGATAAAATCATTAAAAGTTGTTTCAATTGGTTAGCAATATCATTAAATGTTGGTTTGGTTAGTTGGTTGACAATATCATGAAAAGTAGAAAGTTACATGACCTTGCTTGATATTTTTATTTTGTTCAAATTACATAGAGTTCTTTGTATTTTTAAATTGATAATTGTCTAATGATTTTACTAAAGATTTGGACAAAATAAATCATGCTTCACATAATGCTTTTAACTAACATATTCAGGCTTTTACTAATTATAGACCTGTGTATGATGTGATTGAAAGGTATACAATTTTAACAATATTTCTGCACCTTACAAATGCTTTTTGTTCTTTCTAGATTTGTAATCCATTAATGAACACTGTACAATGTTTAAGTGATCTTGGTCCATTGTGATCATCTTATATCAGTATATCATTAGTACATCAATGGACTCTTATGGTAGAGTTCTTCTATAAATAACTGCTCTTTTTCAAGTTATGTAAAAAAAAATTTATTCTAAAATTAACCTGTATGCTAGGTTTATGCTAGATGTGTTAGATGTTTTGTTACAATAATAGTTCAGGATTTTAAAAAAAAAGTTGTGCCAGCCAGAGATTTTTTCCAATCTCATTTTTAGCATCTTCTGTATCTTAAGCTGTAGACATTCAAGCCAAATGAGGTAAATTCCAGGGGATCAGACCAAGTGCATGGACTTTGGTCAGGAGATGCCAGATATTGACTTTCCTAAAATTAAAACTAGATTATAATTTAGGATAAACATGTATATTTATTTATTTGATTTTTTATGTCCAAAGCTTTTGCATATGTTAGGAATATGATTCTCTTGATTTTTAGCTGGAAACTTTTAAATCAGATTTCATAAGAATCCACTTAAAAATAAAAGTTAAATCAGTGTCTTGTAACTGTTAACCTGTACATTTTCAGAACAGGTATACCTCATCTTTCTGCAATCCAATTATTCAATGTTAGCAACAGATATCTAATTTGGGGCTTTTATTACCTTCATGTCTTTTCATATCACTTATATAACCAGAAAATTTCTGTCTGTGCTAGTGAAATAGTCCAAAGATTATGAAAACTTTTAAACTTTGTCTCTAAAGCGATAAAACAGCTTAATTCTGGATGGACAATTTTAAAAACTACCTTACAATTTTGGAAAATTTAATAATTGTGGAAACTCTTTAATGGCTTTTTATAGCTAACAAGAATAATCCATTTGCACAGCATATCACCATATGGAGAAATACAGAAAAAAAGGAAATAGGGTAAATGATAGCCAGACTGGCAGACAGTAAATAAAAAAATGAAGTGTGTCAGGGGTATAGAGATACTTCTCCGATCTAGAAGTAAGACTTATCCTGGATGGCAACTTTGGCTATGCGGAATGTGGGGAAATTAAATCAACTATTCCATACTTAACCCTTATTCAAGATAACCTATTTTATGTAGGCCAGTCCATATTTCTGGCGTTTCATCATCTACCCACTTTACAGAACTTACTTATTTGATCTTATAGTTTGTTCTTGTCCTGAATATGCATAAGATTTTTGCTACTGATATTATTTATATATATATATATTTGTCTCAGTGATTGCTGTTAGTCAAACAAGCATCACTAACTGATTACTTTGAATAAATTTAGAATGAATTTGGAAATTAAAAAGAGGTAAGAGACAGCACCAGAAACCCTAAACAACATTTCATCAATAAGTTTTAAATGTTAGATTGTATGAGAACAGAGTACCATTTCAATGATTTTGAACTTTTTTGTCTCTTAGAAGTGCACACTTTTTTTCATGTTTATATGTATTGTCACAAATTTGTTTTTATTTTGATGATTTTTAAAGTGATGATCATACTTTAGTTATAATTATACTAAAAATGCTGGTCGGAAAATGTAATGGATTAGTCTTACAGAATATAAAAGAATTTTGTAATTTTAATGTTTTTGCACACATTTTATCCTCATTTGATTTGCCATCAGAAAGTGATACACTAATGAATGATACTGTTCTTTTGAATGGAAGAGAAAAAAAATATAGTTTATTCAATGTCTTTGCTTGAGTTGTGAAGAAATTGCACATTTTGCTTCTTTATCACCATGTATTGAATCAATGAATTAATAGTGATACCTGTAAATTACATCAAAGAATTGATTGTAAGTTTTCTTTAGATCCCCACTGGTGGGGGATTATATTGCAATCCCCTTGTCTGTTCCACCATTCCTCCATCAGTCCCTGTATGATTGTAAGTTTTCTTTAGATCCCCACTGGTGGGGGATTATATTGCAATCCCTTAGTCTGTTCATCAGTCCCTGTGTGATTGTAAGTTTCCTTTAGATCCCCACTGGTGGGGGATTATATTGCAATCCCTTTGTCCGTTCCAACATTCCTCCATCAGTCCCTGTGTGGTTGTAAGTTTTCTTTAGATCCCCACTAGTGGGGGATTATATTGCAATCCCTTTGTCTGTTCCACCATTCCTCCATCAGTCCCTGTGTTCAACAGATATTTCTCTCACTTTTCTCAGGTTCCACTTAACAGAATGTCCTTATTTTAATTCAACAGCAAGTCTGTAATGAGTTGAACTTTATTGGATCCGTCAGACACATACTTCCAGTGTTCTGATACTTTGATTTTTTTAATATGTTAAATAAACTTATTATTTTCATCACACTTTTCTCCAGTACATGGGAACAGAAGTTATTTCATATGTGGTCTACAGCTTTACAGTGATGAGCTGTAAGGTGTAGAAACTTTATGAATCTGTCAGAATACTTCTTCCTGTTGTCTGATACTTTGAATTACGAGTTTGGGTATGCTTAGCCTGCCAATACGTGCAATTTCTTGTTTATTCATGTTACTCTTGTATACTAACATTGTTGTCCTGCTGCAGTCTGTATAACAAACATGCATTTCTTGCCATGTGGTCATTTTAGATGGAAGATACAAATAGCAATCTGGTTAAAGTTTAATCTGTCTGTAAACACAAGACTGCACAACCTGTAGTAAAGTCATACTAATTGCCTTCTTTGGATTCTTAGTTAAAGACCTTCTTGTTATATTTTCATTCAAAAGAGTACGAATCCTAGGTTTTACATGAAGTTATATATATTTCATTTTCCCTACCATCACTCATTTTCCTATCATCACTTGTTTTCTTTAACTCAGGCTTCCGTACAATACTCTTACAGTTTTAAGGAATTTATTCCTCCTCCGAAACATCAATATTAAAAAAAAATTTACCAGCGTATTGATTTGTGATAATTTGTTTAACGATCAAGATTATTATTTCAGTGATAAGATTCATTTGACATCTTACTGATGCAGGATATTAGTTATCCGAAATATTTAACATTTGTTCATGATTTTATTTTTTGTGGTGATGTTGTACCCTTTTAGACTTGTTATATATTATATTTTGTAGTGTACTGTATCATAATTATATGATCCATTGCCCTGTAAGATTTATTGTTGGCTATTATTCAGACATTTTATATATATATAAAGCAGTTGTGAAGTAAAGGACAATGAAACAGCAACCCAACAACACAAAACCAAAAGACTTTACCTATACTCTGAGAAACAGTTTTAAACATGTGGTAGATTTATCAATCTTTTTATTCCACTACATCACTGCTTCATTACTAGTTACATTATAGTATTTCACTGAAGATGGTAAAATATTTTCATCTCATTCATCTTTGAAATGATTACAACAATAAAAACATTGATTGTAGGCAAAATAAATATCCATTAATCCTTTTTTTTTATTCACCTTCTTTTTAAACTGCAAATGTTGATGATCATATTATGGTCTAGTGTGTCATGGTTGTCATAACTGTCTATAGACAAAAAATATTGCAGTTACTTTGGAAATAGTTTACCAATCCATATGAAATTTCAATTACTTGGCACAAACACAGACTGATATAGATTGGGGATTGTAACCTGTTTTTGATTTGGGTCAAAGGATCTGTGCTTAGCATGACCTTTTCATATTAAATGTAATATTTCATCACCAACATAATATTAATGCTTGAATTTTTTAACAATATATGTATAAAATTAAACTGTCTATATTTTTCAGAGTGTCCAAAGCTGCAGTAAAGAGAACAAAAGATATATTTTATCAGACAGATTACATCAAAACTTATGATCTGGTGTCAATATTGAGGGTAAATAAATACAATAAAACACTATGTCTATATTGAAATGAACGTTTTTTTTCTTACTGTACCAAGAGTATATCTTGCTTACATCTTTTGGCCATTTTATAGGATTAACCCATGATAACAGTTTTGAAACGTTAAATTTTCAAAAAAGTGTTGTTTTATATTTTTTTGTCATGCAAGCTATATGTTGAATTGATTTCATTTGCTATATATGTTTTAATGTTAATGTTGTAAAAGCTTTAAAAACCATATTAAATTTAAGAAATTTATGGTAAAGAAATTGATATGATTAATAGTTTTTCTAATACTTCTAAAACATTGAGGATATATATAGAGTATTGTTTGTTTTGCAGGATTTGTCATTTTACCAGTATGATGAGATGGTCAGAATGTCTATGGCATTATTAAACAGATATTATTCATCCTATAACCAGTTGTTTACTAGAGCAGTACAAGCACAGGTATGTGTATGTAATTATTACATGTGAAGCAGGATATCTGTATGTAATTATTACATGTGAAGCAGGATATGTGTTTGTTATTATAACGTGAAACAGGATATGTGTATTTAATTATAACATGTGAAACAGGGTATGTGTATGTAGTTATGATATGTGAAGCAGAATATGTGTATGTTATTATAACGTGAAACAGGATATGTGTGTATTTAATTATAACATGTGAAACAGGGTATGTGTATGTAGTTATGACATGTGAAGTGGGATATGTGTATGTTATTATAACATGTGAAACAGGATAGCTGAATGTTTTTACATGTAAAGCAGCAGGATATATGTATGTAATAATGACATGTGAAGCAACAGGATATATGTATGTAATAATGACATGTGAAGCAGCAGGATATATGTATGTAATAATGACATGTGAAGCAACAGGATATATGTATTTAATAATGATATGTGAAGCAGCAGGATATACATATGTAATAATGACATATGAAGCAGCAAGATATATGTATTTTAATATGACATGTGAATTAGCAGGATATATGTATGTAATAATGACATGTGAAGCAGCAGGATATATGTATGTAATAATGACATGTGAAGCAGCAGGATATATGTATGTAATAATGACATGTGAAGCAGCAGGATATATGTATTTAATAATGACATGTGAAGCAGCAGGATATACATATGTAATAATGACATATGAAGCAGCAAGATATATGTATTTTAATATGACATGTAAATTAGCAGGATATATGTATGTAATAATGACATGTGAAGCAGCAGGATATATGTATGTAATAATGACATGTGAAGCAGCAGGATATATGTATTTAATAATGACATATGAAGCAGCAAGATATGTGTATGCAATAATGACATGTGAAGCAGCAGGATATATGTATGCAATAATGACATGTGAAGCAGCAGGATATATGTATGTAATAATGTTATGTGAAGCAGTAGGATATATGTATGTAATAATGATGTGAAACACAAAAAAAAAGTAAATTCTGACCTTTATTGACAGGTGCCCCTTTTGCATTTGATATATTTACACATCTTTTATACATAGGTGAAGCATGTCAATTCCACTCTATATCACAAAATGTTGACATAGTTTGTCCTGTCATTGATCTGTTTATATATTAATATTTACATTTCAGGTCTTAATCACTGACAAATCAATAGAAGTGTTTGAAACTCTAGAGAAGATATTACCAAAACTAAGAAGATTTGCCACTGCTAAACTAAATGAGACACAAACAAAAGAGTTGTGTGATATACTCGCTAAATTGATTGAGTAAGCAATGTAGTTTTAAAGATTTTTTTCTCATTTGCATACCCACTATATATTGTGTCAAATCCACAAAAAATCACTTCATATTATGTTTTAACCAAGTGGAAAGAAAAAATTGTATTGCTAAAGATAAAAAAAACAGGAAACTATAGAATAATCCAGTAAATTATGATGAAATTGAACAATTTTGTAGTAAATTTATGGTAATCTATACCTAACTTGTTATGCCTACTGCAAATAACTGAAAAAAATGTCATTTAACAGTTGTATAATGATTATTTAGTACATAAGCCTGTTCAGATAAATGACCAATAATCCTTAGGTTGGAGTAAATAAGATTTCCTTTAATATGATTGGTTGCAAGTGCTTCCAGTAGTGCTTTTGTTTTTGGCATGTTCTTTTTATTTTATAGAAACTTCTAACCAATATTTACCATCAATGTTTGTAGAAAACAGCAAATAGTTAACAGAATTTCAAAGATTAAATGAGATTTTTCATGTCAATAAACTCCCTACAAATGTGTTGAATCCTATAATATTACAGGATGTGTCATTTGGAAGGTGAGATTGAAGAACAACATGGTATGAACCAGAGTATCTTGTACAACCATGGTATATTGGAGGATTGCTTTACTATTTTGTCACAGGAGATAGATGTTAAACTTCTGGTAGGTACTCATATCCAATATGTTGACAATAACTATGGTGTACAGGGTCTTGCTGTTAATTATCATCATGAGCATTGGGTGTTTGGAGAGGTTTCATAATTATCTCAAATATGTTTTATTTTTCACTGGGTGAATCTTTAAGATTATAGTATATAAAGTTATTTGGCCAAACATCAATTGGTTACCATCATCCATCACATGTCCATAGTTTTTCCACATTTTTGTTCTTTTGTGAATTTGCACAAAATGGAACTGAACTGGGCCATGTTATCATTGAGGGTTTTACTTAAATATTATTATTTATTGCTGTGCTTACCATCAACATGGTCAAAATAACTAAAGATGAATAAAGTTGCAAAATCAACAATATAATGGGAAAATTGTGTATAAGAACATTTGCTTCCTAACTTAAAATGATACACGAATGACAATATTTGTGAAGTATCTAATTCACCATAAAGCATGTCTGCTACTATTACTATGGATTCATTATTTTTCGTTGGATACCAAAATACAAGTGAACCACAAATTCAAATATTCAATAAGTTACCAATTTTCTATAGATTTTGTATGCAGAGATTGGCAAAACCACGAAATCAAATATCCACGAAATGCAAGTTTTCCTAAATCCACAAAAATTGATACCCACGAAAAAAAATGAATCCACAGTACTAGAAATAAAAGACTTGGATGAAAAATAAAAACTAGGAAATTCTGCAAAGGGGCATGTGCTATGAAGCTGTGAAGAATTGCTTCATATTGTATTCCTCTTTAATAATTGAGGTTTTCAATCCAAAATACTGTCAATTATTTCTATTACCAAAACTAAAACTATAACTTTGAAGAAAAAAATTGTGAAAATATAAGAACTAGATGCTACCAAGCTTTGAAGAAATTATTTATTTTACTGGGAAGGAAATAAAACTTTTCCCCAGAATCAATACCTGTTTATTTGGGTGTTAAAACTTTTTTACAACATGAACTGTCCCATTGAATAAATACAATAATGTAATTCAGAGAACAATAGCTATTGTATTTATTCAGAGAACAATAGCTATTGTATTTATTCAGAGAACAATAGCTATTGTATTTATTCAGAGAACAATAGCTATTGTATTTATTCAGAGAACAATAGGTATTGTATTTATTCAATGGAACAATTCAAGCTTCAAAAATGAAAGTATTCAAATAAACATGTACTGATTCTGGGGAAAGGTTTTATTGTCTCGCCTGCAAAGAAAGTTGCAGAATGCGAGACATAGGGATAACAATCTGGCGGCAGCATACCTTGTATGAAGATACCTAATGTTATGAAGTTTCCGCTTGTCATATGTTCATTGTCCTTGACCTCATTACAGTTTTTTGTTAAGTGAAATACTCACTTATTTTGAGTAATAGGATAACTATATTTGGTAAATAGGTTCCTTGCAACGTCTACATATCCGTCAGGTAGGGTTCACCTGACTTCGTCCTCATTTTATTGATCTGTGATCAGTGGTAAAGTCTGTATTTCAGATACTATAAGCAATAGGTCAACTATATTTGGTGTATGGAATGATTGTAAGGTGTACATGTCCCACTGGCAGGTTTCATCTGACCTTGACCTCAATTTCATGGTTCATTGGAAAATGTTTAGTTTTTGTGGTTTGGTCTATTTCTCGGATACTATAAGCAATAGGTCAATTATATTTGGTGTATGGAATTACTGTAAGGTGTACATGTCTGGATGGCAGGTTTCATATGACAGTGACCTCTTTGTCATGATTCATTGATCGATGACAAATTTTCATGGTTTTGTCAGTTTCTCAGATACTATAAGCAATAGGTTAATTATATTTGGTGTAGAGCATTATTGTAAGGTGAAAATGTCTGTCTGTATTGTGTATTGAAATTGAAAATCACATAATTTCTTTGTCTCTCTTGGCAACCCTCTATTTATATTACACCTCCTCTAAACAAAAATCCAGGATCAACTAAACAGATTATTCATGAAAAGATGGACCTATTTCTTTTGTAAAAGGTATATGAATTACATGGTCAACATCAATTCTTCCTGTGAAGATGCATACTGTTGTAAAATTATAACAATAATAATAAAAATTACGATTAATTAAACATCTGTCTGTTTGTGACAACTCTGTCATTAAAATTTAAAGTTGGCATTTAAGCTTGATATTTTTTCCCACTACTATATTCCAATTTAGGAAATTGTTTTTATTAAGCAAAACACCTATTTTGTTATCTACAATAAACAAAAATGCATTATTCCATGTTCATATCTGTGACTTTTAATTTGTATCACTGCTGTTAGTATTCCCAAGTAAGTATAATTGAAAGATTTGAGCACTGTGTGATAATTGTTTATATACAGCAGTAACTTGTATCAATTGTTTCATCGTCAGAATAAACAAAGTGTTTTTTACTGTATTATGCACGTCTTTTATAGATAGCACCTCTGTTGTGAAAGTATGTGATTGATCACTTCTTAATTTATTTCAACAATGTCAGTAATATTTGAGAACATTTTGTTAACACATTTTGATGATTTACACACAACAAGACTTTTTTTTTATTTTATTCTGCGATCGACCATTTAACTATACTTATATATTCTCCTGGTATCCTGCTTCTGTGAACAGTTACATTCAAATCACTTTTTATGTCACAGTTTACTTTTGGGTTCTCTTCGCGGTCTTGTTTAAAATAATGTGGATTTCATAAAAAATGAAATTCAATGTTTGGGAAGTAAAAAACTATACGTTTTAGCATAATTTTCAAACTGCAGGATAAAACATGTTCATACATTGTAGCTTATTATTTGGAGAAGACAGGCAACACACAACTTCAAGTTGCAGAGACAAATAGGAATCACTTTTATTTTCTTATGTCATTGTCATCCATGTCGTACCTTTCACAAATTGTCAATCCTTTACTCATTGAAAATGGCTAGACAGAGTTCAACTAAAGCACAGTTTCTTCTAAATGACATGAAGTTGTGCACCTGCTATTATAATTTTTTATCCGAGTGATTTTTGCCCATAAAAAACAAGGACTTACTACTTATATCAGTTTTGTAATCTGCAACTCCCTGAAAACTGCTTGACATCTGCAACTCCTTGAAAAATGCTTGACAGAATTCCACCAAACTTACACTGATTTTTCTAAAGGACACTAACTTTTGGCCTGCTATTTCAGTTTTTAATAAAAATGATATTTTTTTACTTTTCATGGTTCACTTAAAGTTTTATCCTGATACTGTAATATATAAGATCATAGAATCAATAATGGATGTGCGCCTTAGTTCAAAGGTCTTCGTTCAGGTAATAGAAGATTGATTTGGTTTTTGAATGCCACAAGCATGGTGTATTTCAAGTAAAATTGTGCCCAAAAGGTCATATGAGCTATTGCAATCACATAGCGTGTGTTATTCAGTCAAAACATTTTCAGATTTTTCTTGTCTGAAATGACCTTTACAAACAAGAACCATAACTTTAGTTGAATGGTTTTTGCATTGAATGTATTCAAAAACATATCCAGCAGGTTGTTAATTATTGGAGATAGCTGGTACAGCCTTGGATTAGCTGAGACAAATATTCCTTTGCCAACTATGGCATAATTATGGTGGAATGTTCTTCACAAATCATTTACAAAATTATATCTCACAGCCCACATGGCATCAAAGATGACTTCTGTAGCTTATAATCAAAATCTTAAATGATATCACCAATAATGTCTCCCAGAGCAGCTGATGGCTGAAACAACTTCATCTTTGAAACAACTTCATCTTTTTCAAAAATTGAAAGACAGAGCTGAATACATTTTGGTATATATAGATGTACAATTCAGGCAACTTATTAAAAAAAAAAGATTTAGAGAAAGTGACACAAGTATCGAAGTAAATCTCTGATGTTTCCACAAGTACTTCAATCATGATTCCTGGTGTTTCCACAAGTACTTCAATCATGATTCCTGATGTTTCCTCAAGTTCTTCAATCATTTTTCCTGATGTTTCCACAAGTACTTCAATCATGATTCCTGATGTTTCCACAAGTACTTCAATCATGATTCCTGATGTTTCCACAAGTACTTCAAGTACTTCAATCATGATTCCTGATAGAATGTTTCAATTAGACTATTAATAAAATAACTAATCTTAAAATTCACATTTAGAAAAATATTGAACAAGTGACTGAACAACACATTCACGAATACTTGTAGGGTATGAGTTAATTATCAGTGTTGTTTGGTAATGAGTTTGATATTTTTCAATATTTAATTATTTATTCTTTTTATTACATTTCTTATGGAAATAAAGTAGAAAATACAAGGAACTATAACTATTTCTATGCATTTCCAATTCGTTTTGATGCAACGTCATCCACAAAGTCTTGACAACAACCATTGTTGTATGACGTCAGAGGAGTGAAATTTTTGTATTTATTTCACATGTGAAATTATTAGTTTTAATCTTACTGAGAAATCACCGTATTTCATCACAACCAATGTAAAAATGGTTTATATTTATTTTTCAGGACCAGTATACAGGACAAAGAAGGGTCTATCAATTGACCTTCACCTTATTAAAGATGATGGCTAGACAGAACAAAACAGTTCAAGGTCGTTTGTTTGACCGTTTAGACATGTTATTGTCTAAAGAAGGGGCTGGGACAGAGTTAGCTGAGTGTTTGACAGAGGTAATTATTGAAAATATTCTTGTAAAAAGATTCACCTTTTTATATTTTAAAATGAGATTGCTACTCATAAGAGTGAGCCAAAAATATTCTTCTGGAGAATAATTTTATATGAACGTATAGTATGTGTTCTAATTGCCTTTAAGACTACAATCTGCCAACATCAAAAGCTGAAAAAATGAATTTGATAGGTGTTCTAAAGTCAATAGTGCAGGAAAGTTCTTATAGATGTAGTAAGGACATAGTTATCTATCATAAAAACTTAATAGTAGAAACTTTATTCAATTCTTCCAAACTGCTTTGCATGAACAGGGATTTATCCTTTGTTCTTCCATATTTTTTGTCAATTTTTTCAAGTGCCTGTCAACACTTAAGGTTGTGAGTTCAAACCCAGTATGTGGTAGGTGAGTTCTACTCCAATCTTAATTGACTAAGATTGCCAGTTTTCCTGTCAAAGGTTGGTGGCTCTCTCCGGCTTCCACCACCGATCATATAATATATACTTCTGTAAATGAAACTGTTGATGATTTCCCTCATGTAAGTTGATAATTCAGTTCCATTAATTATGGGTTTATTTTTTTAGGTTTTTACTGGAAATTCAAATACATGTATGAAAGTGACTGGTAACCAGATTCAGAAAATTATGGAACTTGTTTCTAAAAATCGTGAATCAGTGCCACAGTTCTTGGACTTATTGAATGCCATAGTGAAAGTGGAAGAGTTAGATTTACCACTGAAAAGAAATCAAGGATTCGTGATGAACTATTTTATGCAGTATCGAGCTGAGGTAGCTTTTGTTATTGACCAAGATGAAGCAGCAAGGTATGTAGACAAATTATATAATTGAATTGCCTGCATCAATTATTTGATTGGTGAAGTTTTCTGTCAATACCAGTAGGTCTTTACATTTCATTAATAAAAGGATTCATTTGGTTTCATACATGAAAAATTTTATATCCTGGAAGAGTTTTGTATGTGCTCGGATCTTATGTAGTTGGAAAATTATGATTTGGAAAAATGATTAGATGAGGATCTCGTGAGATAATTTTTTTTTAATGACTAATAGATAAGTTGGTAAAAGGAACTTCTGATATAACATTGAGATGTGGAGGTTATAAACATCTTAAAAAGCAAATATTTAAATTTTTCTTAAAACCATTGTTAAAGGTCTTTTGAAGAGATGTAAGTATTTAATCTTAATCGCCCACATATTTCGGACATGTCACTCTTTAGTAAGGGTTCATTGGTACATGTAATTGTTTCCAATTGTTATAGAATAATTGGAAGACTGAATTGTGATGCTTAGGTTATTTTTGTTCCTTCCAATACATTAATTCAATTGATAGTAATGGATATAGTTTAAACATACTTTATTTGCTAAATCTAAGCAAAATGGATGAGACACAAGTAAGTCATACTTATGAAGTCTTCTCCATATTACAATATAAGTATATATACAATAGTAATATTATGAGCATGCATGTAAAACGAACAAATTCATTAGATATTATACAAACTATTAAAAAAAAAGAAAAAAAAAGAGAAGTAAATCCTATTTTTCTGTGACGATGACTTAGGTTTTGATGACGATGACCATTGGTGCCAGTATCAATAACACTTTATGAAGGTACTAGAAATCTGTTTGACCTTTTAACAATCTTAATTGAAATACAGTATGTCTTAAGAGTTTTGGTCTACATGTCGGGAATCCTCTTTCTTCCAGGTTACTTTGTGTTATATGGAATTTTTGTACCCGCAACCTTACTACGTGGAATTATTTATTTATTTTAGAAGAGACAAATCAATTCAATCAACTTTATGTCTCTTATTTTACAAGAAAGACTCTTACTGATACTACTGATATCCTGGTCCCTGTGTCAACAACTTGTATTTCATTTCTATTTTTATGCCCATCCCATGTCTGGTTTAAGTTTTGGTTTAAGGTAGGTTTAAGTTTTGGTTGATGGTAGTTTGTTGTCACATCAACTTGAAACTTAGTACACATGTTCATTATGAAGGTAGCTGTTTAATATTTATATATATATGTAAAATTAGGGTTTTGACACAGATTTCATGATTCACTGAACATGGAAATGTGATAATGTGAGTGGGGCATGGTGTCCTATGATCACATAGTCTTGTTAAATGTGAAAATTTGTAACATAAACAATACAATACAAATTGGGAGGCAATTGGTAACTTTTTATGCTTCTATATTATACTATTCAAATTCATTATTAATTAGTTTCATTATTTCGTAGGTTTCAGATTCTAACAGATCCAAATCACAAGCATTTACAGTATCTGATAGCTATGGTTGATATGCTTGCCACCTGTGCTGAAGTAAGTCATTATAACACAAGCATTTATAGTATCTGATATCTATGGTTGATATGCTTGCTACTTGTGCTGAAGTAAGTCATTATAACACAAGCATTTATAGTATCTGATAGCTATGGTTGATATGCTTGCTACTTGTGCTGAAGTAAGTCATTATAACACAAGCATTTACAGTATCTGATAGCTATGGTTGATATGCTTGCCACCTGTGCTGAAGTAAGTCATTATAACACAAACATTTACAGTATCTGATAGCAATGGTTGATATGCTTGCCACCTGTGCTGAAGTAAGTAATTATAACACAAGCATTTACAGTATCTGATAGCTATGGTTGATATGCTTGCCACCTGTGCTGAAGTAAGTCATTATAACACAAACATTTACAGTATCTGATAGCTATGGTTGATATGCTTGCCACCTGTGCTGAAGTAAGTAATATTAACACAAACATTTACAGTATCTGATAGCTATGGTTGATATGCTTGCTACTTGTGCTGAAGTAAGTCATTATAACACAAACATTTATAGTATCTGATAGCTATGGTTGATATGCTTGCCACCTGTGCTGAAGTAAGTAATATTAACACAAGCATTTACAGTATCTGATAGCTATGGTTGATATGCTTGCCACCTGTGCTGAAGTAAGTCATTATAACACAAACATTTACAGTATCTGATAGCAATGGTTGATATGCTTGCCACCTGTGCTGAAGTAAGTCATTATAACACAAGCATTTACAGTATCTGATAGCTATGGTTGATATGCTTGCCACCTGTGCTGAAGTAAGTAATATTAACACAAACATTTACAGTATCTGATAGCTATGGTTGATATGCTTGCCACCTGTGCTGAAGTAAGTCATTATAACACAAACATTTACAGTATCTGATAGCTATGGTTGATATGCTTGCCACCTGTGCTGAAGTAAGTAATTATAACACAAACATTTACAGTATCTGATAGCTATGGTTGATATGCTTGCCACCTGTGCTGAAGTAAGTAATTATAACATAAGCATTTACAGTATCTGATAGCAATGGTTGATATGCTAGCTACTTGTGCAAAACTAAGTAATTATAACTCTCCTTTAAACAAAAACAAATAATATTTTGGTTAAAAATGTTTCTTTATTATGAAAGTTATTGTTCTTTTTCTGTTTAGATGCAGTTTGCTCTTCATATCAGTAATTTCAAATAACTGCCATTTTATATTGTAACTATTTTTATGTTGTTTTTAATTACAGGGTGAAAACAGGTTTATAGAATCAATTTGTCAAACAATTTTCAAAATACCAGAACTTCTGAAAATTTTAAGTTCTCCATCTATAAATAACAACTTGAAGAAGCCGTTCCTGAGATTTTTCCTTTGGGTGTACCTGAATACAGCTGGTGGCATGATAGAAAGTGGTGCTGGTGATCTTCCACATGAAAAGTAAGCTGTCTTCTGTTGTGAACACATTATTATAGGAAATAAAGTTTATAATGGTTTAAATTCACAAGGATTAAATTAATTTATGTTTTTTTTATTTATTTAAAACCAGAATTTATCAGCTGCAAGTTATCAGTTTGAAAACAATTATCTATAGATAAATACAAAATGTATCAGTTTTGGAGGCAATACCTTCTGAATAGTATTTTACATATGGATTCAGTTACCAGTTCATTACAGTCAACAAAAAAACTTTATAGGAAGAAATGATATATGTAATACTTCCATCATAAAGGTAACATTTATTTGCTTACATTCAATCTTTTCTAACACGTAAGTAAAAAAAGTACTGAAGTTGAGAGTTGATGCTGTTAATTATGGATTAGACGGTCGCAAATGCAGTTTTAGTGGCAATGTGTAGTGGAGCCAAAAAAAATGGATATTTGCGACTGTCAAATCCCACTTGACGGCGACAACTCTTCAACTTCAGTACTGTTATTCCTCTTCTATTGCATTACAAAAAGAAATAATATGTTAGAGCTTGCAAAAAATGTATAAATTTGAAATAAAATATGATTCCACAAAAATTCACGAATGATTTTGGCTTATAATCGTCATGGCTAAACGTGACGTCATGCAACTGAAAACTCTCAAACAGAAGGTTATTACATTACTTCTACGATTCAAATTGATAAAATCAAATCAAAAGAGGTGTTTTTGAGGTAGATGTTATTTTATTTTCAATTATATTGTAGTAATTTAACATTTGTCGATCTAAGCAAATTAATATGGGGGCTCACTCTTTAGTAACGACATATCAACTGAGCATTTGTAACTAAATTTTAGCCAATGAACAAAATTGTTACAAAAAAATTGCATTAGAATTATTTGTTAACATTCTATCCTGAAAAAAACACTTATTTGTTTACAGATCTATGTGGGCATACATAAATGGAATGAATCCTTTGCTTAAAGAGATTGCTGATTTTGCTAGGAAGGATCCAAAGACTATAAAAACATTCTTGAAAAGGCCACCTGCAAAGGGGTATGTATAATTATTATGGATCCAAGGGGACATAATTTATCAAGTTGCACATTGATTTCAAGAAGGAAGTCTTAGAAATTACATCTTTGAGCAAAAGAACTTACTTGAAATTAGCTGAAAGAAATTGTCATGGTAATTTTTTATAATAAATGTTAAAAAACCAAGAATTTTATAGATTAATAGATAATAATTCAAATTTCAGTATTGTATAGAAGATGACTTTAAAGTCTAAGACTTCTTTTTTACTTCTTTAACCTCTTTTCCATTGGCATTTTTTACAATGTAATAGATAGTCATAGCTGTATATTTCCCAAATTAGTTTCTTATTTTTCATTTTTCAATTTTGATACTTATTGTTAACTTTAAACAAAGATATAATCTTTGTAATAATAATATATGAAATAACTTCGTTTTATGTGAATATATTATAAATCTACATAAAATTAATGTTCTCTTTTAAAAAAAATTATCAAATTAATATTCGTCTGGTTCAATTCAATTTGGAAAAATAATTTCTTTTGTTATATGGTCAAGACGTAGTAACTTTGTTATGTCCTTTAGATTATAATATGGTCTTGTTTTAGAAAAAATGTAAATTAAATCAGCAATTTAAGTAAGAAAAACAATTTTTTAAAGAAAGAAAAAAGTTGTCAGTAGTTATCAATGTTTACGAATTAAATAAAGACTGATTTTACAAGAAGGTTTCAAAATGTGTTAACACTTTGTAGAACTGAAAGTTTATTTTTAATGCAAGCTAAAATCTTCTACATAGGGTTTAAAAAAAATAATATTGATAAACTGACGACCTTGAATACTGCATGTTTGAAATGTGTAGTGTATTAATAGCTGCTTTTCCCAATTAGATGTTCAATGCCTGCTTACCCATCTGTATAATGATTGACTTTTATTTTACAGAGATCTCAGGTTTGTAGATTGCTTTGCTATATACTTGCATGTAGTTGTTCTGTACACACACATGTGTGTAATATGTTTCCTAATTGGTAATTCACTGTTTGCCGAATCTGTAAAAACAGCTGGGAAATTTCTCAACTTATGAATAACTATTGATATATGAAATGAATAGAATATGATATTTACTAGTAATACTAGTAAATGCCTTGGTCAGATAATATGTTGACATAGTGTACCCTATTAAATCATTGGGTCGGATAATATGATGACATAGTTTACCCTCTTAAATGCTTGAGTCAGATAATATTATGGCATAGTTTCAATCAGAAATACCTGGGTCAGATGATATGTAACATAGTTTACCATCAAATATACAATCAACAGCTACAAGCCACTTTTTAACTTCTATTTATTTGGAAATAAAACTCTCTATGTGCTGTAATTATTTTATCTTGTAAAAACTATGCTATAACTAATCAAGTTCTTACTAAACAGACAGATAGGAATAATTGAAATAAGAACCATTAAAAATTAAATATGAATATGATTGCTTTTAGCCTTATGTTTCATGGTGATGGTGTCACAGTGGTTTGAATTTATTGTAAACTCACGTTATTTCACCAAATTTTCTTGGTATGTTTTCATGTCTTATTCATTTTTTGTGGGTCTATGGAAGGTCCTTGATTTGTAGAAGTCATATAAAGTTGATTTAAACGTCATAGCTGATTGGGGTTTTTATTAGAGAAAAATCAGGGATTTAGTATGCTTTGAAATTTATTTTATTTTGTTTACAATTACAGTGATAGGGAAAAAGTATATGAATGGTAAAAGATAAATACAGATACAAGAATTTGCTTGCTTACACTAACAAAACTCGATATTCACTGAGACATATTGAATGGAAATATTAAAGAATATCTACCTACTTGAGTGCATGAAAATTTAATAGGATAACAGTTTTCAGTAATGTCCAATATAATTGCTTATGCTTTAGGCTGATACAATACAATCTAGCATAATGCCATTAAAACACTTAAGTACCTGGCCCTTGGAGTTTTTGTCACATAGGCTACTGTAGGTAAATAAAAGGACAGGTTTCTAAAGTTTGAACTTTTGGTATATAAAATATGTAAGATGAAGGAAACAACGACACGTTTATTGTAGAAAAACTCTTTTCACAAAATTATCGGGAAATTCAGTATTAAAATACCACTTTAATTTGCTGAAACTTGCATTCTACCCAAGATATAAATGTAATAGATACTGAGACTAAGAGAAATGGATAATTTTAAATGGATAAAATAGATTTTTTGGTGCGACAAATTTATATAATGTATATTATAGGAAGTTTGTTAAGTCTTTGAAATATATTTTACACAACGACCTTGAATCACCCTTTATTTTTCCCAAATATACCTTGCATGATTATTCTTTGTTTGGGTGTATGTAAATCCTGGATGCTTTATTACTTGGAGACATCTTGTTTAAACTGTTTGGTAATCCCAATCAATTCACCATTATTGAAAATTCCCTGGTTGTTGTGGAACCTAATATCTGATTTTTACTTAGTCTGAAAAAGATATTATACAACAGTGCTGTTAAACTCTAGACTGTAGAAATTAATTGGTTATAGACTAGTATGTTATTTATATATATATGCAAACATGACAAGCTTTTGTATAGAATCTAATCTGTCTTATAGAAAATTTTCGTGATAGTTTATTAAAGGTTACACAATTATTGAAAAGATTAAATTATGCAATATATCTGCAGTCATGTGTTTTTGACTTAGAGAGAAACCTCATGGAATAAGATAGCTCTTATTAAGATAATATAATTTTTTTATTAACGATAGGATTTAAGTATTTTTATTAAAGATAGGATTCTAATATTTTTATTTAAATTTAACTAAAACATAAGAGATTCAAAAGTAAAATTTAACTTTATTGAAATATTTCGTAAAAATATTGCAGAGATCTTTACATTGATTTATATGATTTCCCTTACATTTGTACCAGAAAAATTCTTCTGTGTAGCCTCATTCAAACATTTTAAGGTCAAACTTGATCCAAACATCCTTGAACTTACAAGGTCATTGTGCCAGTTTGACATTTTTCAAGCATCAGTGTGTATTCTTATGTATATTAATCAACCCTACCTTCATAAATATATTTAATTTATCACATTTATCTCAGCCGGGATATGAAAATGATCTTCAAGATTTTATATATTCTGTTTCACTTAGATAAGTAAAACTCGTATCAGGACTTGATATTTTCCAACCTATAACTATAATTTGAAGTTGATTACTGCCCCAAATTAATAACTTATATTCTTTTGTAGTGACACAGGAACAAGTGCCAATGAAGCTATCAATGGATCCATTCATTACCTTTTTGACAGCGTCATGCCTTTCTTACAGGTAAAACATAAAAACATGCAATATTTAAATTATATGTGGCAGGGTTTAACTGGGTTTTTTTTGGATCCATTCTCTCCATCTGTTATTTTTAATCATAAGAATATTAAAAGAGCACATAAAAGAACATACAAAAACTGTCAGTACTGCAAAAACACTTCATTCAACTGAAGCTTTAGCATTCAAGCATCTTAGTTACAAGCAAAGTATGAGACCATGCCCCTCTGTTCCATCTCAGACTCATTTTGTCTTGCCTCGATGAAGTCCCTTAAGCGAGACTTGCTGTTTCAGATGGTGGGGGTGGTGTCAACAATGTTTACTATTAGGTCAGTGTAAAGAGAACCACTAGTGGTAGGTCAAGGATATTAGGTTTGCAGTTGTCTTAGCATTGGCACACCTCATTTCCATGGAGATTATTTGGCACCAACCCCTCAGTCATTGTCTATTGACATTGAAACTTTGAAAGAAGTTTGGGATTAGGTGAATTAAAGATGAACCACGAATGGTTGGCCAATGATATTTGGTATGCGTTTGTATTAGCATTTGCAAGTCTCTTTTCCATAGGGATTTTAATTGCCCTGCCCTCAGTCATAGTTTATTGACTTTGAAACTTTTGAATAGTAAAACATGTTTAAGTTTGTGCTTAGGTAAGTTTATGGGGATACACTTATGATAAGTCAATGATATTTGGTATGCAGTTGTATTGAGCATGGGCAGTTCTCATTTCCATGGAGATTAGTTTCCCCTGCACATTCAGTCATGGTTCTTTAACTTTGATTATATGCACAGTTTACAAGTTAAAGTAATGCCATTTTATTTTCAACATTTACGTTATACTATCAAAATTACATATATACAAGACATATTTCTGTGTCAACAGTTAATTAGAAAGAATGTGAGGCATCATTCATACTGTCATATTTATCCATAATATTTATTTAGTACAATATTTTGTTCTCTCATTGACATTTTGGAGTTTTCCATTGAGGCTTAATTTTTTTTTCTTTTTATATTTGTTTCATAGATATTTTGTCGAAACTACTATCAGCCAGACCCTTCAGTATTCCCAGATGAACCACAGCATCTTGATGACCTTACTAGGAATTTCAAGGTAATTTGTTCATAAACAAGGAATAATCAAATCAATGAAAAGTTGGTCATTAATTCTTATTTTTGGATATGATAATTGAAATAAAAATATGAAATAATTCTCAAAGATTTAACAGTATTAGTAAAATAGGAAAAGACCATGCTGTAAATGTTAATTCATAAGAATATAATTTTTACTTGAAGGACTTCAGTCTTTGCTATTGTAGATTTTTATTGAATTGTGTTTCATCAAACAAAGTAATTTGGTATCAGGTCATCAAAGGATCAAAAATCAATTTAATGTGTGGTCTGTACTTTAGATATAATGCACCTTATAATTTAAGTAGCATTTAGGTTATCTTTTTTACAGGATTTTATGGAAGAAATAGCCCCATTGGTCAGTATAGAGAGACAGATGAAATCCATTGTAGCCTGTACCATGAGTCTGTTGTCAGCTTCTACATTACCAGTTGATGTGAGTTTACTTATTTTTATAGCTTTCACTTAAGACAAAGATTAACATTTGAAACAATTTGTAAGAAAAAATTAAAAAAATATTTTGTCTTAACTAGGTGAAAATTCATACTAAGAAATTCTTTAAAACCTACAAGTGTGGACTCAGATCAGTGTGGATAGTGATTGTTTTATTATTGTTTGTATTTTGACAGTGTTTTTCTGATCTATTTCTATGTTTCCCTCATAGAGCCCTATATCAAACTGTGTTCCACAGTGACAGCCATCTTGGATTTTTAGATAAGTAGCAAAAGCTCAAAATTAGCAAAGTGCAGGGTTACACTATAAACTTTTTGAACATATGATAGATTACTTGTTCTAAAGAGACAACCACTTGCCCAAATGTTGTACTTGTTAAAACCCACAACGAATTTTTACATAATTCAACCCATATGTTGATAATTGAGGATGTTAAAAAGGTTCTCTGATATTTTCAGCTTGTTATCAGATACTATGGCATACACTCAAGAGTAATACTTCCTACAATGAGGATTTCTTAACATTGGACAAACTTTATTACGACTGAACTATTACTCCATTTAAAACAACATCTACATTCTTTTTGACTATTTTATTGACAGGAAATGAGAGAATTTGAAGATAAATATGCTAAAGGTGTCCAAGGACAGGATGTGAAAAGTGATGCTAGAAGGGTAGGTAACTGGATAATGTATAATTTTCTAAAATCAGAGACCATTTATATTTACTTTGATATGGGTTGTCAACATTTATTCATATGCTAGACTGATTGATGAAAGAAGAAATCAGAATGATAAGTTATATATGTTAATTGATATGATTTGTCAGAATTAAAATAATATCTCAAATAAAGTGAAGCAAGCAACAATCAATCAACGGCTTCAATATATTGTGCATTCAGTACCTAATGGTATTGTGCATTAAGTACCTAATGGTATTGTGCATTAAGTACCTAATGGTATTGTGCATTAAGTACCTAATGGTATTGTGCATTGCTTGTTTCAATTTTAAATCTTAATGATTTTGGGGTTTCTCATTTTTAAATTTCTATGTCAAATCTATGTAAATTTGTTAGGAGCCGGTGTATGAATTTGTGAGCTTTATGCACATTTTTCATCATTTTATTTTTACAATAAATAGTTGTATGATGTTAAATTGATATTTCATGCTCAAGGCCAAACATGCAGCAAGTTTGAAGAACTTGATATACCTTCCTGTGCATATCTCTCTTTACATAAACCTTATATTATGTGCCATGTTTATTAGTTTGGTTTGTTATATTTTTAGTCTTATGAAGAATATTATCAATATGAAGAGGAAATAAACAGACAGTTGAATGTTTTTGCAGTCAATATGAAAACAGCATATGGAGGATTGAATACAGTACATGCTCAGATTGGGTATAATTCAGATGCAGGTTAGTCTGTAGAATGAATGTCATATAAAAAAGGCTGATTTTAAAAAATGCAATAAGATTATACTCATAAAAGAAAGTTTTAATGAGAACAATGGATCTTTTTCGTCTGTTGTTAAAGAAATTGTGCATAAAAAAATTCTGGATTTCCAAATGGGAGCTTCTCTAGGTAAGAGACAGGTAAATTTGAGAATTTTACATTGTCATTACCCAATCAGATTAATTGATACACAATAATTACATAAGAATATTAAGATGAACCATTCAGATTCCCCTGTCATCCATCTCCTTAAATTGTAAGCATTTTTGTTTTTTATTGCTTTAAGATTTATTGTAACATTACAGATTATTCTGAGCTGGGTGGTGATGAAGAATTACCATTAGGACAGGAGTTCCAAGATCACATCACATTTTTTATTGACACTGGACATAAAGATGCAAGAATGAGATATGCTCAAGCAGAAAAATTAGTCAAACAACTATCGTAAGTAGTTCTTTACTGATATGGTTGATAGTAAAATAATCTGGCTGTAGAGAGAATAGCATCATTGATTGAATCTATATTGGTTTTATCAGTAGATCAATGCTCATGAAGCATCATGTCAATAAATATAAGGATTTTCAGAAATAACTCTGATTTTTACAGGGAAAAAATCTAATTGATAAATTTATATAGTCAAGTTTGAACATTTTATAAATATCATATCATACCCTGGATTCATTTTTATTTGTGGGATAGCAATATTGGTGGGTCACAGCAAACCATGAATTCAAGAATTCAAGAACCATGAACATATAACAGTTTCCTGCTTGATGATTTACTGTGCTTTTACAAGAGTGTTTGTTGTTAAGTGCCTTAGACAAGTTTTGAGAAAACCATTGTTGAACAATATGAAAACCTTTTGAACGTAGTATTTAATTTTGTATTGAGAAAGGTGTATTATAATAGATCTGTTTTTGTTGTGGAATTCTAGTTCATTTTTTCATGTATGACAAGCATGACAACATAACACACTTTTTCGCAAATGGAACAAAAATGTAAATATTTACATTTATACATATCTTTCAACTTTCATTCAGGCATTTTGATAAACATTACATCACTGAAGTCACGCTGATGTTTACCAACAACAAAATACAATGTGTCACATGATTTCAAAATGACAGAAAATTGATAATGACTTTACAAAATGTAAGCTTGAAATTACAAATCCCGTATTTTGATTGGTTGATCTCTGAGTCTGAATACGATAATCGTGTTCGAAAATTTTATGACCTCAAGAACAAATAAATATTAGTAGCAGCAGTACTCACAAAAATTGAGAACAAGAAATTAAAAATCGTAGATTTTATGTGCAATGAAGACACAATAGATCTATATTTTATGAACATAGTTAAGTAGGTTTCTTTGAAATCTGAGTACTTTGTATTGTTTCAGTGTAAGACTAGATTCATTTTCTATCAAAATTTGTGTTTTCTTACAAAATTTTGTTTTGGCATAAAAAATAATTTGATCACTGACTGGTATCTTGAGATATATTGCTCTTAGAATTACAGATTTATTCTTGTTGATAGATTTAACATTTGTCAAGAGAGTCTTACTGTTTTCATTTTTTTGTATTAGTTTTCACAATATTGATAGGTGAGGTTCATAGTGTAAAATGTGTGATAACACTTAAAAGATTAAACAGACTATTCAAGTTTAAGAAAATGCAGTGAAAAAATACTGTTACACTTTTATTTGAGTGTATCTTTTCTTTGATCTTTGCTCTAAAGCATTCATTGCCACCCCATATTTTTCTTAAACTTGAATTGTGTATAAGATGTGTATTAGATGTGTATAAGATGTGTATTAGCTGTAACTTTCTAAGGTTGTAGGAATGATTACCTTCAACATCTCAAATATATTGTAGTGCTGGAAAAAAGAGAAGCGGGCATCGAAAGTAAATTTACCCAGTAGTTTAATTTGACTTTTTTTTTTAATTAATAACAGTAGCGACAGAGTTTAATTGTCTTGCAATAGAATATAAGATTAACACCAAATTCTTATTGATAAATTCTTTTTTATAAAATGCCTAGAACTTCCATTTTCAATTTCCACAGCATGTATTAGATTTTATGTTTAGCTAGATGTGGCACAGTTTGTTCATGTAAGATTTATTCTGTCTGCCATTTATTGTTGTTTTGTAGCACTTTTGTATCTTAAACTTTTCCAGTTTATGACAGGTTTTTCTCTTATTCAGGATTAAAGAAAAACCGGTCTTTTATTTCATATGTGTGACCTGTTTCCATGGACCTTCCATACAATTTTTAAAACTTTAAAGTCTAGTATTTGATTTTGGGGGTTTTCTGAAGCAAAACATATATATTTCCATACTTGAAAAATGGAGATTTAGGAGGGTGGGGGAGATGGTGCAAGGTATGATTTTGTAACCTCTGCTCACAGTTTTTGTTTCGCCTGTGACGAAAGTCACCGTATGCGAGACATTGGGATTACTATCAGGCAGCTGCAGCGTAAACTATTTGTATAAAGCTTTATATTTCAGAAGATAGAAGACCTGGATCCTTCATACCTTGTATGCAGATACCTTATGTTACGAAGTTTCCGTCTGTCATATGTCCACTGTCCTTGATCTCATTTTCATGGTTCAGCGACTGTTTGAAAAAAAATTATAATTCTTTTCGTCATGTGAATTTCTCACTTATTATGAGTACAAATGTGATAGGATTACTATATTTTGTATATGGGTTCTTTGCAATGTCTTCATGTTTGTCAGACAGGGTTCTCTTGACCTTGACCTCATTTCATGGATCAGTGATCAAGGTTAATATTACGTGATAAGGTCTGTTTTTCAGATACTATAAGTAGTAGGTCGACTATATGTGGTGTATGGAATTATTGTAAGGGGTACATGTCAGTCTGGCAGGTATGATCTGACCTTGACCTCATTTTCATGGTTCATTGGTCAATGTTAAGTTTTTGTGATTTGGTCTGTTTTTCAATTACCATAATCAAAAGGTCAACTATATTTTGTGTATGAAATAATTGTAAAGTGTACATTGACCTCATTGTCATGGATCTTTAAAGGTATTAATTTATGTGATACTTGTTGTCAAATCTTTATCTTTAAGACTTTCTAGTTATATATGTAATTGTTAAATGTATGTTGTATTTAAGTGATGAATTGATTAAGTGCGGTTTTTATATTTTCCATTATTTCTTCATTTTCAGCTATTCCGTAAGGTAAAAAATTGCAATTTCCCCCAGTTTTATAAATGTTGTGATTTTTCGTGATCACATTTATATAGAATTGATCATTTCACAGAACTTTGAAGGCTACATAAATTTTTATTGTCTACAAATATTTTTTGTTTAAAATGGGCATGCTTTTTACTTTTGAAGAATTTTCTTATTATTGTGTATAATTATCCTTATCATAGAAGTGAGTATTCTGCATGTTTTAATGTTATAATGAATATAATTTTAAAATTACAGTTTTATTGATGTATTCTGATACTATTTAATTAACATCATTTGCAAGTAACTTATAAAAAAAATGAATTAGTTGTCAGTATTTGACCAAAGATTTAAATAGGAAGAAATTTGAAACTGGAGGACATATTTACATCCAATAATATACATGATATAGCAAGATATAGGGAAATCCAACCCTCTTTACTATAAAGATCCTTGTTTGACATGTGTTTAATTTCTTGTAACATCAATATCATATCAGTAAAAATGTACAACTAAATGATTAAGTACTTATAAATTCTATGAACTTGAAGTTTGAAACGTGTTATTTATTTTTTAATTTATTTTGCATGGGTCGGATTATTCATTTTACATATGTCATCAAAAGTAATAAATAAATGAATGCATGAGAGGATTCTTATTAAACACTGCATGCTTTGACCTACTTATACATGAACACATTGTGGTACAGGAACACATTGATATGAAACAACAGAATGTGATTGGTTAATCAGGACACGTGTGATGCTATATACTCTACCATGGAACTTATGAGTATATTGACTATTTATTCAGGAACATACACAGAACAGACGACTTCTGGATGTGATGTGCTTAATAATTACATATTTATCCCAATATTTTCCCATTTTTATTTAGATCAGGAAGATGTGTTTTTATGATTCTGCATACTTCACTGAGCTTTGAGTTTGCTACACTTAAATAGCAGAGTATTTGGATACATGCAGATGTGTATTATATGATTTACTAACTTAGTAAACACTGTTGTTTTGATAAGATAAACTAATACTATCTATATTCTGATCTAATGTTTGTAAATCACCTTAAATTTCAAGTAAACAGGAGATAGAATGTTTTACTACATTCTTCTTGGGTTTGTTTTGATGATACATGTAAAATACATGAACTAAAGAAGCACAATACATAGATACATATATACACTTCATGTTTACATTTTTCTTCTCTCTGATAGAATTTCTGCTAAGAGGACACATCTGAATGAGAAGGAGAAACTGGAGCAGATAGATTTGGATGTTAAATGTCTTCAGTTACTGAGAGGTCTAATATATAATGAGATTGTCAAGTTACCTGATGATTGGGAATCTGAGGCTGCTAGTCACAGGGTGTAAGTACAGTTTCTGAGAGGTTTAATATATAATGAGATTGTCAAGTTACCTGAAGATTGGGAATCTGAGGCTGCTAGTCACAGGGTGTAAATACAGTTACTGAGAGGTCTAATATATAATTAGATTGTCAAGTTACCTGAGGATTGGGAATCTGAGGCTGCTAGTCACAGGGTGTAAGTACAGTTACTGAGAGGTCTAATATATAATTAGATTGTCAAGTTACCTGAGGATTGGGAATCTGAGGCTGCTAGTCACAGGGTGTAAGTACAGTTACTGAGAGGTCTAATATATAATTAGATTGTCAAGTTACCTGAGGATTGGGAATCTGAGACTGCTAGTCACAGGGTGTAAGTACAGTTACTGAGAGGTTTAATATATAATGAAATTGTCAAGTTACCAGAGGATTGGGAATCTGAGACTGCTAATCACAGGGTGTAAGAACTGAGCACATCTCGATAATAGGACTCAAAGGTTGTAAGATCTTTGAAATATTTATCTTTATATGTTATACTTCCTATTAGTCACAGGGTTTAAGAACTGAGGTAAACTTGCCTGCTCAGTGCTGTCTGAGTGAAAATTAGTAAAGATGTAAATTGAAAAAGTTAATTGGAAAACAAAATTTGGTTTACAAAGAAATTTTAGTTTTGTTAGACTTGTAATTTTTTTGTGATTGCATATAAAGTTTAAAAAGCCCTCAAACTGTTTTAAGACAAGTAACAGCTGTAGGAATATAAAGACATTTTTTTGTCTTGTAACTCGGACACACAAAACGATTGTAGAGTATGCATTATAGATATATATTATATAATCATCTTTTTATATATTTTTTACTTACAGACAACTTCATGCAGTCAGTGATGTCCAGGATGCATTGAATTCTTATGAAGTAGTGACCAGTGTCCTAGACCATCTGTCCAGACCTCAGGACAATGTGGTCAGGGAGGTTCTTGCATTCATGGCTACACTTCTCTTTAATGGAAATGAGTGTGTTCAGGTACTTACCTTAGTGTTAGAAATATCTTATATTATACTGGTTGGACTTTAGACATAAATTAAAAACAATGCTAAAGCCTTTTTATGTAAAGAACCCATGCTCTATAAGCAATCTGTATTGTAAAGGTTAAAAATTAGTTTGTATCCAATTCAACATATTTCCCCATAAACAAAAGTTTTTAGACACATGGCAATTATGAGCTTGACATATTGTCTAGAGACTTAATGATTGATGAAGACCATCAGTTTTGTCTTTTGTTGAAGACTGTAATTTTTTAAACTGAACTCTTTGTGTTCAGAGGTGTTCTTACTGGCGGAGGCTTATACACAGTAGAAGTGAATATAAAATGGCGTCGTTTTAAATCAGAACTGGACAGAAACACGTCTGATTTCAAATATTTTAACGGATTTCAAGATAAACGCTGTTTTCTATCGTCTTTCAGTTAATTACGATTTTGTTATGAAACTACGGTAAACGTTGCAAATTGTGATCGTATGATAAATTGATTAAAATTGAAATGCTGACTGACCGATTCTGTTAACAAATTAATTAATTTTGAGGATTGTTATGACCCATCAGATAAGCAGATTACATGTAACAACAAATTTTGACACCTGTTGTGACTGTGATTAGTGTAGGGTCATAAACTTGTCATAAATTTGTCGCCAGGTAAAATTATAGGTTTATAGAAATTGATCAGAAAAACTTCAAAATCGGTAACCAATATTTTTTTCGGGTATATTTTGTGAAAATCAGGATTTTGACTTGTTTTACGATCCCGATATCAGGATTCCGGTTGAGGCATGAAAATCGGGATGATACCGCCAAAATCGGGATATTTGGCTGGTCTGAACCTCTAGAATAGTATTTCTTCTTATTTTCTGGTTCTTCAAGTTCTTCTGGTTTTTGTTTTCATACACCCTTGTCTAGGCAGTTTTTTTGTTAGACATTGACATATATTTGACATAAAGGTGTATAAACATAAGATGGTGTGTCATGTATCATCATAACCTTCATGTGACCTTAAGGTCAAAGTAATTAATTTGTAGACATTTTTTTGTTCAGGTAATAAGTTTTAGTTGAGTTGCTACAAAGTCAAATGAATTTATAGATTGTTTTTGTCTTTGTTTTACTGCTGTGGCATATTTGTATAAACCACATCTTATTTCATTCCCAAACATTTCTGTGGAATACTGATTCCTTTTGTAAATGGTTGTTCTCTAAATACCAGTACCGGTACCATTTTATATATAGAGGATTTTTTTTCAAGTTGACCACTTTGAATTTATTTCTTAATATGATTTTATTGTAATTTTAGGACAATCTTATTACTTATTTTACTGGTACAAGAGAGGAAACATTCTTCTTTTCCATCAAAAGCAGAATGCAGTTGTCAGCCATAGCAACCAGAGAAAAGTAAGTTATTTTCAAGGGTAACTATTTATTCCTGTTCAGTAAACCCTTTGCCCATAATTTTAGGTGGCAGAGGGGTCTAAGTAGTTCATCTTCAGCAGTCACTAACCTGTCAACACTGAGGTTGTGAGTTCCAACAGCTTGTGACTGGTATTTTTCGACACCCATCTTAATAAAATGATAGAATTTGTTAAAATTTAATGAGAGAACTGCTTTTCATAAATACTTTAGAAATATCAAAAACAAAAAGGTCACATGACGGTCCTTTTTTTCTGGAAAAATAAAAAAAAAACACAAATTGTCCTATCAAATTCAATATATTTATCTGCCCTTGATTTTAAAAGAATTTTTTCTGAAAACTTTAAATACACTTAAAGACACTAAATTTTTTGATAGTTTAATCTTTAAATTTCAGGTTTTAGACATTTCTGTTGTATATTTAAGGATACTTGGTAACATATTTCTAACCAAAAAAGTATTTTCGCAACATGCCAAGAAGGGATGCTCAGAAAAAGACACATGATCTACCTTAACTACGTTTTTCTGCCAAAAGTCTTGGCTCTGGCTTTCTCAATAAAAAAAAAAAAATAACTACAACAAGATTGCCAAGAGTGCTGAAAGTGGATTAAACAACATCAATCAATCAAACATATAATTTTAGATTTCAGTATTTTATATAGTTAATGGTGATAATTTTACATTGGAGAGATGATGTCCTTTAAAGAAAAGAAGTAATCTTGTTTTATAGCTAAATAATTACAATCTAAATACTGGTATGTTTCAGACGTCTGCTTCATGCAATGCACCAAGCTAAGATGGAGGAAGCTATGCAACAAGCCAAAGCATTACAGAAAGCCATGCAGACAGGACAGATGGCTACAATCGTAAGTAGCAAACAAAACATAAATAAACTTTTATAAACCCTTTATACTAATAGACTATGTCAGTTGCATTTGAACATGTATTTATCAATTGTTAATCTTGATTTAACCCTTCCGTTAATGGAAACATTATGTTTGAGTAGTATTTCTTCAAGTTTTTTTTGGTTCTTGTTACACTTTCTCCTCGGGGACAGGTTTTTTTGTTGGACATTGACATGAAATTGTATTAGCAAAAGATGGTATATGTCATGTATCATCGTGGCCTTCATGTGATCTTAAGGTCAAAGTAATTAATTTTTAGAAATTATTTTGTCCAGGTTATATAAGTTTGAGCTGAGTTACTACAAAGTGGAACTCATTTATCCTTCTATATATTTAGTTTTAGATATTTGACACATGAGTCCATCACCTTAAGACAATTTGTTGTGTACCATTAAAGAGGACTTTTCCATTTGACATTGTGGTTATGGTCAGAGAAGTGAATGTTTTGGAACATTCTCAATTCCACCTATAACTGTTTGCCATGGCAAGACCTTTTTTGTGCATTTAATACTTTTGACCCTTTCGGGTCATGCCCACTACCTCAGGTAATAAAATGTTAAATGTCTAAATAATGGTTCAGATCTCCAATCCTGCACAATTTATATTCTTAATTGTTTGAACAAGATCTTTTCATTGTACTATAGGTTTTATTCCTCAAAGTTGTGCTGGGTCTCTTATGTGTCACAAAATATTGAATTTATAGAAAATTGTTCAGATCCTATCTCCTAAACAATACATACCTGCCAACCCTCCCGTTTTGAGTGGGAGACTCCCGCTCAAATGGAGAAATTCTGGAAATCTCCTGCTTGCCAGTCCGCTCCCGCGCGGGAGTATAAAATCTCCCGCTTTCGGATATTTTAACCCTGACAACATTAATTACGTTTTTGTGTCACTGATGAGGGTAGTTGTTACCTGTAAATCACAGACCTTGAGATATTAAATGGCTTCACTTAACAGCTTGGGTGTCAAACATAATACTAATTAACGATCATTAACGACTTTTACCCCAAGCTTTGTCAAGTTTGTGTATTTTGAAAACACTTCCAAAGAAATTTCGGGTTACTTCCCCTGTTTAATCATGTTTTAATTTACCATCCTTAAAATAATGTGAATTGATAAAAGAATATAAATTAAATACAAATTGAACAAAGAATCATAAAAGGATTGTAATTAAATGATTTTGAATGTCTTAGGATATATAAAAAAATTATATTTTGAAAATCATTTAAAAGATCTATACTTCTATTAAATGTTTCATTTGGAATTTATAAGAAATGTATTGAACCACATTTGAATGCTGGCCTAAAGAAACACATATATCAGCTGTTGAAAGATATAATAAAGATAAAAAAAAAAAAAGCTGTTGAAAGATAATTCACTTCAGCTGAAAATTACAAACCTCTAGTTGTGGTTTGACAACTCTGTCACATGTATGCTCAGAGGTGTTGAAAAAGGCAAAAAAAGACCAACAACACACCTTGTATAGGATATAGCCATGATTGAAGAAATAAAGGATATTTGGTGTTTTGTAGATGAATAAATAAACAGGTCATATATTTCACTTGAAAATTTCATTCACGCAAAATCCCCCCCTCAGGGGGAGATCTCCCTCTTTGAAGGTTTCAGAGGTTGGCAGGTATGACAATATTAAATCGGATTGCATTGGTTAGATTTACCAAGTGCGTTATATTGTATATTGTCCCTGTGGGAGTCATGCTATGACCCTTTCATATTACGAATTTTTTAAATTAATCAAAAATATATTCTTGTTTGCCTTGACAATGCCTTTACAGTAGTAGAATATGCTTGTTCTGTTTTTTTTTACAAGAGTATATTCTATGAACAAAAGGAAGACATATGTTATAGTTGATTTGAACAGTTACAGATATCAATTATTTTATGCTTACTTGAGCTTTTGCCATCACGGGGTTTGTCATCCTTCGTCTGTTGTTAGTCTTCGTCATAACTTTTAAAAAAATCATCTTCTCCTACAGGGCCAAAAAGAACATGAGGGTAAATTGCAAATATTGTCTGTTATCTTGTAAACTGTTAAAGATGGGGGAAAATTGACAAGGTAACAAATGTTCAAAATGTCTAGATCCACTTTCTGTCCATTTCACAAGATCTGTCAGAGGACTCCTTATTTACCCTTAAATGACAGGTGAGCAATACAGGCTCATTGGAGCCTCTGGTTTGATTTTGAAATCCATATTGGGGGAGATGGAATTGAATATTTTTTCCAAAAAAAATTACCTCATTAGGGGAAAGTACACTATTTGCTTGGTAATGAGAAGCTCATTCACACGATCTGAATACACCATCTTTAAATGTTAAATGTAATATGGTAAGTTTTTATATTTACCTGAACACATCTTCTGATTGAAAGATTTGTACGTTATTTGAATCTCTAAGTAATACAGTTCTGGAATGTTTAAAGATCTTGGAAGTTTGAAAAATATCATTTAATGTCAATTTGCTAACTCCTGTTTCATGATTCAAAACAACAAAATATGCCAGTCTAACTTAAATGGCGAAAAAAAAAAACAACATCTTTATTTTTCATTATTTTTTTAAATATTTTTTCAGAGTAGAGGAGTGAGTACTAGCATGATTCATTTAAGAGTTTATATATAGTATCAGAAGCTAAAGGAATGTTGTAGTACTCTGTTATCACCAAAACTGTTGTGGCAATACTATATGTCTAATTGTTACCCCAGTTTTTGTCTCACCTGCGACATAGGGATTGCTATTCTGGCGACGATGACGATGGCGTCAACAAAGTTTTCTGCTTTTGATAGGAACTATTTGTGATAGATCAATGATCTTTTGTATGAAGTTGCATTACTATCAGTACATATCAGTTTGACGACTGTTTTGAGACCCTGTCCCCTAGGTCATGGTCCAGTGACTTTCAATTAATTACCAATTTTCAATGTCAAGTTTTCTGCTTAAGTTAGTTTGATAGGAACTACTTACAATTGTGCAATAGACAATGATTTTTTCTTTAAAGTTACATTACTGTCAGTACATCTCACTTTGTCCACCATTTTGAGGCCCTGCCTACTATTTCATGGTCAAGCAACTTTGAAATGATTAGCAATGTTGCTGTCCATCAGATTGTCTTTTTGTGAATTTATGCTGACAGGCAAGACATATCTCTGTGTCAACAGTTTATTGTATTCTTGTTAATATTGAGCTGATAAATATTTTCTTGTTATTGCTATCAATTATAGTTAGGCTACTTTTTACCAATACAATTAAAAAAGTCTAAGGGTAATAAATCTACCAATTATGTATCATAGATACAATGCATAAGCATTGATTCTTGAAAAGAAACCATGGGCCCGTTGGGCGAATGGTTTGTTTTTCATTAATCAACACTTATCCATGGTATCTCTAACTTAAAGTGTTGATGTCTTTTCAAAATTAAAGCCTTTTCTTAATTAGAAGGTATTGTAAGTGATTTTGAATAACCATGTTATCATGTTCAACGATGCATTAATAGATCTAAGTTCACAATTAATTAGTTAGAGAAATACAAATATAACATAACACGTCTGTCTTTTAATTATCAGGCATCTGAATATCATCCATAGTTTACAAAATAAGACATATTCAAACTTATTTCTAAGTATATATAATAAGTATGTTACCAAAATTTCTAGCAAGAAGCCTCATTCTAGGCACATCAGGATGTACTCGCATATGGATTTGCAAATAAACATTTTTAAAAATATGTAGTAAAACAGATGAAATCATACTATATTTATAAAACAAAAATGGAAAAATTGAATGTAATCATTCTCTTTTCAAATATCTGAAATAGCAAATAATAATCCAAAAATAAACACGAAAACCTGCTATTATTACATTAAAATAAGAAAAATGAAAAAACATAACAGATTTAAAGGAGGGGTTCGATTCCCAGTGAAGGCATATAAAAATAACAAAAATATAAAGGTAAATTTTAAAATTAATTAGGGCCCCGCCGAATGGCAGCACCCTATAGTGATCAGTCTGTCCGTCCATCTGTCTGTCCGTCCGTCCGTAACAAATTGTGTCCGCTCTATATCTAGAGAACCGTTATGATTTCAAAGTTTATACTTGACATGTATATTAACCAACACCAGAGGGTGTGTCATAATGTATGTACAACTTCCTAGGTCAAAGGTCAAGCTCAAAAACTTTGGTTTTAGTTGACAACCCCATGTCCTATGGTAAAGATCGTGTCCGCTCTATATCTTGAGAACCATTATGATTTCAAAGTTTATACTTGACATGTGTATAAACCAACACCAGAGGGTGTGTCATAATTTATGTACAACTTCCTAGGTGAAAGGTCTAGGTCAAAAACTTTGGTTTCAGTTGACAACCCCTTGTCCAATGATAAAGATACAAATTTTTTACCACACATTATTCACAGTGGGGCCCACAGAGATGGCTCCCATCTCAATGATATCTAGTTCCATTAGTGAACAGAAAACAGTAAATAAGTCAATTCAAACTTAATGAAATTAGGCACACAAAGGAAACAATTGAATATAATTTGGTGAGTCCATATAAGCGACAGATTTAGGAAGCGTTGATTCTAGAAAAAGATGTCACGGCAATTGTTTAATGTCAGTCATAAAACAATTGTAAGAATTGGCTGTCAGATGTTCATACCAATATTTTTTTTTAGAATTCTTCCATTCTCATTGTATATATTTTTGTTTATCTTTAAGAGGGATGGAGCCATGTAGACTTTAATTGTATAGCAATGTGCATTTCTTCCTTTATTTTCCAGAATGTGATTTGAATTTTAATAAATAAATTATGAGATATAAACAATTTTTTTCAACTCAAAAACATTGGCCTAAACAAAAATTTTAAATTCTTTAAGTCTGTAAAGAGAAATTTTTATCATTTCCAAGTAAGAATCTGGAAGTTCTTGTCTTTGCAACTTTTTTTTACAAAAGTTTGTTTATAAATGATGCAAACTAATTGCTCAGTACATTACTGTAATGAAATGAAAAGCAAGTGTTACCAAACAAAATGTAATCTTACAAAATGTCTTAAACACAATCAGTTGATTCAAGCTGGTTTTGACAATCTATGTATGATTTATATGTTTCAATTGACATCTTGCAATAAAGTGGCCAAGATTAGACAAGTTTGAATTTTTTTTTTTAGAATTTTAGATTTTTTTTTTAATTAAAAGGACTAAATTATGGTTGTTTTCATCCTTAAAATTGTGATGAATAAAATATTTATTTTGTGATACAAACTATATAATAACCGGTGTGTTACATTTGCGCAAATTCATCCTATTTTCGCACGAAAAAAATCCATGTTCGTCATTTTTAAAGTCGTGCAAATGTAGGTCAAACATAATGACTAGTGAAGTTTACAAAATTGTTCATCTGGTCTTGTTTTAGGTTTCATGATTCTTGCCATTTGTATAACCTGTATGTTTTCATTTTATGCCAGCCTGAATGGGTAAGATTGGGCAAAAATGTTCAGTGTTGTCATTTAAAATAACTTTTTTTAAAATATGTTTAAGCTTTTGCATTTTATTTTTTTTAGATGAATATATTTTTGTTTATGCATTTTTGTCTAGGTTGCATCTGCTTGTTATTCTGTCACAATCTACTTTTTAATAAAATGCAAACCTTAAATGACACATCATTTAAGACACATTTCTTGTCTTGTAATAACCAGGAATTATTTGAACCTGGAATAATTCTGGAAAATTGATAACAAATATTTGATGAAAACTAACCCAACTGAATAGGGGTAGCCATGCATGCATGGCTAAGGGGGATTAGTTAGTTCATACTGAAATATCAATGAAAGTAACTTGAACATAAGCCTTGCACTTATCAATTTTCAAGAATTCAAAACTATTCCGGATTCAAATAATTCCTTGAATAATGTTTATGTAGCAAGAAATTCATCCAAAGTTGTTCTTCATTTCACCTAATTTTTAGCTCACCGTTCCTTCGGAACGGTGAGCTTTTGCCATCACTTGGCGTCCGTCGTCGTCTGTCGTCGTCCGTCTGGTGTAAACTATTTCAAACATCTTCTCCTCTAAAACTGCTGAACCAATTCCAACCAAACTTAAGCTGAATGATGCTTAGGGTATCTAGAATAAAGTTTTTGTTTTATTTACTGTTTCGTCTAATAACATGGCCGCCATGGCTAAAAATAGAACATAGGGGTAAAATGCAGTTTTTGGCTTATATCTCAAAAACCAAAGCATTTAGAGCAAATCTGACATGGGGTAAAAGTGTTCATTAGGTGAAGTTCTATCAATTGAATCTGATAACCCATTGTTTGATTGCTGCCACTAAATTGGTAATTTTAAGGAAATTTTGCAGTTTTTGGCTATTATCTTGAATATTATTAATGATAAAGATAAACTTAAGGAGTTATTGCCCTTTAAGGACAATTTTACACAATTTGTTTATCATGTTTTATAACTTTAAAAAATCTTCTTCTCTGAAACTACTGAACCAATTCCAACCAAACTTAAGCTGAATGATTCTAAGGGTATCTAAAATAAAGTTTGTGTTTTATTGTCTGTTTCGTAAAAAAACATGGCCGCCATGGCTAAAAATAGAAAGTAGGGGTAAAATGCAATTTTTGATTTATATCTCAATAATCAAAGCATTTAGAGCTATTCTGATGAGGGTTAAAAATGTTTATTAGGCCAAGCTCTGTTAGCCCTGAAATTTTCAGATGAATCTAAACCCATTGTTGGATTGCTGCCTCTTAATTGGTAATTTTAAGGAAATTTTGCAGATTTTGGTTATTATCTTGAATATTATTAATGATAAAGATAAACTGTAAACAGCAAAAATGTTCAGCAAAGTAAGATCTACATATAAGTTTGATGACCAAAATTGTCAATTGTCCCCTTAAGGAGTTATTGCCCTTTAAAATCAATTTTTCACAATTTGTTCATTTAGTTTGCTTACTTTAAAAAATCTTCTCCATTGAAACTGCAGAATCAATTTCAGCCAAACTTGGGCTGAATGAGTTTCAGAGTATCTAGTATAAATTTTGTATTTTATTTTCTTGTACGTCAAGAAAAATAGCCACGATGGCTAAAATGAAACATAGGAGTAAAATGCATTTCTTTGATTTTGAAGAAAATATGACAGATACAAAGAACATTTCAATGGAAGATTTAAGCCATTCATTAATATATATTGAAAAGCAAAAATAATCATCGATGAAAGATTTAAGCAAAGAATTACAGGTGAGCGATTCAGGCTCTTGAGAGCCTCTTGTTTTTAATTTAGTGGTCTAATTTGAAAATTTTGTTGATCATGGTAATTTGTAGATGCATGTGGTTTTCATTTCTTTTCTTTGTTTTTTTGAAATGGGTGGGATAAGTAATTCTTAATCATATCCTTGTAGCCCATTAGAAATGCACATGGTTCTGTTAATTTTCAGGTTTTATTCATACTGTTATTTCTACATTTTGTTAGAATATATGATCAGTTTTTTAGCTTTTTTTGTTTTAAATCTTTTTTACTTCAAAGATTAAATAAAATAAGCCTAATTTTGTTTTGATTTATAAAAGTCAGATAGGAAGAATAATACTTGAAACTAGAAGTTACAACTTTTTAAAAGCACATATCTTAGTAAGAAGATTGTTGATTATATAACATACATGAAACTTGAAAGATCATTTATTTATTTCATTTTTTTATTTGCATCTTTTTTACATAGCATATTTGAAAGTATGTTATACATTTAATTCAAATAGAAAATTTCTAATATCTTAATCGGTTAAAACAACATGACAATATTTCTTTGCAGGAAATTATGAAGGCTAACAAAATTGGTTCTATGTTATCAATGGCAAAGAAATCCATGGCTAATCTTAGAACATCAGGTTTCTTGGTAGGTATTACAGTCTTTCTTTTTTACCTACTTTTATTTGAATTTTTTATATTAAAGGAATATAACTATGAAACACTTTCAGTAAATTTTTGGATTTTGTATGTTACTTGATTAAAATTTGATCAAAGATTATTATAACCTAAATGGCCTGCTTCATATGTTATGGTTTTGGATTGGTATTAGAAACCTTTGTATTATAAAGTTTGAATAGTTTCACATGTATTGGTTCTTTGAAATGTATAGAAAGAAAGGAAGGTTCTTTACTCACTTAATATGGAAGATAATATGGTTAGTCTGTTAAATTATTGATTTATTGATTGATTGATTGGTTGGTGTTCAACGCCACTTTCAGGACTATAGGCTATTTCCTGGTGGTAAGTTTTTGTTTGTGGAGGAAGGATATCCCGAGGAAAACTGAACAACCTTCAGTAGGAAAAATGACAATCCTCGTCAATTAAGATTGAAGTCGATTTAAATAATAAAAATATGTGTTGTAAATGTTCAAATGCTCCTGTTCCTTAATGATTTATGCTATGCATTTTTCAATTTTATCAAATGTTTCTAAAATAATGTTTGTAGAGACCAGCTTCAAGGTTAGGAATAGGTGGATCAAAAAACAGTATGGGAAAGAAACAGAATTTCGGAAGCAGTCGTCTTTTGAAACCTTCAAAACCTGCACTGAATGGACAAGCAGGGAAAAAACTTGGTAGTACAGTCAATCAAGTAGCTCCTGCTACAGATATACCAGATGTCCAAATAGAGGTAACAAACTTGGTAGTATATCGAATTAAAAAAGGGAAGATATTAATGGGGACATACAAATAAACATTTAACATTTTCATATAAAAGCAATAAAGATGGCACCGTATATTGAATTAGGTACTCATAAACTTTGAGGTAGATATATAGAAATAAAGATGCAGAGACAATTTAACTGAGTTATTATATATAATTACATGTATGTATACTTATTTTTGTTGTGTAGAACATAGATTAATGGTTGACTGTAATAAGTTTGGATTAAATACATACAATACTTATTTTTGTTGTGTAGAACATAGATGAGGAAGAATTACAGGAGCTGATGCAGCATGCTATGGAGATGTCGTCAGAGTTTGATTTTAGAGATGATGGGTATATAGAATTAGTTCTGAGAATTTTGGGTTTGATGTGTGATAATCAGCATAGTGATTTACAGGTAATTATTTTGACAATACTATGTAAACCTAAAGAATACAGATTATGGGTTAGATTAATCATTTTTTTCTTATTGTAAAGGTTAGTGTGAAATTTATGGGATGACTCAATGGATTTCAAGACATCAGATATAAATTAATGGCAGCCTCCTGTATTTTTTTTCACTTTGAAATCTCCCCCTTAAGAATAGTCTCCTGAGATATAGAATACCAATGCTATCTAAAAAATTTGAAGAACTTGGAATTATATGTCAAGTTAGACTCAAGCATGACCAATACAAATAGCATTGCAGACATTTATGTGGAGTATTGTGTTCCTTAACATGGTACAATTATCCTTAATATTACCACAGAAACGTACATGGAGTATAAAATTATGTTCCTTATTATAACCATATTTTCCAATATAACATTGACAAAAACTAGAGAAACAAAATTTAATGTCTTATATCTTTGATATTATTGTTTTTGTCTCGCCTGCGACGAATATGCGAGACCAAGGTATTACTATCCAGTGGCGGCTGCGGCGTAATTTATTTGTATAAAGCTTTATATTTCAGAAGGTAGAAGACCTGGATGCTTCATATCTTGTATGAAGATACCTTATGTTACGAAGTTTCCGTCAATTCCGTCCATTGTCCTTGACCTCATTTTCATGGTTCAGCGACTGCTTGAAAAAAAATTTGAGTTTTTTTGTCATGTGAATTTCTCACTTATTATAAGCAATAGGATAACAATATGTTTACATGTCCGTCAGACAGGGTTCACATGACCTTGACCTCATTTCATGGATCAGTGATCAAGGTTAAAGTTAAGAGATTAGGTCCGTTTCTCAAATACTATAAGCAGTAGGTCAACTATATTTGGTGTATGGAATGATTGTAATGGGTACATGTCAGTCTGGCAGGTTTCAATCGACCTTGACCTCATTTTCATGGTTCATTGGTCAATGTTAAGTGTTTGTGATGGTGTATAAAAAATTGTAACGTGTATATAGATATAGGAAGATGTGGTATGAGTGCCAATGAGACAACTCTCCATCCAAGTTACAATTTATAAAAGTAAACCATTATAGGTCAAGGTACGGCCTTCAACACTGAGCATTGGCTCACACCGAACAGCAAGCTATATGTCTGTCTGACACAATTTATCTGACATTGACCTCATTGTCGTAGGTTTTTAAAAATGTTATGTTTCTGGAATGCTTTTAGTAAAACCTTTATCTTTAAGACTTTCAACATAAAATCAATGGTCAGTAAAGCAGGGGAGACATTTCAGCGTGTGCACTCTTGTGTTTAAATGGTTATGGAATATTATATTTGCAAAGACTGTTCTATTCTAAAAACTTTGCATTGCTTCTTGCAGAACTATTTAAGAGAACAACCAGACAATATAAAGTCAGTAAACCTTGTGGCAGAGACAACAAAGTTTCTACAGATTGTGTACTCTAACATCAATGACAAATCACTCCCTCTGGTGGTCCAGTTGTTTGATACTTTAGTGGAATTTACTTCAGTAAGTAAAAACTTAAATCAGCATATAATATTTCATTGTTATATTATTTTCATGTTCTGGTTTTCAGATTTCAATCCAAACAGTGCTTTTTCCATATTATTTGGGGAGGGGGTGCAATTTTTTTTCTTCATTTTTCTCAAGCTGTTTGCACACAGAATTTCAGAAATTTACTTTCGCAAAATGATTTTAATGAACTGTTTTAGTAAGAATAACTCTACTACAAAAATAAATGCTTACATGATGTATTTGTTACCCAGGGGTCCTGAGATAGTATTTTTATCAAACTGTGTGTAAATTATCTATCTGAATAAAACCACCTTCCTGATATCTAAAAATACTTGTTACTTTTTATGCCACTGCCATAGCAGAGGGGCATTAAGTTTTACTCTTTTCCGTCTGTATGTCCCGAAATTGGTTTCCGTTCTCTCACTTTAGTTTGCCTCAACCAAATGTTATGAAACTTATAAACAATGCTTATTACCACAAAACACAGATCATGTTTGAATTTTGGTGGCATCACTTTTACCATTCTAGAGTTATGTCCCTTTACAAATGGAAAAATTGTTGAATATTTCGTTTCTGTTCTCTAACTTAAGTTTGCCCCTACCAAATGTTATGAAACTTATACACAATGCTTATTACTACAAAACACATTTCAAGTTTGAATTTTGGTGGCGTCACTTTTACCATTCTAGAATTATGCCGCTTTACAAATGGAACAATTGCTGAATTTTTTGTTTCCGTTCTCTAACTTTACTTTGCCTCAACTAAACATTATGGATCTTATACACAATGTTTATTACCACAATACACAGATCAAGTTTGAATTAAGGTAGCATCATTTTTACCGTTCTTCAGTTATGTCCCTCTTTAATGTTGTATGCAAGCGGGGGCATCATCTCTGTCCCATGGACACATTCCCCATTTATTATTAATTGTGGGTTGTATGTTTTAGTGTTGATTAAATTTAAAGAATAATATGTACACCATAACAAAATATGTTTTATGAAAGCATGTTATTGTTAGAATATGTCTCATAAATCTTTAAAGAGGTCCTGTAGCCGCCATAGCCCTTGTATCTATATTGAGAAAAAAGAATTTCCAGTAATTTTTTGTTTTATTTTTCAGGGGAATCAACAGAATCAGGCTGTGATATTTGACCATAAGATTTGTGATTATATCAACCACATTCTTCGTGTTGGACAGTTCAAAGGTTGTGGAAAGAAAGAGGTAATAGTTAATCATAGCCACATATAAAAAGATTAAGATATGTATATATATAATGGTGATTTATATGAAAATTAGGAAGACATAAAGATGACACACAGTACATTTGCCCAGATATAAATGTCACTTAGTTTCACCTTGACAAATGTCAGGTGTAAATAATGAAAAGTATCCACATTAGAATTTTTTGAATATGAATCAATGCCAACCTATTTAGTATCAAATTTCTGCTGTCAGATCAAAGTTCTGAAATTTTTTTAGGCAAATTTCTTCTTTGCATGAATGGTCTGCCCTTTAACAGTTTTTTTCTAATCAAGAAAAGGGAAGCTAAAGATAAATCTTAAATTTTAAGGCTGCAAAAACCTTTAATGACCTTAGAAATAGATGTAAATAATTATAATATGCTATTCTTATGGAAGTTTGATGCAGCCAATGAGGTGTTTTATCATTGTCACCTTTGTATTTTCAAACATAATAAAAGCGAAATCACGAATACGTGAGAGCAAAAATACCAAATCAAGAAATGAATTTGATTTCTCATGTTCACCTTAAAGATTTCACGCTTTCTTTTTCACTTTTGTGATTTTGCTTTTTGCCCTTTGTATTGTTGACAATGTGAAATTGGCAGCATCTGGCTTTCATACATTTTGGTTGTTTTTTTTACCTTGTGTTATTGTGATTTGGATTTCTATTGTTTAATTTCAACTGAATATCCACCTGTTTTATTCTTCCAGATATATGTTTTAAAGAAATCAATAGCTACTCTGGTGAGATCTTTGACAGAGGAGAATCCTAAAGACTCAGATGAAGAGAATTCTCCTGCCCAAGGTGTACAAATTGCTACTTTGTCTAAGGTAAATCTTTGAATTAAATGTTTTCTCAATATTATTTAAACTGAAAATGACTGATTAAAATGTTGCTGTAACAAAAAAGTACTGTAAGTTCCTAAAGTTTTGTGATGTCTTTATCATGGGTGAATAATGCTAAATGGATGGTATTTCAAGCATTAAAACTTGAGTTTTGTGTTGGTTACCTCTCTAAATTTCTATTAATTGGTCTTGCATTTTTGTTATTTCTATGGTAGCAATAAATTCTGATTTTACGGTTATTTTAAATAAAAGAAAAAGTACTCCTCCGATGCTTGTCTTATGGTTCACTTGGAATGGTTCTAAAGTGTTGTTTTTTTTCATTTTCTCTTACTTTTTGGCGTTCTAATTTCTTACGAAGCATTTCATGAATGAGAATGTTCAAAAAAATATAAATGTTTAGAGTTTTATGCGATGTCCTTCCTATATCAAATAATGTTTAATATAAAGCAACATCATCTTTCCATTATGGTATAAACAGCTCAAAACAAACATGTTTTTATTGTAAACAAATCATTGTTTGAGAATGATGTATTATTAGGAAGGAGGTGATGAATTTCTCTGGAGAAAGATACGAGAGACTACATCTTGGGTAAAAAATATTTACCAAAGTGCACAAATGATTGTTGATTTACACTGTGGTTAGGCTAAAGTTGTTTATTTTTGTTGATTTACACCGTAGCTAGGCTAGGGTTGTTTACTTTTGTTGATTTACACCGTGGCTAGGCTAGGGTTGTTTATTTTTGTTGATTTACACTGTGGCTAGGCTAGGGTTGGTGTATTTTTGTTGATTTACACTGTGGCTAGGCTAGGGTTAATCATTTTGTTCCTGAAAATGGGTCAAATTTGTTTGTCAGAGTGATGTTTAAGAGCACATGATGATTGGTTTACAATATTATTAGGTGAATGTGAATGACATTGATTATTCTTGGAGGAAATTGAGAGAAACAACAGCTATGGTAAAATATGAGTGTCAGGATAAAATCATTCAGCACATGATTGTACACTCTTACACTGGATTTGTGCACATTCTCTAAGCTAACTATTTAACAATCTTTATTTTAGGCCAAAGTTTAAAATATTTTAGAATGGCCATAAGATTTTTGTATTTTATTGGCCTATATAAAAATCAACCATTGTAAAATGTAGGAAATTTCAATGGTTTCCAAATTTGTACAAATAGCCTTATATTAAATATATATGTTTTTTTTTGTTGGGGGAATCATATTTGTTCGTAGGGATTATTCAATGAGAAAACATTTGTGCTGTCCTTCATTGGATAATGTAAAATTTAGACATAATATATCAAAATTTACATGTATAATTTTCTAGTTTCTGAAACGAGGATCAGCGGTTTGTTAACTCTTTTAGTATCGTTGTTGTAAAACTTAATGTATTGTATTTTCCAAAATCTATTTTATGTGTATTAAATTCCACTTCAATGTCACATAGTTGTTGCATGTTTTATTTAATTTTTTTCTTCTAAAAACACAGCATTGATCTGTTGCAAAAAAATTGTTATTCATGTTTGGTTTTTTTAAGTATTGTTTCTGTTACTGTTTTTTAAAGTAGAATGTTTGAGTTATGTTGATGTGTATTGTAAGTTTTGTCAATTGTTGTATAGCATGGTCAAATAAAAGTTAGGTCCAAAAAGGTAAGTTAACTCCCCTTCTACTACTTCCTGTTAACATTAACATCTCTGAAGAGTATTTGCAGCTTTTTTCAGAATAAATTTATTTATTTGAGATGTTACTACATTTAATGTGATGAGACTTGAATTTTTTTTTCAAACTTTCTGTTTAAACAAATTAAATGTCCATATATGTGTTGGTGACTTACATTTTTCACTACATTTCATATAAAAAAAGTCCTTTCTTGTGGGGTTTTCATTACAATTTAAAAACAATTGATGATTACTTACTGTTCTTGTTATATCTCTCTCAGAAATTCTATAGAGAGTGACTCCTTCAACTGTGGTCATTTCTTTAAGCAATATAGTCCACTATAAGATTAATCGATGGCTTTTGAAATTAGATACATGTAGTAATTAAGAAATGATATCTGTATTAACATACATGGCAAGCTGCAAGCACTCTTTCAGAATACCAGGAATGTTCAATTATATCACTCACGTTATCTATTGCACTGCTTATCTTTACTTTTGCTTGATAGTTTTGTAAAGGGAACAAAAGCTTTATCCTTTTGACTGAGATTTATCAATCCCATACATGTTCATATTACATTTTGTGAACCGTTTGAGTATAATTCTGGAAGGCACCAGAGGGGTGAAGGCAAGAATAAAGAATTGCTATGTATCTAATACAGAATTTTATATAAAAATAAGATGATGTGGTATGATTTCCAATGATTAATAACTGTATATTAAATTATTTATCATTTGAGCTAGCTTAGGGGATTAGCAAGTTATTTATCATGTGAGCTAGCCATGGGGATTAGCAAGATATTTATCACGTGAGCTAGCTTACGGGCATCTTTGCTAGCCAAGGGTTACGATCCAACCCACTCCTCTTCACCCTTGACAGATTAAGTAAGAATTTGGGATCCAGGAGGTAATGTTTTCCATTGGTCATAGTTGTAACTAGCTACATCCAATCAAAAATGCCTTTAAGATGATCATGTGTAAATGTAGAAAATGTATTAAAAAAAAACAATTGCCACGTGCAACACGTCTTTACCCCAAAATATAGGATGACATTGAGTGACACTTTTGAAGTTCTGAATCAACAATCTTACACCTCCGAAATAAAGAGTGCAAGTGCTGTCATTGGTCAATTATGATGTAGTCAGAGTGGGTGTGACTTCTATATGTTTCTAGATGGCACTATGCTGTATACACAAATACTGCCTTAATCTGCTATGGGTGAAGAGGAGCAGGTTGGATTGTAACCCTTGGTTAGTGAATATGTCTTAGGGGATAAGCAAGTTATTTATCATGTGAGCTAGCTTAGGGGGTTAGCAAATTTTTTTTATCATGCGAGCTAGCTTAGGGGGTTAGTTTTAAAATTGATCTACTACATTATTTATTCTTGACGATTTTGAATGAACAGTTCAATTTGGGATCTCTTAGTCCTAAAAATAACTAACAAAAAATTGTATAAAATACATATGTCATTACTAATATGTTGCATGTAGAATGGTAGATAATTTGAAATATATTGGCTTTTTTACAAGAAATAAGTATATTCATCTTTTAGCTCCGTGTTAGAAACTACTACTTTCCAATGGCTTGTAATTCTCTGGGCTGTATCAAATACCCTAACTGCAGAACTTGTTATATCTCGCTTTACAATGTTTCTCCTATAGTAAGACAGCTGCTAGGTGAACTTATATATAACAATTTATCTAACATTGATCTAGATTCCAATAATGTTATGCTTTAAGATATTCATCACTTATCAACACCTTATTATATTTTGTCCTAACTACAAACACTTTTCAAAGTTCTCATTATTTTTATGAAAGTTATATTATAACTTACTTTTAAAATAATTTGGATTGCTATGAATTTCTAATGTGACATATTCTCTAACATAGTATTATATGTTACAAACATATTATTTTAAACTTAAAAAATCAATCATTGATTAATAATATTATGTTTTAATTATTTAGTTCCTTTCGTCATTAGATCAAAATGTTTACGTTTTCAAAACCTATTGATACAAACTTTAGTAATGCACAACCTTTTTATGAATGAATAGTTTCCTGTTTTTATAAGACCACTGTAACTCATCAATGCTCTTCCTATGATAGAGAGCTCCATTATAAAAAAAACAGTAAGCAAAACTCCAAAAATCTGCCTGTGATAATGAAAGCTGGCCTATACTTGGATGGAGAGTTGTCTCATTGGCACTCATACCACATCTTCCTATATATACTCTCTTAGGATAATTTGTAAAACATTTGTACAAGTTTTTAAGGAAAGTAATTTATCCTTGTTTAAATGGATAGCAATATCTAAAAAAAAAATCCATGAAACACACTTTTCCATCCATAGCAGTTTCTGAGCATGTTTTTATTTTCACCTGAAATATCTATATATTAGCCAAAAAAATGGTTGAAATGGCATCAGTGTTTTGTTAGACAATTATATATTTATCACAACAACTGAAAAACTAAAAAATGTCTTTGTTTTCGTTATTTCTTTGTTGATTTTATATTTTGAATATACCATATTGTTATACTTTGATATGTATCACCTATTCAGTAATATGTGTTTTGTATTTAGGAAGTAATGGAATACCTAGATACTCCACTTTTTATCAACACCATGACAGAAGCCTACCAAGATATACAGGTATTTTTTTTATTCAAATGAACAAATCATACTATATATATAGCTAGGACTTATAGTTAGAAATGTTAATTTTTATTTGATTATGTTTTGATATTGTCAAGTTATTTCGTCAATAGGATGAATTGTAAATTTTTTACTAGTAAACTATGAAAAGGTATATTTCATGAACCAATATGTAAAAATCTTTAAACAATTCTCTCTTTATAAAGCTATGTGTTTTATATATACATGTACTATTAAATACAGTAATAAGGCATTATGTTGCTAATCAAACAAAATGGCTGCCATAACTATAAATAAGCACCAACTTTAGATTTCCCTCTGCAGTTATGCAGTTGTTTAAGAGGACCCAATGTAGGGTGGTGAGGAATTAGTTCCCGAGTTGTCCATCAGAAGTATGTTTGATGACCCTAACTAGACTAGAGGCCCTATTTAGAAAAAAACTTTTCTGAAAGCAGTTTCCAAAAGTCAGATTAAATAATTGAGTTTGTCGCATTCAGTAAGTTGTAGTAGGAGTGTTTTTAAAGAGATTTAAAAAAGTTCTAACTAAACATATACATGAGTCAGTATTGGATGACTGGTGTTTAACGCCACTTTCAGCACTATTGTGCTATTTTGTGGCAGTCAGTTTTTATTGGTAGAGGAGTGCCAAGAGAGAACAACCGACCTTCACAATTCCGTAGTTATGAACATAGATGAAAAGTGAGTGAGACAGACTTTTGGCTGTCTTGAATTATGTCCCTTATTATCAGTGCAAGGATATTTGTTAAAAAATTGTAATCCAAAATACAGTAGTTTGATTCATTTTCAGCAGACATAAATCATCTAGCATCCAAGCAAATTACGTCATCTTCAAAATAAACTTGAAAATAGAATCATCTAAAAATCAAGGAACTAGTGTATGTGAAACGGACAGGGTTTATTTTATATCTCAACTGATCAAGCAAAATTAGACAATAAATACATAAGTAATAATGTCAGTATATTCCATATAATATATTAAATAGCATATAGAATTGAAAATGAAAGGGGTGAGTTTATTGATACTTTAATTGTTGTTCTTTTAATTTAATTTACCTCACCGTTTTAATTAAAATATGTTGAAGCAGAGAAATATATACTTGTTTACAGGCTGAATCCAAGTTTAGAGTCAGAAAAAAATCTTAAGGCATAGATAGATACAGTGATAAAAGATACTAAAGTGAATGAAATTGAATAATTCCGAAATTAAAAGACTGTTTTTATACATGTGATAATTGCAATTTGGTTCGGATCTTATTTGAAAATTGTTTTTTCATTCTAACAATTTACATTTCAATAAAAGATAAGTGGTGGTTGTATTGATAATTTGTTATTTCAATGGCATTTGATGACTGAGTTCTGTATACAGAAACCGGATATGGCTCTGTTGAGAAAAGAGATTCTTTGCTTCAGCATATATTGTATAATGCACCAAGTTTGTATTTTGCGACACTCCATTTATGCATCTGGTAAATGCATTATGAAACATCAAAATGAAATTTCAGCTTTAGTAAGGAAAAGTTGAAGCTTTTACTTTTATTATTTAAAACTAATTTTAGATCGGCGTAATTAACCTGGTTGTTTAATTTAGAAGCAATGAACTTGACTTTTTCTGAATTTATAAAACTAAGGATAGTTTAACCATGAAAAATGTATTAGATTCATTTCTTGATAAATTATGAATCAGCAATGCTTTTTATGAAATGTTACTGATAATTCTGAAAAAAATGTACAGTTGGAAATCTAGTGTCAAAATATTACCTCCCCTGTAAACACTGAAAAATTGATCTTTTTAATGTTTGTTCCTTTTTGACAAGGACATTATTAATTATAAATTTACAAAACAAGTTCTGGTAAATAGTAACAATAAAAAAATGAATTGAAATAAAATTAAAATTTCTGTATAATGTTATCATTTTTCTCTAAAAATAACAAAAGACAAGTACAGTAGGCTATAGAAGCTTTGTGTTAAATTGGTTTAAAAGGTTGCTATGCGAATAAATTTCTTGAGTACCCACTTGAATTTATTTTTCTACTGGCTGTATTCCTCTCTGAAATATGCCAATCAATTATTCTGTATATGTATGCAACTAGATCAGAGAAGTTCAGGGAAAAAATTCACAAGGAATCGATTTATATGCAGCAAAGATTAACTCTTTTGAAATTACGTTACTGAGCAAATTCAAACATACCTTATCCTTATGTAAACATTAAATGTGAATAAATCGAGAAGACCGCAAATATATGTACAGAATTGAGCAGACCTTTGCTTAAAATTGTATAAAAAAATAGTTAAAATCTTTTAATGTGGAACACTCCGAAAATTAGTAACCTGAAAGATCTTTAGAATTTGTATGTACATGATTTTTTTTATCAATATGCAGCAGTCTTACAAGCTTCTAATGCCATTACCGGTACATCGATAAATAATGAAATAAAACATCATGTATTTGCATGTATATTTTCTAATAACACAGTTTAACAAATAATTTCTTTATCATAGTTTAACAAATAATTTCTTTATCATAAGAAGAGTGAATTTACTATTATTCTCATGTTATCGGTTTTGCCACTGAACTAGTACAAATAAATAAATATTCAAGGTTTGAAATTCAAATGAATACTTTGTTATTTTAAGGTTATTTTTTACTGATTTTTCACTTATTGTCACCTACTGTTTACCATCATCATTAAATGTTATCTGACAGAATATTGTAAAAGTGGCCATATTTGAACTGAACTGATTTTTACTTCTTTGGCTTTACCTATAAAAGCATAAAAACACAATACCCTTGTATAAATTGCTCTCAGTGTTTTGCTCATATAGGAAATTATCTGACAATTAAACATTCATTTACATATATATATTAGCCTTTATCTACTGTGAGTATATGTTTTCTCCTAAAAAAACATACTATAAATGACTGTAAAAATTTACACACCCCAGTACAGCTGGTTTTTTATTTACAAAATCTGATGCTCCTGAATATTTTTTATTCTTTCATATAGGCCATATTTATATTCTATAGAGGTTAAAAGAATATATTCATTTTATATTGATTATTATTTCATAAACAGTATTCTTTCATTATTTGACAGATGACACTTATGTTTTGTCACTTTGTATTTCACGGTGTCTGTGATCTTACTCTTTGTGAATTATTTTATGCTGATTTTGGGTTACTTTAATCTTCACTTTAGCATGTGGAAGATGATCCTATCCTTCAGGTAATGGTCCCTCAACAGCTGTTTTAGAAATCGGTGAACAATAGAAAAAAAAATCTTTGTACAAAAAGTGATTTTTAGTCAGAATATTTTGATACTTTTAGATATATTACCATTACTTAAAAACACCTGGTTTGAATGGTGCTGGACTAGAACTTTTTGTACAAAAGAGGGTTGATTTCTTTAATGTTCTCATATTTTCTAAACAGTTGACTAACAAACAACTTTCTTACAGATATTATTTATGACAAAATGATGGAAAAACTTATAATTTTCACATAGAATTCACATTTCAACCACATTCTAATGTGAATAGTATTGATAGTTTTACTTAAGAAGGTTGTTTGTTTGGAATAATACTATTTTTGAGACACTTGTTTTGGCTGTGGCTTTAATTTTCCCAGAATTCCAATTAACAAATCTACTAATGACAACTAACCTAAAGCATTGTTCTTTCTGAGTGAAATTAGTATTTTATACGATGAATAATTTTCATTGGTAGATATGATTTTAAACAAGTAGTTCAACTAAAATGTTTTGAGTACATTTATAAGATTCATGGTTTTTTTTTCAACCTGTGAGATATGCTAAATATGGGTTTTTGATTTTGTGTGGTTTTTGTTGTCTTATTGAAGAAGCCTTGTTTAATAAAGGTCTTTGTTGTTTTAAATGGGGATAACTGGTAAAAATCTCAAGTAAATACTATTTTGACACCTGAAATAGGACAACTGCTAATGCAAATTTATATAATTACTGGTATGTGATTGTTTTTTCATTGAATTATGGTAAAATAGTTAAGGGCATTATTTTATTTTAAATATACGATAACAAATTGTACTTTTCGATTGATTATGTTGTGATCCCCAAAAAAAGGCATGCTGCAGTACATTTCATTGCAGAATGTAATACATGTACAATAACTCATTAGTGAACAGAAATAGCTTAAAATTGTTATTAAATTATGTTAAGTCAGTCCCTTCTAGCCCTAAAGTTTGTCTTGTAACAGTGCTTTGTTTCTTCTTTATTTCTGTGATATGCAAGGAGGACAAACATTTACTATTTACTGCCTAATTCTTACTGATTCATTTTCAACATTTAACAAATACTATCTTTTTCATCTTACTCACATATAATCATTATTAAGAGACAAGTCATTGTGACCTTTTTCATTAGTTATACTGTCATAATTTGATTTTAAGTGTTTGGAGTGTATCGTTTAAAATATTTTGATCGCCATATATTTCTTTTATTGCTGATTGACCTTTAGTTATAGATATAATGCAGTACAAATGCATTAACCATCTGATTTTTTATTAAGTTTAAAGAAAGTCCTGTTATGTGACTCATGTCCACTTTTGGGTGTATTGTATATAAGCAACTTCTGAAGTATGCTACTATTATTAAAAAGGGCCCAATTTAGGGTTTCAATCAAATTTTTGACTACTGTCCTGCCAAATATTTCCAACATTACATTAGGAACTACAAATATAGTTAACACAAGTATATTTTCGTTATGATGAACATGACAGATCCTGAGTTATGCCCATGATTAAGACATATTTTACAAATGGCTCATTTAACTGTACCAGCTTACTTTGTGTAGTCGTGGTGGGTATCCCTGTCCACGGACACATGTTGTTTTCATTTTACATGCATCATTTCAAAGCTGTGTGCCTTGTATAGTGATAATTGTTGTAGTCCATCAAATATTAACAATAATAATACTTAATGAATAATTATATGGTGAAAATGTTAGAAAAATTACATGTGATTTTCACTCTAAAAATAAGGCATCTTACTATCTTTTTGTATGTAATTATATCAGTTAATTTTTCAGAACACTATCTTTAAAAAAAACCAGCTTGGCAAGGTTTAGCTTTTAATAACCTTTATCTACCTTTATCATTATTAACAGTAGGATTCCTTAAACATGAACATGATACTGATTTATGTGATTTATGTGATTTATGTGATTTGCTGACTTATATTGATTTAATTAGAAATATGAACAGTTCTTGTTCTAAGCATATTCTCAGCTCTATAATATACAGTAATTATTTTATAGAAAAGTGATTGTGACTTTGAAGAATTAAAAGAGCTGATTAGTGAGGTTGGATTTGCCTACTACCATATTCTGAGTCGTATGAGTGATTTGGATGAAGCAGTCAACAAAGATAGTAAGATTAATGTCAAGGAAATAGGGCAATAATTTTAGATATATTTTGAATACATTTTGGATATTTTTGTTGTTGGAAGTTTATGTATGTGACAAATATGTAAAGACTGTCCTTTAACCTTTTTTCATGTAATCACTTTATTACCATTACATGCATTAAACTATTTCAATTTGTTTAACACTTAAGGTCCAGTTACAAGCTAAGTCACAGATTTGGAAAAATTTTGCATACAACTCGAGCTCGTTGAACTATAACTGAAAATCCAAAAAATAATTCATTTATCTCTTTTATTTTCTGAATTATTAAGTCTCCCAAACGAAGTTTGGGAAGACTTATTGTTTTTGCTCAGTTCTTATTATTATTATTATTCTTCTTCTTCTTCTTCTTCTTCTTCTTCCGCCGCTTTTAAATTTGAACTTGTCCGCCCCCGTTCTCCAAAACCGCTTGTCAGATTAACTTAGGGTTTCACAATATGTTAGACTAACATGTCTAGTGGTGCAATCAGGGTTTTGTTTGTGCAATGGGGTTTATAAAGGGGTACTTTGAGGGGCAAAAAGAAAAGAGGGTTTTACTATAGAACCCTATGGGATTTTATTTTTAAAAATTTTCAAATGATTATAAATTGAAAACCGTTTGTGATAGACACAATCTTTTTAATTGAAAATGTTCTAAATGATAAAGCCCATTAAATGAAATACAGGGTTAGTCCCCAGGGGTCACCCCCACCCCCTGCCATTTAAGAAAGTTCTAATACCTTGTAAGTGGTCAAGATCCCCACCCCTAAACCATATATATTCTGGTTTGTCATGCTAAGATGGTTTGAATGATATATAGGGTTAGTCCCCCGGGGTCATCCCGACCCCCTGCCATTTGAGAAAGTTCTAATATCTTGTAAATGGTCGAGATCCCCACCCCTAAACCATATATATTCTGGTTTGTCATGCTAAGATGGTTTGAATGATATACAGGGTTAGTCCCCAGGGGTCATCCCGACCCCCTGCCATTTGAGAAAGTTCTAATATCTTGTAAATGGTCGAGATCCCCACCCCTAAACCATATATATTCTGGTTTGTCATGATAAAGCACATCAAATGAAATACAGGGTTAGTCCCCAGGGGTCACCCCCACCCCCTGCCATTTAAGAAAGTTCTAATACCTTGTAAGTGGTCAAGATCCCCACCCCTAAACCATATATATTCTGGTTTGTCATGCTAAGATGGTTTGAATGATATACAGGGTTAGTCCCCCGGGGTCATCCCGACCCCCTGCCATTTGAGAAAGTTCTAATATCTTGTAAATGGTCGAGATCCCCACCCCTAAACCATATATATTCTGGTTTGTCATGCTAAGATGGTTTGAATGATATACAGGGTTAGTCCCCCGGGGTCATCCCGACCCCCTGCCATTTGAGAAAGTTCTAATATCTTGTAAATGGTCGAGATCCCCACCCCTAAACCTTATATATTCTGGTTTGTCATGATAAAGCACATCAAATGAAATACAGGGTTAGTCCCCAGGGGTCACCCCCACCCACTGCCATTTAAGAAAGTTCTAATACCTTGTAAGTGATCAAGATCCCCACCCCTAAACCATATATATTCTGGTTTGTCATGCTAAGATGGTTTGAATGATATACAGGGTTAGTCCCCCAGGGTCATCCCGACCCCCTGCCATTTGAGAAAGTTCTAATATCTTGTAAATGGTCGAGATCCCCACCCCTAAACCATATATATTCTGGTTTGTCATGATAAAGCACATCAAATGTTATACAGGGTTAGTCCCCAGGGGTCACCCCCACCCACTGCCATTTAAGAAAGTTCTAATACCTTGTAAGTGGTCAAGATCCCCACCCCTAAACCATATATATTCTGGTTTGTCATGCTAAGATGGTTTGAATGATATACAGGGTTAGTCCCCAGGGGTCATCCCGACCCCCTGCCATTTGAGAAAGTTCTAATATCTTGTAAATGGTCGAGATCCCCACCCCTAAACCATATATATTCTGGTTTGTCTTGATAAAGCACATCAAATGTTATACAGGGTTAGTCCCCAGGGGTCACCCCCACCCCCTGCCATTTAAGAAAGTTCTAATACCTTGTAAGTGGTCAAGATCCCCACCCCTAAACCATATATATTCTAGTTTGTCATGCTTAGATGGTTTGAATGATATACAGGGTTAGTCCCCAGGTGTCATCCCCACCCCCTGCCATTTGAGAAAGTTCTAATATCTTGTAAATGGTCGAGATCCCCACCCCTAAACCATATATATTCTGGTTTGTCATGCCAAGATGATTTGAATGATATACAAGGTTAGTCCCCAGGCATCACTAATGCATATAACTTTACTGGACCAAACCAATTTTCACTGGACGTTGCCCAATGTCAGGCGACCCTGGGAATACGAATTATGGGAGCTTCGTTTGGGAGACTTCGTAACAGCATCCTGTTACAATCATTTCTTGTTACTAATTGAATTCTTTCAATATATGTTAACATTTGTATAGAAAGCACATAAAATCATCAAAAAACGTTCATAAATTTGTCTTAAAATCATCAAATTTCAAATTTCAAGTACATAGACTTTTCTTAAAAAACTATGTGTTTTTGGTATATAAATTTCCATTTTAATGGTGTAAAATAATATTAGGGTCACCAACTTCGTTTTAGAGGTGTATAGCATTCAAAGTGGTGTTCTATGTGAATAAATACGACAATATGTCAAAATAATCGTGGAATACAAAAATCAAAAGTTAGATATTTTCTATTTATTAATAACTTTATAATTGTATAATTTTGATTATTTCAGCTTTAATTAAACCTGACACAGAACAAGAAATGGCATGGGATAGTTTCTGTGAAAATACTCTTTCAATAGAAATACTCAAAAATGATGTACTACAGAAAATTTATTTCCCAGTTGAGGATAAGGTAATTTAACAATTATAGCCAATCATGGATTTATCATTTGCAGTCAAATTGAAGTAGATAAAACTTATATATATGATTGATTTTTCTTACATTTTCTTAAAGAGATTTAAATGCATAAATAATTTTAAAAAGTTGGCATATGGAGGATAAGTGACTTGGCTGATACAAAATCAAGTCATTTTTGTTTTTATAATAATCTTAATTTGGAAGCTATTCTAACATTTAAAGAAACTATCATGCTGTAGGTTTTCTTTTCAATTCTTTCAAATTTTTTCTTGCCATGAGGCCTTTCTATGTCGTGGATTTTACTCATTGTTGAAGGCTATATGGTGATCAATAGTTGTTTAAATCTTCGTCCTATGGTTTCTGGTGGTTAGTTGTCTCAATGGCAATCATACCAATTCTTATTTTTTATCGATTGAATTATTCATAAAATACAGTTTTAACCTGTGTCACCAATGGCGGCAGCAGGTCTCATAACTGCTTCGCTTCACTCTGTCTGTTTGTTCGAAAGACCATTTTTCAAAGTTTTCTTAGCTTCTATTAAATAGAAATTATTTTAATCAATACAATTTTATTTACTTAGTTGTATGAATTGTATGAAATATGACTATAAAATTGGGATGTTGGGTAAAAAGTGGGACCATGTAATTAACCTGAAAATTCACAGAAAGATTGCACACATATTGAAGTTGTGAACTTGCTATATAAGAATTGTTTGTGGATTTTTTCCCAATTTTTCTATTTTGAACTTGCTGACCTTTGTCAAAGCAACTAATAAAAATAACCTCCTATTAATTTTGACAATTTTCAGTTGTTCAAGAGTTGTGTGACTTGAATAGTAAAAAACTGTGTAATTTTTCTGTTGAAAGAAAGAAACAGCATTGATATAACATTATGTTAGTTTTCATATGAGTGCATCACAAATAAAAGTTTCTTTAAGTTCTGGAGTTAAAGTTGATCCACAGTGATCCTCCAGCTTCCTATCCAAAACAATATTATAGTTATAGATACAACTCCTAATGAGATCTGTGTCGTCACCTGACCGTAATAAAGTTAAATTAGCAAGTTAAATAAACAAAATGATCTCTGGACATCCAAGACGAAATAAATATTGGTATGTGTATCTATGGTTTAAGCTAGAATATTTTGAGAATTTAATTGTATATTTCAGAATGTGCTAAGAGATGAAATAAAAGACAAGTTCAAGTATGAAGTTGATCGATCTTCACCAAGTAATAAGATTCGAGATTTTATGGACTGGGCTAGTGATATTATTCATGATATTCAATATCAAAGAAAAATTCATGCTAATCCATTGGCCAGACTGTTCATCAAATTATGGTAAAAAAAATGGTTATTTTTAAGTTAATAGAAGTTTTTTTTTTTACTTTTTCAATTAAGATGGAAAAAACATAGTAAATTCTATAACCATTTAGGAAACACTGATCACTTTGTTCTTTTAACAGGCTTATTATGCTGCTATTGTATAAAATTATGCATATCCTTTTTATCATATTTGCTGTATTGGTCCAAGTAGCTCCCCTAAAGATTTACAGATGTAGCATTAATGACATCTAATAAAGACTTCTGCATTAGGCCATCTTGAACTTGTAGTAAAGAGCTTTTACTTTGAGTTGAAGTCTCATTGTTTTTTAACTCTAATTTCATACAATAATAAAATAAGTTTACCATTTTTAACTTTTTTTATGATTAAGATCTTTTTAGATGATAAGTACTGGTATATTTAATGTCAAAGGTAGGCATTCAACCATTTTCTTATAGGATCATCTGACAACTGTTTAATAAAACAAAAATAAAGCTGATATCTTTGGTACTGAACTATGACTTAATTTTCCTATTGTAGGATACCTATGAATTACCTAACAGTGTTAATCAGTTTTATAATAGCAGTATTAGTAATGATTTTCTGGAGAGACCCTCTGACAGCCACTGGAGCTTCAGATTCATATAGGTAAATGATTGTAAAAGTGTGCATCAAATTTTGTGAGTGATAGAGAAACACTGGATATATGGCATATGTTGTTAAGACAGCATCAAAAGGAACATTAAAGTAAAGATCAGACATCTGTGGACCAATGTTGTTGTATAAGCTGTTCAAAAAATGGTTTGCTGTAACAGTTGGAAATTGAAATGGGATGGTTAAACAGCTCGATTTAAGTGACTTTATATTAACCGGACTCGATCTTTACCATTTTACTTTATTTAACCCTTTCGCCGATGAGTCCCGGTTTACCGGGATTCATGCTTCAGACAGCTGACGATGAGTCTTGTTTTACCAGGATCGGAATACCTCTTTTATATTTCCCGCTCAAAACAGTGCAAACACGAGTTATCTTTCTTTGTTGATGAAAGTGTAAACATGGCGCTTCCGTTTGTTGAAAACCGTGTCAAAATCAGAGGAAATTTACGGAATTTACGAGAATTTAAAATGAGGGAACATTTTTTTTGAAAGAATATGGAAGAATTAAAGCCAAACTAGTATACTTTTTTGACATAAAATGTCGTTTTATGTACAAAACACTTGGAATGGACATCGTTCATTGTAAGGAATTTGTACAGCCTCATTAAATTTTTCAAAATTTTGCCGTTTTGGGTTAAAAAATTACGATTTTGGGTCAAAAAGTAGAATTTTGAGAATTTCACCTAGATAATGCCGAAAATTTGAAAATTTGAATATTTTATGAAGAAAGATTATCAAAACATGAACAAAACTGTGAACATGGTGTTAGTGAATGAAATAAAGACACAAAATACTACAGACAAGTTTTTATTGACATTTATTATGAAGATCTCCCACTTGAGTAATAGTAGCCAGGGAAGCCGTCGTCTCAGAGTAGCTTCTGTCTGGGCAGCTATCGGTGAAAGGGTTAAAGTATTTAAAGACTATTGACCACTTTCAATAAAATTCAGCATCAAATTAATGATCTCTGGCTGTAAATGAAATAAATCTAAAAGGGAAATTTGACCAGGCACAAAACAACTCCTGCGATCATTAAAAGTTTTAACCGTAAGCAAAATACTCTCTACAACATCAACCCAAGATCACCATACTAAATACAGAAACAAATAGAAAATGGACCCAAAAAAGATCTTTTACTTAGTTAACTTCTGAATATAAGATAAAACCAAACTTGGCCTAAATCATCCATAGGGTATTTAGTTTAAAAAATGTATCCAATGACCCCACCCATCAACCAAGATGGCCACCATGGCTAAAAATAGAACATGGGAGTAAAATGCAGTTTTTGGCTTATATCTCTGAAATTAAAGCATTTAGAGCAAATAGGGTAAAAATGTTCATCAGGTCAAGATCTATCTGCCCTGAAATTTTCAGACGCATCAGACAACCCGTTGTTTGGTTGCTGCCCCTGAATTGGTAATTTTAAGGAAATTTTGCAGTTTTTGGTTATTATTTTGAATATTATAATAGATAGAGATAAACTGTAAACAGCAAAATTGTTCAGCAAAGTAAGATCTACATATGACCAAAATTGTCAATTGACCCCATAAGGAGTTATTGCCCGTGAAAGTCAATTTTTCAATATTTTTCTTAAATTTTTGTAATCTTTTACAAAAATCTTCTCTTCTGAAACTACTGGGCCAAATTGAACCAAACTTGGCCTAAATCATCCTTAGGATATCTAGTTTAAAAAATGTATCCGATGACCCTGCCCATCAACCAAGATGGCCACCATGACTAAAAATAGAACATAGAGGTTTACTATAGAAGTCTATGGGGAAATTGTAAAAAAAACAATTTCAAATGGTCACAACTTGAAAACTAATTTAAATAATGATAAGGGGTCTTCAGTAACTATTGAAAGACTAAAATGGGATGACCTGCTTTTAATTTAACTACTGGGCCAAATTAAACCAAACTTGGTCTCAATCATTATTGGGGTATCTAATACTATTTTTTATGATTTTAACCTTATTTTACATGATTTCCAAAACCACAGTAGATACAGGTGAGCGACACAGGCTCTTGAGAGCCTCTAGTTTACATGTTTAAGTTTATCCTAGAATTCTGCAAGATAAAGCAGGTACACTCAATATAGTGGTAATAGTTGTTTAGTTTTCGCAATTTAATTGGATTGCCTTGGAATAGAATATATAAATAAATATATATATGATAAAAGGAGATTTGTGGTATATTTCAATGAGACAACAACCTCACAACACAATAAAATGAACTAGACTTCAATGTTTAAATGTATAAAAGTGTCAATGAACCTCAAACAAAGAACAAATATTTTAATATATAATATTTTGATTAGGAATTTAAAGGTGAAGCTGTTTTTAGAATACCAATATGTAATCAATATAGCTTGTAAACTTAAACCCTTTTATTAGAACCAGGATTTGGTTTATATAAATATATTTTCAATTTCAGTGCTATTCCAAGATACACCCATGATGAAGTGAAGATTGTAATATATGTTCTAGGAGGAATACATAACTTTTTAAGTTTGTGTATATTAATAACATTTTATCTTTCTAACCATCCAACGTTCCCTGTGATAAAAGCAATCCAAGGGTAAGTTTCTACAGATATTTGCAGTCACTTGCAGCATCTATATTTTTTGTTCCATCAAATAAAACAAAGAGCAGTTATGTGAAATTTAGCCTTACAGTTCACCAATAGGCTATTTCTGGAATCATGTCTTTCACCAGAAAAGATCGTCAATTTTGCAAGCCTTTATGACGTCATTTACCAGATAGAAGTTGCACCATCCCTGCTCTATTAAAGTTTAAAGCACTTTCAGAATTGTCATTCTGCAGGGTAGTCTAGAATTAATTTATGTTCCGTAAGTACATAATCTTAATTCCCGTATGACTGAAGGGAGAGTGACCAACTTATTACATTTTAATTTCCCAAATAATTTGTGCAGTATAAGATCAAATTTTTCATCAGTTAGCTCGACATGTTGGAAGTGGGGATGCCTACATTTTGGTCATGTGGTGATGGAACATGACAGATTAAACTAACTACTGTAACCCCGGAACTGGCATATAATTAAATGCAGTCATACATCATTTCAAGGATCTGTAGTTAGATACATTTTATCACATGATAATACATAACACAATAAAAGGAAGCTAGTAGAGCTCACACATTACACATGAAAAAAACTTTTTTGTATATAGGGACAACCCACAGGGAAATAGATATCCAATTAAACAACAGAAAGTTGAAAACTGAAAGTCACAAAAACAATGATTCTTGTTTTTAGATAGAATCTGCCTTTTTGTGGTTGTGTATTGAATAAGTGCTATTTGCAAGAGTAAGATATTTTTGAGGGTAATGAAATAAGCATGAAGTGTTTATTTATAAGTTTGTTCTTTGACCTATGAAGAAATTTTCCTACATTTATCACTATAATATATCAAGCTGATAACTTAAAGATCTATAAGGATATTGATAATACTAGAGCCATTCCTGGTAGGTACAGCTATGGGAAAAACAGTGATGATCCAAAGGCAAACTATAAGTATTAGTGTAATTATGTATGTTCAAACATTATTCTTCTTGCTAACACACATAAATATGATATTTTTTCCTTGGTCTTAACCGATGAAATGTTTGTTCTTTAATCCATAAAATATCTAAATAAATTTCTCTTTTTTTCTGTTAGGTTGTTTAAAACAGATGATGATGATGATGATACTGATGATATGTCATGGTTAGAAAAGAAAAAAGATTACACCTACTTAGAGGTCAAAGCCTATGGTGTTAATTCAATCTACTATGTGGTAAGTTTTCATAATTCCAAAATGAAAGGTAAAACTTGTATGGTATAATTGAAAGGATATGAGTTTCATGGTTTTGTCCATTTCTCAGATACTTCAAGCAATATGTCAACTGTATAAGGTGTTTGGAATGATTGTTAGGTGTACATGTCTGTCTGGCAGAGTTGATATGACCTTGACCTCATGTTCATGGTTCATTAGTCAATGTTAAGTTTTCATGGTTCTCAGATAGGACAACTATATTTAGTGCATGGAATGATTGCAAGGTGAGGATGTCTGTCAAAAAGAATTCATCTTACCTTAGCCTTATTTACATGGAACATTAACAATCTAAAGTTTATAAGGAACTTTTACTTTAAACTCTTGGAAGTATGTTTGTCCAAATAAATATTTCCTGACACTTTCTACAGTTACTATTGAACAGAATGACTTCATACTTGGTCAGCATCTTGACAGTGATGAGTTGTAAACTATTAGCGCTTTTCATATCTGTCAGACACCTAATTCCTGTTTGCAGATACTTTGAACTTTTCAATATGTTGGAAAAACTTTTCCTCACATATTTCTCTAGTACTGCTTAACAGATTGACTATATATTTGTTCAGCAGCTGGATAATGATGAGTTTGAATTATGAAGGGAATGGGTATGGTTAGCACTATAACTTAGGCATTCTTTGAGTTGAAGATCACAGTATTTCATTGCAATCAATGTTGATTTATTACATTGTAGGTGTTTCTAGTATTCTCAGTTTTGGGAACAGCGTTTTATGGCTATTTCTTTGCTTTCCACCTGTTGCACATAGCTGTATTAAATCAGCTGCTAAAAAGAGTCATTCAAGCAGTTACAACAAATGGTATGTATACAAAAAATTGATAGTAGTAGGTAAGTGATAAGATCCTAAAATATATCAGAGATGTAGGATATAGATCAATGAGACAGCAATCTAACATCACACAAAACTAAAGACATCTAGAGGTAAACATACTGTCTTCAACAACAGACATATGTCCATACAGTCTGTCATTCTAAATCATCACAGTCTTGAAAGTTTTGAATAAATTTTAGAAATGCTTTTTGCCATCTACACAATATTTCCTAACAGACAAAAAACATGAAAATAATTAATATATAACTAAAGACAATGACTGATGAGTTTCCTGACTTGAGACAGGTAGATAAATCTGTGGTAGGGTTAAGCTCTCCTCATTGTAATATTCACCAGTGGAATTACAAAAAGTGGACAAAGGAGCATACCATAACTATAAGTTCAGAGAAACACTTAATTCTACAGTACTAGTATGATAGACAAATGCAGAAAATATAGGAAATGGAAATTTTTCATATGCCATTTATTGCAAATGAAAGATTTGGTAATTTTTCTATTTTTGTATTTTTTAGGTAGTATTTGGTTATTATAGGATTAAACACATTTTTTCTAGAAGTTATTGATGTGTAAACCGGGGCGCTTACTCACAAACTTAACATAAAAGTCTGAATTTTATTCAGTTTGTGAGTTAATCCCCCCGATTTACTCACAAACTTAACTCAGTTTGTGAGTTAATCGCCCTGGTTTACACATCAATAACCTCTTAGAAAAAATGTGTTTAATCCTTATAATTCTTAAGCCAAACATTCACGATTTTTGTCGAGCCTGCGACTTTTGTCGCAGAAAGCTCGACATAGGGATAGTGATCCGGCGGCGGCGACGGCGGCGTTAGCTAACTTCTTAAAAGCTTTATATTTTAGAAGGTGGAAGATCTGGATGCTTCATACTTTGTATATGGATGCCTCATGTTACGAAGTTTCCGTCAGTCACATGTCCAATGTCCTTGACCTCATTTTCATGGTTCAGTGACTACTTGAAAAAAAAGTTCAGATTTTTTGTAATGTTAAATTCTCTCTTATTATAAGTAATAGGATAACTATATTTGGTATGTGCGTACCTTGCAAGGTCCTCATGCCTGTCAGACAGTTTTCACTTGACCTCGACCTCATTTCATGGATCAGTGAACAAGGTTAAGTTTTGGTGGTCAAGTCCATATCTCAGATACTATAAGCAATAGGTCTAGTATATTCGGTGTATGGAAGGACTGTAAGGTGTACATGTCCAACTGGCAGGTGTCATCTGACCTTGACCTCATTTTCATGGTTCAGTGGTTATAGTTAAGTTTTTGTGTTTTGGTCTGTTTTTCTTATACTGTATGCAATAGGTCTACTATATTTGGTGTATTGAATGATTGTAAGGTGTACATGTCTAGCTGGCAGGTGTCATCTGACCTTGACCTCATTTTCTTGGTTCAGTGGTCAAAGTTAAGTTTTTGAGTTTTGGTCTTTTTTTCTAATACTATATGCAATAGTTCAACTATATTTGGTGTATGGAAATATTTTATGATGTATATGTCAGTCACGCAGGTTTTATTTGACCTTGACCTCATTTTCAAGGTTCATTGCTCAGTGTTAAGTTTTTGTGTTTTGGTCTGTTTTTCTTAAACTATAAGCAATAGGTCAACTATATTTGGTGTATGGAAATATTTTATGATCTATATGTCTGTCATGCAGGTTTTATTTGACCTTGACCTCATTTTCAAGGTTCATTGCTCAGTGTTAAGTTTTTGTGTTTTGGTCTGTTTTTCTTAAACTATAAGCAATAGGTCAACTATATTTGTTGTATGGAAGAATTGTCAGCTGTACATGCCTGCCTAGCATGGTTCATCTGACCTTGACCTCATTTTCATGGTTCATTGGTCAATGTTTAGTTCACTTGGTTAATGTTAAGTTTATGTGACAGTTGTAATAAAACTTTATATTTAGGACTATCAACATAATATCAATGATTAGTAAAGAAGGCGAGACATTTCAGTGTGTGCACTCTTGTTTGTTTAATGGCTACTATTTACCATCAAATGCACAATTGACATGTCGTTACTAAGGAGTTAGCGGCCATATTGACTTTCTAAAATTCGTAAATGTTCTATAAATGCAACAGAATCTAAAATGAAATAGCAACTACCTCAAAAACTTCATTTTATTGAGATATTATCCGAATTTGAAACGTACAAGTAATGGAGATTGGATCACTGCATGCATGTGTATCACGCATGAATAGATCACAGTGAATGTTATGAAAGTAGTTTCGGAAACATGGTTTATCGAAGTGTAAACCAAGGGAAAAAATTATAACTGTCCAATCCGTTTCAAGTATTTATAGATTTGCAAATCATATAAGAATTATATTTCTATGACATCTTATGCATATCATTTAATCATCAGTGAATACCCTTAACAGAAAAGTCTACAATGAAAATGTGTAATGTTATAGTAATTGGAACAACAGCTGTTTTTCTGATATCTTTTCAATTAAAGTAATGTGCTGTTAACACACATCTAGGGTTAACATGCACATCTGAGTCTTTTTATGTTGCTAAATGTCATGGCATTTATAGTTTCTTATTAGATGAAATGTTTGAAAAGTTCCTTGATGAGGTACATGACATTACCCAGAATATCTAACCTATTTATGGACCAATCAGCACCATTATTGTAGCACATGACATTACCCAGAATATCTAACCTATTTATGGACCAATCAGCACCATTATTGTAGCCCAGAATATCTAACCTATTTATGGACAATCAGCACCATTATTGTGAGGTACATGACACATCATTGCCCATTACAATTAAATGTTTGGCTTGTATATATTCAGACTTTGACAAAACCACAAAATAACTAGTTTTCCTCACTCCAAATAATTGGTACCCACAGAGAATCCACAGTATTTATATTAAATGCTTTAGCAATGCAGAAGCTGTTGTTGAAAGCTTTTGTTCCTATGTAAAGGATAGATAAGATTTATATGTTTTTATATGTTTTTATGTTAAATAGGTACATCCTTATTGTTGGTTGGCATGCTTGGAATGGTGATTATCTTTATTTATGCCCTGCTGTCATTTGCGGTGCTGAGAGAAAGGTTCCTAGAGGCCTCCAGAGGCAGAGATTGTACCACTGTGTACGAATGTTTTATTACTGTTTTACATCATGGTTTTGTGGACTCGCTGTACACTGTAAGTACTTATACAAATTTGATTAATAACTTTTTATTGAAATAAGCATGATTAGATAAAATGTGAGTTTTGGAAACTGCAATATGAAGTCACAATCACAAGCATTTAATTTCAGTAATATATTGCCATATTTTGGTTTTGCCATTTTTTTAAGGTAATATGGACAGTTAAGAACACAAGCTTCTAAGAACATCTGAGATGATTCATTTATATTTCAGTCATTTGAAGGCAATTTGGGGGACTGACACACAATCTTTAAGGAACATCTTGTATTGATCGATTCTATTATTCACAAAATTGGAAAATGAAAGCAATTTTTACCCTTCAGTGCTCACAAGCACTTTGCTCGATTGATTTATATTTAAGTCATTTGAACGTTACATGGGGATTGGAACACCAACTTTAAGGAACATCTGATATTGATTGATTCTTATTGTTTTAAATTTTAGTCATTTGAAGGTAACAAGGGGGAATAAGAACACCAACTTTAAGGACATCTGATATTGATTAATTTTAATTAATTTATATTTCAGTCATTTGAAGGTAACATGGAGGATTGGAACACCAACTTTAAGGAACATCTGATATTGATGTCAGTGGATCTTTCCTTCTTCATCATAGTGACCACCATTGGATTGAACATCATCTTTGGTATCATTGTTGATACTTTCTCCCAGCTCAGAGATTCCAAGGTATGAATAAAGATCTGGGTTTCAAACCCTATGAGGGGCATTGGTGGCAGAGTGGTCTTATTAGACAAATTAATGTGTCACTGGCCTCTAAACACTGAGGCTGTGAGTTCAAATCCAGCACGTGGCAGGTGCACTAGACTCCAATCTTAATTGACTAGGATTGTCAGTTTTCCTACCGAAGGTCAGTGGTTCTCTCTGGGCACTCCGGCTTCCTCCACCAAACAATCAATTGATCAATTAATCAAACCTTATGTAAGCCACTGCATTTTCCATCTGCTGTGCCTAGTTTTGCCTAGGAAATTCAATTGCATATTGTACAAGACTGGCACATATATACCATTTTTTATTAAAGATTAAATGGTTTTGTTAAAAGCTTGCATGACCAAAACATTACTTTTTTTTAAATCGTAAGTAGTGTTTACTAATAAAGCTAAGATAAGAATTTGACTTTAAATGAATGGTTAGAATAACTGAGGAAACAGACTTTGTTCTTTAGTCATTTCATTTAGGAGATAATGATATAGCTATGGTACTGATGAAAATATTAGTAATGTAAATTTGTTTATACAATTTAAAAATTGATGCATTGTATTTGTTGTTTTATAGTGGGAAATTGACAAAGATATGATGAACAACTGTTTTATCTGTAGTAGAGAGAGTTATGATTTTGAGAGACAGCTCAGTGGGGCAAGTATTTAATAAAATGTTGATAGTTGATTCAACTGAATAAAAGGATAATATTGGGGATATGTCAATATGACAGCAAACCAATAACACAAAAAAACATCTATTTTTATTACTTTGCAAATATTATACATATGCAAATTTTCCTCAAGAATTCTATTTAGCTTCTTACTAAAGAAAGATTTACATAAACATGTTTGAAAAGTGAACTCTTTTTGTAGCTTTTTTGTAATGTTATTCAAAACAAATAATGACATCTTCTTAAAAAATAGTTTGTAAACGATTAACAAGTCAATAGCAGTTGTTTGACCTGTAGATTCCCTGGTCTTCTGGAACTAATAAACAGGGATCTTCAAGGAGATAGCTGTACCAGTGAAGCAACACTGTTAACAGTGTGTGCAATATTGTTGTAAAAAAAAGTACCCCCAGTAAACTTGTGTAATAGTCACAAGCATCTAAATATACATTGATCAACCATTTTTATCTCACCTGGACTGAGAGTCAATGTGAGCTATTGTCATCACTTGGTGTTTTTTTTTTGTTTGTTAAGTTTTTTAAAAGATTCTTACCAGAAACCACTGAATGGATAGGGACACAAATTTAGGGTATTTAGTGTCAAAAGTTTTGTCAATAAAACCCCTGGTACTATAAATAGAACATTAGGGTAAAACTACAGTTGTTTGCCTATATCTTGATAATTAAAGTAGTCAGAGCAAATATAACTGGACAGAAAGGATATACAGTTTAAATTTAACTACCAGATTTTTTTTTTTAATCAAGCAATTCATTTTGGAGTTATTAAACAATTAGCAAAATTCATAGTTTTTGGTGATTTTCTTGAAAACTTTAGGAGTGGATGAAAAATGCAAATTGCAAACATGATATTCTATACAAGGTCTACAAATAAGTTGATATGGCACAAATTATCCGAAGACTCCTTATTGGAACTATTGCCCTTCAGTGCCAATTTTTCCCTAAATGTTTGGCAATTATCTTGAAAACTATAACAGACAAAGAGAGAAAATATCAACAGCAAAAATGATATAAAAAAAAAGGTTAATTGACACCTTATAGGAGTTTTTGCCATGACATTTTGACCCTTTTTAGGGGTTTCTGGCCATTACCCGAAAATTATAACATTTAAAGAGAAACTGTAAAGAGCTAAAATGATCAGCAAAATAAAATCTTCATATACATTGACATGACAATTCCATATTGAAGTTATTGCCCTACAATGAGGATTGTTTTGTGTTTTTGACTATTGTTGTTAAAACCGAAATAGATAGAGAGAAAATATGAACAACAGAAATGAACAGCAAGTCAAAATCTACTAGGAAGTCAACACAACCTATCTTGACAATTGACTTTTATAGGAGTTAATGGCCGTATATGATGATTTTTATCCATATCAATACTGGTCACAATCTCATTGCTATACTAGCATATTATAAAGCATATTTTCAGAAATGAATAATGTGAAGTGTTTATATTTACAGGGTTTTGAGAAACATGTGAAAGAAGAGCATAATCAGTGGGCCTATCTGTTTTTCTTCCTTCACTTGGACAATACCAGAGTCAATGACTACTCAGCCTTAGAATTATACGTGTACAAATTAGTAAGTAGACTTAACTTTAATGAACTATAAATTACAAACACACATGTGATTTCTATTCTGCCTTCATTTGAATGCAAAACAAAGTTTTGAAGTAAGACAAAGTTTTTAATGAAAGACAAAAGTAAAGTGCATATTTTCTGTCAGCATTAAAAAGTTATCAAAGGTACCAGGATTATAATTTAATACGCCAGACGCGCGTTTCGTCTACATAAGACTCATCAGTGACGCTCAGATCAAAACAGTTATAAAGCCATATATTAATATATGAGCTGCGTTGGATATAAATCGACCTTATGCAAGTGCAGGTATACATGTACATGTATAAGACTTTGATTGATTTTGGAACATTCAGATATAAAATAAAAGATGAATTATGGTCTGTTTTGTAGGGTTCTTATATCAACTCAATTTTCAAACAGTTAACTTGACGGTACCCAAATTGCACCTATTTTGACAGTTTTTTCACCTAAGTTTTTTTATGATAAAGACAAAAATTTCCATTCTGTGTTTATTTTGTAGCCGTATCCTTCTTTGTTATATAGGTACACCAATTTGATTTTTAATCCCTATTGAGACATAGAAAAATGGGTTTGAATCGACCTCCAAACTATCCATGATTCCGTAATGAGGAGTACCCAAATTGCATCCATGCTTAAATTTACATCATTAAAAATCAAATAACAGATGTTTTGTTTTATTTTTTCAAATATTTAGAACAATTTGACATTAGTTCATGCTCACTATTCATTTTTTCTAAAAATGGATGCTTGTAACATATTTTTTTTGTTCATTTTTAAAAGATGACTTTTTGTGAACGTCGCATGGCGGCGTTTTCATACATTTTTCTTTTCCAGTGAAAGCTTCATTTGTTGATATAAACTGTGAACGTTTAGTGTATATTTGAATATTTTCACTTATTTTGTAAGACGTGTATAATGTCAAATAACTAAAATACAAATTGTTTAGTCTCAAAGAAAACTTTTAAGAATTTCTCAGCTGTTTATGTTGAATAGGTGCAAATTGGGTACCGTGACGTTACAGACTTTGTATAGAGATTTTTTCAACCCGAAATAACTAAACAGATGTATTGATATTCATTTGCATAAGGTTGATTTCTATCTGACGCAGCTCAGGTCTTACTTCAGACTCTGAATGTACTTGCAAATATGAAAATGAGGTTTGATAAGATGAATGATGCTGTAGTAGGTAATAGATGATCTACTATTTTACTTGACAATGATAGGGAAATGTTTTTATTAGCCAATCCAATCAGATATTTGAAAAATAGGAAATACAAATTTCCTGAACAGGACATGATGAATGTTTTTTTATTATATTTTGTCAATTGCATGACAAAGTATTATAAAAGAATACTGTGAATTCGTTAATATTCACGAGTTCACGAGATATCAATTTTTGTGGATTTCAGTGAAGGCATAAACCATAAATTACAATTTTTTTATTGATCAAGGAAAATAATGAATCAACCAAAGAAACCCTTAAAAAAGCAACTACAAAAATTGATTTAAAGAAAAAAATGAATTCACAGTATTTATGTTTAAGCTTTTTTATTCTATGAGTCTTTGTAAAGAAAGCTGTTATCCTTGATATTTTGTTGAAGTGTTGGGAAATTCACTCTTAAAATTCAAGTGTAAAAATAGTTCTTCTTTTGAAATCACTTTTTTCTTCCTTTCACATATGCCCCTATGTAACCTCAGTTTACTTATCATTAAACAACTTTCTAGAATAAAAGAAAATATCATTTTTCAAGAACTACTATTTAAATTATTTACTTATAAAGCAAGACTTACTTGTGCATGTATAAAATTTGTCATATGACCAACAACAACAAAAAGTTGTTTTTCCATCATTCATGGTTTATTTTAAGATTAGGTATTAAAATGCTTTCTTGAATTTTCAGCTTCAAGAAGCTAATTTTGACTTCTTCCCACTAAACCAAGCTTTAAGTTTGCAGAACGAGGAGGATTCACAAGAAGTCAAACTGCAGGAACTGGTGAAAAATGTCGATTACATGGTCAATAAAATGAAAGAAGAGGTAAAAAAAATATTTTTTGACAGTTAAGCTTGCATTCAAAATCCTACTGTCAAGCTATAATTAGCTTTATTACAGGCCTCATCTCTGCAATACCTAAGGTAGCACAGAGAGGTGACCATGCTTCAGAACCTATCCATGTCCATGTTAAGCAATTTATAAACAATTTATACTCAGATTTTCAAATTTCAAAATAGTGTGTATGTGTATAATCATACTTGATCAAGAAAACCATTTATTCAAAATTACACAAGTTGCAGAAATCGTGCTTGTAGTATGAATATATCTGTTCTACATACAATTGGCCTCAGATCCCAATTATTTCTACCATTGTTGCTAAGGCTTTTTGTGAAGTCAAATTGAATTAAAAAATTGCACCAGTCCAAATGTGAAATAAAAATTCACCTGCTTATAGACCATTATTTTTCAAATAAAATATGCATGTCCCAGCAACATTCAATGCTGCTTTCTCTCTTGAGAGCTATATAATTACATTACATGTATGTTTCATTATGATCCGTTATTTTGATTGGCTAACAGCAATCTCGCATCCTTCTGAAATTAACATTCATTACACAATGAAATGTAACATTCATGATGACACAAGGTCCCACAATAAAGTGCACAGGTAAATTAAAGAAAAACTTAGAAATCCTAATTGCATGATCCTAGCTAAAAAAATGTAATTATAAATATTGATTGCTTCTTTTTGTAATTTCATAGAGTTGTAAAAGCGTTGACAGTGCGCACATTTTTAGAATGAAGCGCGAAAGCTTTTACACCCCAATGAATTTACAAAAAGAAGCATTCAATTCTTAAGTAAACATCCAAAGGGTAGAAGTTAAGTCTTGAATAAATGCTGATGGCTACTTTCTACCCTACTTTCATTTAGACAATCAATTTTTTCCACATGTTTTACTAATTTCAATATACATGTATATATAACTCTTAGTACTACTTAAAAAGTTAACTTTTCAAAGAAAACAGTAGCTAGAAAAATCAGGAAGAAAAATACCCCTTATAATACTTAGGAACTATATATGTAGACCATGTACAAAGGGAATTAATTGTGGTCTGAAGCCAATAATGGACAAACTCTAATTTAAAATATTGCCTAAACCTCATTTCAAATTATTGCCTAAATTTGTACCAATACAATGCTGTTCACATTGCAATCTTTACCCCTCAGTGTGACTGAGGAATTGTAATATGGTCACTCTTGGTCTTCTTGCGACCGGCAGTAAAATCCTTGCCAAAGTGGGGCGTCCGTTTGGCTGTGCGGGATGTACAAGTATGCAGCCATGTCTGGTCAGAATGGGGACGCTAAATCTATGCCTCGTGTAGAGAGTGTGCCATGCTCTCTACACATTAAGAACCCTTCCAACAACTCTTTCAGGGGTCTGTAGGTGGCCTATTGCAAGGCAAAATTTTGGTCCCTATCCAATATACCCTCATTTTCTAGTGGCAGTCCAAATTTCCTGACCTTTATCCCGGACAGCCTCTTTTACAGGACATACCTATTGTATTTATTGTCAATTTGGTCTCATCCTGGACATACATGAAATATTTGCCACTGGACATTAAGCAACCAACAATCAATCAACCCTCAGTGGTCATCACCACTTTGATTATTTTAATGGGAGAGTATAAAATATGAAGTAAATTGCCATGTTACAAATTTACATATAATTGTGAAATCAATGATTGTTAACTAAAAGTTAAAGTGAAAAATTGTAAATTCTGCAACCTACTGTGCAAATTTGTTAAATATGATTTTTATGGCCATTATTTTTGATTTTTTTATCCACAATGACTTTCACCTTGATTAAGAAATATAAAACCAGGAAATATTATGTGTTTAATCAAGTTTCTTGCCAACAGAAACATTTACAAAGTTTAGAGGATAATTTTGAAATTGATTTTTGTAAAACTAAAGCTTTCTTTTTCTTGTATTATAGGAAGCATCTAAAGAAAGAGACAGGGAAAGACAGAAACAGTTAGAATGGGAAAATCAGCATCGCAAGGCAAAATAAACAATAACCTAACTATCAATGCACTATTGATATGAGTATTTATTTCAATGAACTATTTGAAATGAGATTTTAAAACCTTGAAATGTTGAAATGTATTTTTTTTTTTTTTAAATCACATGAAATTTATCATGCTTTTAATATACCTTTTTAGTCAAATACAAAGAAATATACACAAAGCCTAGAAGTATCTAATTTCCTCTGTTTAAATTGGAGTATGTTACATTTGATTAGTGTTATTTTGTTTCATCTGAGCACCAATCCACCTTGTATAATCCTCATTTCAATTTCTTGTTCAACAATTTATTAACAAATATTTGTCATCAATCATTGCTTAAGAATTATTGATTTAATATGTTTATTGAAAATATCACTGATTTCCTGTTTTATATATTTTGAACTATTTTGAGTTGTAATAATTATATAAAAATCAGACAGGAACGTGGTAGAAAGTGAATATCAACTCATCAACATTAATAAAAAATCATGCTTTCCACATAATACAGAAAAAAAATTTTTTTATAAAAGATTATGTACACCGGAAACCATTTAAAAAATCCATTGTTTCTCAAAAATAACTGTGGCCAATATTTTGTAAAATTAGACTTTGACTCTCATTCATTGTATCTAAGATACAATTGTTGTCTTTTAATTTTGGGTCAGTCTATCTTAAATGCATTTAATATGTTCATTTAGTTTGATTGGAAGAATTTTTATCGTAATTTATTGTATTTACATTCATTCAATTTTTTTTTTCATTTTAAGGGTAAGGATCAGTAATTTCATGCAAAAATTAGGGTAGAGATAACTCCTTATATGGTATTCATTTCTCTTCCTTCAGAAAAAGTTCATAACATTGTAATAATCTTTTTAACTTATCACAGAAATATTGAGTTTGAATTGAGAAAATTGTGTTGCCCAAAAAAACTGGCACATTAAATTTCTAGGAAACACTACTTTATTATTACATTTTATATCAAATATTATTCGTTGTCTAGAAAAATGATTTTTAACCTTTGAACTGTAGTTTTAATTCTTGATTGTTACATTACATTTTGTACAAGTTGATATTTATGTAATTAATAGCTTTTATACTATAGCTTTTTGAAATACTTTTTGGAACTGCATTACTTTTTGTATTGGATTTACACTTTATAATACCAGTCAGTGTTAAGATGATGACAAGATATCAGTTTCATTTTTTTTATTAGATATTTCTGTGCTTACCAGTATTTATTTTTTTAACAAGACTGTTGAATATGTACATTTGCAGGACTCTTTTCCTTGAAGGTATTCTTTTGTATCTGGTTTAAGATTTTTCGAGTGGTATTGTTTAGAATTATTGAGACTGACCTTTTATTGTAATGTAGAATGTATGTGTTCAAATGAAATCTATTGGATATGATAGCTTACTTGATATGACAGTCTCATTTCTGTCAGATGTAAATGTGCTTATTTAAGTTATGATTTTATCTTTCAAGTGTTAATTGTGTGATATAACTTACTGTTTAGAAGTTTAAGTTTATTTTTACAGTTGAATCTGTGATATTTTATTGTGTTTGTATTTTTACATGTCTTTCCATCCACCTTGATGCATTATGTAGAATTTATTAGAACAAAATATTTGTCAGAGATTTTTTTCATCAATAAGTATTAGCTTATATCATTCTCTAGAGGAAATACTATTAAACAATTTTCAAGAAGAAATTACAACAATCTTATAAAAAAATCTACAATCACAGTGTTGTAAAGAATAGAACCTGTATCTTATTTAAAAGTGATTAGTAAAGACTGATTACAGTATTAATTTATCAATTAAGTATTGGTTCGGTAAACAATCTATAACACCCAATGACCAGGTACTCTTTTCACAAAAAATCTTTTGCCTAAAATGCTAACTGATATGTTCACCACTGATAATTAGTTTTCCTCATAACATTTTTGGGGAAATTGACCCAGCAGGACCTATTTTTAATCAAAAGTCTCTTATTCTATAACAGTCTTTTTCTTTGTAATGTTTTCTTTTTTATTTACTTGTTTCTGTATTTCCAAATGTCGTATTGATATGTCTTTTATATGGATTTGGAAGGCTTTGATAAACTACAGAATAATTTATTTTTCCATGTTGAAAACAGTTTATCTGGTTATGGGTTTTCAAGAAGAAAGTACCGCTTATCTTTTGAGACACTTTTTCAGACTCCCCACTTCTATTAGAATTCTTTACCTTACATATCATGTTCTAGGCCCAACCACTTATAAAAAGTTAATTCAAAGACCTCTAGATAAACAGCTCTTGATTATTGTTCCTTATTTACAATTTGAGAAAAATAATTTTTAGTGCAGATTTGTTGTATTAAAGATAAAATCAAAGTGTGCCAATTTTGTCAAAATGCTATTATATAAAACACAAATTTGGAATAAGGAATAAGTTACAGTACTTTTAGGAAGGTGTAAATGAATTTTTGATTTGCTATGAATATTTTTATGTATTTATAATAAGTGCTATGTAATTTTTTCTTCAAATAAATAAGAGCTTAGATTTAAAGCATTGAATCAGAAATACATTGAAAAGATGGATTTTGTTTTAAGTATTGGAAAAAAAACTAGCTTTTGATTAATTTTTCCAATAATTGTCAGTGAGGTTTATGTAGTTTTTTTACAGTGTGAATTTTAAACCTTCAGTTTATATTTTCATTATTGTCAGAATTATCAAAGATAAATATATATCTGCTATTTTACATTTGTTATTGAAAAAATCTTTTTGCTCAATCTTTGGGGTAAAAAAAGTTGTACTATGTTATTATAATAGATATGTCTGCGTTCAGTAATATTTTATTGTCCAAACACTTTATTTTACAATGAATGTGTATAATTGTTATTCTATATTTTCCAAATGATGTTTTATATTGCACCTTTATTATGTCAGTAACTTCTAGATCTAAATATCTTTTAGTTTTAGGAAAAAATGACTGTGAACTGAAAGTGAAATGAATTTAAAAAAGGAAGATGGATTTTTTTACGGATCTATTCCTGCAAAATAATTATGGTGCACTTTATAAAACCCTTAAATGACAATCAAATTTTGCATAGGCGGGCTGCCTATGTTTAAAAATTATCTTGTTTCAACTGCTGTATACATAGGAATTTTGAAATGCACAGAATATATTTTATTAATTTATTTTTTACTGGCTAACTATCTTGTTATTATTTACAGAAAATCTATTAAAGCATCTGAGAGTTAAAAGTGTTTGTTGTCAAAACTGCCTTCACTTTTTATTTCTGTTAATCTGTAAAACTAACTATTTTGCAAGCAGATTTATTTGGAAACATTTTACAATTAGATCTCGAACTTGGATTTTTTTCTTAAATGAATACACCTTTAAAATTAGAAAATTGCAAAATGAATTATGAAAAAATCTAAAGGAAAGGGCTAAACACATGAAAAAAGAATCTGCAAAAATAAGTTGGTTTTCATTATTCAATGTTATTGAAATTTGAAAAGGAATGCTTTCTTTACATTAGTATGAAACAACATTTAGTTGACCCAAGTGTCTGGATGTCTGCTTTCTTTACACCAGTTTGAAACAACATTGAGGTGCCCCAGTGTCTGGATGTCTGCTTTCTACACACTTGTATGAAACAACATTGAGTTGCTCAAGTGTTTGTTTGTCTGCCTTCTTTACATCCTATGAAACAACATTGAGTTGTCCATGTGTCTGTATGCCTTCTTTCTACACACTTGTATGAAACAACATTGAGTTGTCCATGTGTCTGGATGCCTTCTTTCTACACACCCGTATGAAACAACATTGAGTTGTCCATGTGTCTGGATGACTTCTTTCTACACACTTGTATGAAACAACATTGCGTTGTCCAAGTGTCTGGATGCCTTCTTTCTACACACTTGTATGAAACAACATTGAGTTGTCCAAGTGTCTGGATGTCTTCTTTTTATACACTTGTATGAAACAACAATAAGTCAAGTGTCTGGGTGTCTGCTTTCTACACAATAGTATGAAACAATATTTAGTCGCCCTAGTGTCTTGTGCATTCTTTCTACACACTTGTACGAAACAACATAGAGTAGCCCCAGTCTCTGGATGTCTACCTTCTCTACATCACTATGAAACAACATTTAATTACCATAGTGTCTGGATAGATATAAGAAGATGTGGTATGAGTGTCAATGAGACAACTCTCAATCCAAGTAACAATTTGTAAAAGTAAACCATTATAGGTCAAAGTACGGCCTTCAACACGGAGCCTTGGCTCACACCGAATAGCAAGCTATAATGCCTGCTTTCTACACAATAGTAAGAAAGAACATTGAGTAGCCCTGTGTCTGGATGTCTGCTTTCTACACAATAGTAAGAAACAACATTGAGTAGCCCTGTGTCTGGATGTCTGCTTTCTACACACTTGTAAGAAACAACATTGAGTAGCCCTGTGTCTGGATGTCTGCTTTCTACACAATAGTAAGAAACAACATTGAGTAGCCCCTGTGTCTGGATGTCTGCTTTCTACACACTTGTAAGAAACAACATTGAGTAGCCCCTGTGTCTGGATGTCTGCTTTCTACACAATAGTAAGAAACAACATTGAGTAGCCCTGTGTCTGGATGTCTGCTTTCTACACACTTGTAAGAAACAACATTGAGTAGCCCTGTGTCTGGATGTCTGCTTTCTACACACTTGTAAGAAACAACATTGAGTAGCCCCTGTGTCTGGATGTCTGCTTTCTACACAATAGTAAGAAACAACATTGAGTAGCCCCTGTGTCTGGATGTCTGCTTTCTACACACTTGTAAGAAACAACATTGAGTAGCCCCTGTGTCTGGATGTCTGCTTTCTACACAATAGTAAGAAACAACATTGAGTAGCCCCTGTGTCTGGATGTCTGCTTTCTACACACTTGTAAGAAACAACATTGAGTAGCCCCTGTGTCTGGATGTCTGCTTTCTACACAATAGTAAGAAACAACATTGAGTAGCCCTGTGTCTGGATGTCTGCTTTCTACACACTTGTAAGAAACAACATTGAGTAGCCCTGTGTCTGGATGTCTGCTTTCTACACACTTGTAAGAAACAACATTGAGTAGCCCCTGTGTCTGGATGTCTGCTTTCTACACAATAGTAAGAAACAACATTGAGTAGCCCCTGTGTCTGGATGTCTGCTTTCTACACACTTGTAAGAAACAACATTGAGTAGCCCCTGTGTCTGGATGTCTGCTTTCTACACAATAGTAAGAAACAACATTGAGTAGCCCCTGAGTCTGGATGTCTGCTTTCTACACAATAGTAAATAACAACATTGAGTAGCCCCTGTGTCTGGATGTCTGCTTTCTACACACTTGTAAGAAACAACATTGAGTAGCCCCTGTGTCTGGATGTCTGCTTTCTACACAATAGTAAGAAACAACATTGAGTAGCCCTGTGTCTGGATGTCTGCTTTCTACACACTTGTAAGAAACAACATTGAGTAGCCCTGTGTCTGGATGTCTGCTTTCTACACACTTGTAAGAAACAACATTGAGTAGCCCCTGTGTCTGGATGTCTGCTTTCTACACAATAGTAAGAAACAACATTGAGTAGCCCCTGTGTCTGGATGTCTGCTTTCTACGCAATAGTAAATAACAACATTGAGTAGCCCCTGTGTCTGGATGTCTGCTTTCTACACACTTGTAAGAAACAACATTGAGTAGCCCTGTGTCTGGATGTCTGCTTTCTACACAATAGTAAGAAACAACATTGAGTAGCCCCTGTGTCTGGATGTCTGCTTTCTACACACTTGTAAGAAACAACATTGAGTAGCCCCTGTGTCTGGATGTCTGCTTTCTACACACTTGTAAGAAACAACATTGAGTAGCCCCTGTGTCTGGATGTCTGCTTTCTACACACTTGTAAGAAACAACATTGAGTAGCCCCTGTGTCTGGATGTCTGCTTTCTACGCAATAGTAAATAACAACATTGAGTAGCCCTGTGTCTGGATGTCTGCTTTCTACACAATAGTAAGAAACAACATTGAGTAGCCCCTGTGTCTGGATGTCTGCTTTCTACACACTTGTAAGAAACAACATTGAGTAGCCCCTGTGTCTGGATGTCTGCTTTCTACACAATAGTAAGAAACAACATTGAGTAGCCCCTGTGTCTGGATGTTTTGCTTTCTACACAATAGTTAAAAGTAAAATAACAAAAATAACGAACTCCAAGGAGAATTCAAAACGGAAAGTCCCTTACCAAATGGTAAATTCCACGCTCAAATACAATGTACATCAAACGAATGGAAAACAGCTGTCATATTTCTGGCTGAGTGGTCTAAGTAGTTACTACTGTAATCAATAGCCAGTCAACACTGAGGTTGTGAGTTCGAACCCCGCTCGTGCGGGTGCACTCGACTCCAATCTTAATTGACTAGGAATGTCAGTTTTCCTATCGAAGGTCTGTGGTTTTCTCCGGGCACTACGGCTTCCTCTGCCAATAAAAACTGGCCGCCATGAAATAGCCCAAAAGCGGTGCTTAAAAGTGGCGTTAAAACACCAAAAAATCAAATCAATCATATTTCTGACTTGGTACATGCATTTTCTTATGTAGAAAATGGTGGATTAAACCTGGTTTTATAGCTAGCTAAACCTCTCACTAGAATACCATTATATTGACAACAATATGTGAGCAATACAAACAGACATAACAGATAAAAATGTTAAAAAAAAAAGAAACAACATTGAGTACCCCTAGTCTCTGGTTGCCTGCTTTCTATACAAAAGTAAGAATCAATATTAAGTAGCCCAGTCTCTGGATGCCTGCTTTCTACATAATAGTAAGAAACAGCTTTGGGTAGTCCTAGTGTGTCTGGGTGACTCCTTTTACTGTGACCTGACTATAGGTGTTGCTGTTTACCTTTACCTATTATTAAGAGTGCATTTCTTTCTAACACAAACGATGCAAACAGCTAAGCGCGCACATGTTTTGATCATTTGTTTCTAATATACGTTTGCAAAGTTTACATAAACTTTGACAAACTATGCACTCGCTAAAAATGCGTCTACAGTTTGTCGTTCATCGTTTGTTAGTACAAACGCTACATTTGTTTCTAACTTCAACCTGATTAAACGATGTATTTGTTTCTACGTTTGCAAAAAGTCTGTTTACCAACAACATGTGCATGCATTATTGGAAGTTCAAACAGGGTCAGTAAACACTGATTTAACGATGTATTTGTTTCTACTTTTGTAGCGTTTAGAAAACAACAACAAACGCCACACAACATTTACAAAATTTTGGTTAGAAAGAAATGCACTCTAAACCAGATTGTAAAATTGACAATACAATTGGGACCAAGTGGTATTGTTAGAGTTGAATCTACCCTGATGCTACCTGTACTGTTCTTTATTCACCTAACCCAACCTTACAGCATGCCTTCTTCATGAAGTTTTTTCTACACCTAGGGATATTCTATTATAAAATTGATAGGGAAGAAAATATTATTGGTTTTCATTGTTTTAAGTCCCCATTTTAGATGATTAATCTAATTTTGACCCAAAAATCTTAAACAGTCGAAGATTTTCTTAACTGCATGTTAATATGTGTACAAATTAAAACTGTTTTTACATAATAAATGAATCTTTAAATTTTTAACCCTCATACATAGTATTGTCCAGTTATCAGTGAAATTAGAAATAGCTATTCAGGTATTTTCAGTTTCAGTTTTCAGATGGATATGTTATGCATTTCTTCTTATATCCCTTCTTTTTTTTTTGAGTATTATACGCAGTGTTTGAAATCTATTGGAATCAATGTGCATAAAATATTTGGATTTATTTTATTTGAATTCACTTCTTAGATGCCCTCTATTTTTGCTTCTTTGAATGGGACTTGGTTTTTTTCCTTTCCAAAAATGGATTGTCATGAATGTATCAAGTAGGAAATGATTCATTCATGATGTTTGTGTGGCTTTCACATGATGATGTACATATAAAAGCCAAAATAATTTTGGAGTATATCTTGCAGTGTTTTTCTTTGAAATCTATTAGGATTTTTGTGTGCATAAAAATACTGTGTTTACTCAAGGGAATTCACTTTTTATAAGATGGGATTTAGTTAATCTAAAAGGTAAAAAAAATCAAAACTGGAATGCAAGTAGGAGTAATAAGTTCATCCAACAAATTGAAAATAATCATTATAAAATTCTGGATCTAATAGGAAGATGATTCACCTATTTAAATGGGATATATATCATTGAAATGCAATAAAATGTGAATATAGTGGATTTACTCAAATCTAGTGATAAAGTGAATAATAAAAGTAAAATATTCCAAAAAAATCATAATGTGAGGATAATAATATTGAATGTGATATTGGAAATAATCATTATAAAATTCTGGATCTAATATTGTTTAATTTTGACATATATCATGGGAAATGAAATAAAAACCAAATACTGTTGATATAGTAAAATCAAGTGATATAGTGAAAAATATAAATAAAATAGTAAAAAAAAATTGTATAGTGAGGAAAAATATTTTGAATGTATTGTAATATTGGTAAAAATCAAAAATTACAAAATTCTGGATCTAATAGAAAGACTCTGCACCTGTTTAATTATGATATATATCATGGAAATTAAACAGAACACTGTGGATATAGAAAATAATATCTAGTGATAAAGTGCAAAATGTAAGATCGTATTCAAAAAAGTTAATAAAATTAGGAAAATATTTCATAACTACTTCAAAGAGCGAAACTGGAATAGTGGATTGGATACTGTAAATTCAGATATTATTGCGATGATTTTATTATTGTGAAAAATGCGAACGGGTTATAATCTCACTAATTAAAACTTGCATTTTGAAATTTTCTATATGAGTTAAACAGGATTTTTCTTAATATCGCAAAAATTAAAATTGCATTTTAGTCTAAAATGACAAAATTGCAATAATAAATGCACGCAATAATTTCTGAATTAACAGTATCAAATAAAGTGTCCATAAATATATAAATGAAACCTGGGACTATTACTAGTATACCAGAGACATATATACATATACACATGTGTATATATGTCTCTGATTATATTAACGTTAGTATAATAATCCCAGATAAAACAGTTTATTCATAACTATTATTTTTGATATTTCATTATGCATAAACACTTTGTATAATGCTCATGTCAATAAGTATTGAACAAATGTCTAAATGAAGGAATGCACACACTGGTTCTGGTGTTTACTTATCCTGGAAAATTATGGAAATTATAAAATAATTAAGATTTTAACAAGAGTAAAAAAAAATATTTTGAGTTATCTCCCATTAGAAAAAGCCAAAGCGATAAAAGAGGTCTTTTCAACAATATAAAAGAAATCGACGCACTCATAGTATTTGGCTATGAAAACATTAAGAGGAAATGTAGTGCATTATATAACATGCAATTAAATAACCTGCAAGAAAAAAAACATATGTATTCTTGTTCTGGCTTGCTCACTCATAAAATTTGAAATGACAGTATAATAAAAAATCTCTCCTTTTCCTTCTAATTGTGTTTCTTAGGCAATGGTATGGCCAATTACTTTAAGGAATACATTCATTTCATTGAAAGAAAGACTGTAATTACAATCTTTATTTCCTTAACTTGCTCTACTATTCTCTAAAGAAAAACATGGGGAAAAGAAATTTTTAAAAAATCAGCAATTTTTAGCACAAAGATAAAACTTGAAGCATAAATGCCACATGGATAAGTTTACCTACCTCAGTTATACTACACCAGTAACAATTAAACAGGTAAAGTAATGGGACAGCATCAAGGTAGACTCTAATTGCATGAGTGATCACCTATTCATCAACTCTGTCAATTTAAATTTCCCAATTGTATTGTAAATTTTACAATCTGGTTGAACAATAGGTAAAGGTAAAAAGCAACACCTATAGTCAAGTCACAGTAACAAACTTGTTTGAAACAACATTGAGTTAACACAGTGTTTGGATACCTGCTTTCTACGCACTTTTATGAAACAACTTTGAGTTACCCCTTTATCTGTATGTCTGTCTTTTAGTGTCTAGAAGACCTAGATAGTTCAGATCTAGTATATACATGCCTTATGTTACATAGTGTATTGCATCTTGATCTTGATATGGTATGGTGATTGCCTGACAGACATTATTACATTATGTAAACGTCATGTAGCACTTATTCTACATAGCCCCACCCTAACAATATCTGCAATAATCTTGTGTTGTCTGTTGAAGATTCTATCTTATTTAACATGTCTGGTGATATTTAGTTCCAGTTCTTCTCATAGTAGTCAGAATGAAGTTAAATTTGAATGAGTCTGTTCTGGTTGGAAGTCTGGAAATGATATTTAGGCATGGAACTTGTGATTCTTCCTTTTTTTAATGCCTTGCTGGTAAATGGTCTTGATTGTTTAGTCCTTTATGCAAAAGTATTCGCCTATATGTGTTCTTCTTTCTTTTAGTGATGGTAAATAGAGCTGTTTCCGAATTGCTGTCATTGATCCAGGTCCATAGTCTTTGTTGTATACTGTAATGAAGCTGGCTCCTCTTTTTGAACATTCTGTCTAATTTGTCTTAAACAGAAGTTTGACTTGGTTACCAAGCAGCTCTTAAACATTCAAGGACTGGCTGTATAATTCCTTTATACACTTGACATTTTACTCCCTTGGGGCAAAATGATAAACTCCGCTTTAATAATCCCTATGTTCTGTATGATTTATTAGGATTTCTTAAATGTGTTTCCCCCAATGTAGATTACCTTTGACTTCTGGAGACATACAAGTTACGTGTCTTTAAGAATGTAATTAATCTCTACAATATTTTATTTCCTGCTATCAAAGTGCCGGTTGGAATCTCATACCCCAGTTGTTGCCGATTTCCTAGTCTGTACGTCTTCCTGTAATTTGGTACAATCATTGGGGATGCATTTGACCGTGGCCTCATTTTCATGGTTCAGCAACTGCTTAAAAAGCTGTATAGTTCATCAAGTAAATTTCTTTTCAGTAATAGGATAACTATAATTTCACACTTGTGAGTAATAAGATAACTATACTGTCCATTGATTATAATTCGTGGGATACCAATTTTCATCGATTTCATGGGTATAGGTAAAACTCGAATTTAAATGTTCAGCAAAGAAAAAAATTTCTAAAGCCTTGTATGTAGACTTTGGTAAAATATCCACGATAATACAATGTTTCCTCAATCCACAAAAATTGGTATCCAGGGAAAATAAATGAATCTACAGTATTTAGTTCAAGTCTGTCAGACAAGGTTATCTAACCATGACCTCGTGTGCATGATGCATTGGTCAATGTTTAGTTTTCAGTGTTAGGTCAAGACCTCGAATAATTTAATTGAGATGTCAACTATATTTGGTGTATTGTATGATTCCCAATGTGTACATGTCCTCCCGGCAGTGTTCATCTGACCGTGACCTCAGTTTTACGGTTCATTGGTCAACGTTTAGTTTTCATTGTTAGGTCTTTGTTCAGATGCTATAAGCAAACTGGTCAACTTTATTTGGTGGATGGAATGACTAAAATGTGAACATGTCCGTCTTGCAGTATTCGTTTGATCTTTTCGATCATTTTCATGGGCCATTGTCCAATGTTATGTTTATGTGACATTTGTTGTTAAGCCTTTCAACATAGATTCATTCATGATTAGTAAAGCAGGACAGACATTTCAGCATGTGAACTTTATTAAAATTTAAATGAACACTGAATTTGAGATAAATCACTGGTAAACAAAATCTATAAATGAACATGTTATAAGTTTACATGCCAAATATTCAACCTACAAGGAATAAATTAAGAGCTCCACGAAGAAATTCGTCTACAAAAGTTTAAAGAGGAAATGTGACATATGTGAGATGAACATCTACTCCTCCTATTCTTCTGATCCTCATACCAAGATGTGTTAATTGTCCATATATAGTCATCAGAAAACTAAATCTGACGACTGGAGCATGAAATCAGATGTCAAAAATGTCAGATTGATAGGTAATCCTTGCAAACAATTAACATACAGATTATTGACTACCAATCAACTAATGTTGCCAAAAACTAAACCCGTTGTGTGAAATTGAGGTCAAGGACATGGTCAGATTTATGCTGTCTACAACCCATCAACATACCAAAATTTGTTGCCCTATCATGTTAAGTTATGAGGAACAATTCTTATCCTGAAAACCTGAAAACTGGAGCATGAAATTGAGGTAAAGCTGATGACATTTGTCAGACAGGCAACTAATCAATGAATGAGATATTGTTGGTTATGCTGCTGAGTCAACTTTACCATGTTGTGTTTTGTATACTGATATTTGTCTTGTTTTTCTTTTCTTGCCATATCTGTCTGTTTGTTTTTGACTTATGAGTTTTATTATCACTTTGGTATCTTTTGCCAGTTTTTACAGTATTCAGAAACAAACCTGTATGTCCAGGTTAGTAAATATACAGTCCAAACAGGGTGCTCATTAAACACATACATGGAACTGAAATGAGTTATTTTAAAGTCTCATCTATGGGTTGGTGTTCAATATTTTTTGAACAATTAAAATGCAAGTGACATTCTAAAGTTAGCTCCATAGATAGCAACTTCATTTAGAAAGTGCCTTCCCTGTGTACCATTGTTTTGTAGGGAACATTCCAAAGACTTGAAGAACACCTTTCAGTCAAAATAAACACAAAGAAGTTCATTTTTAATGTTTTTATTGTATTTCTAATTTGTTAAACTTCATGTAATAAAAAAGTGATTTAAACATACCACAACTGACAATATATATTCACAAGTTAAGCATTTTGTGGAGCAGACATACTGCATACCTGTTATCCATCCCAAATGTTGAGGGAGACTTCAAAATGGAACCATATCTCCTTGAAGTATCACCCTCAAACACCTTTTTCTCTCCTTTAACATTCTCTAAAAGTTTTTATCATTCAAGCAAACTATTTTATAGGACCTTTTATTCTTGTCAGGTGAAATAACATAATGTATGGTTTTTGATAACATTGATATTAGAAATGTTCTTCTTTTAAACCATGAAATAAATTTAAAGTTGGCAAAGTAAATTCAAATTGATATCATTTGATTTATTTTCTCTTACATTGAAATTCTTCAGCTTTAATCACTTTATTTCTATTTTCTATTTATTAAACTAAGAAATACAATTCTTTTGTTCAAGAGAAGCTGTCATGAAAAATGCACTGTCTACGCTAAAGAAGAGATGGAATTGGAAAGTTCAATCTTAAACAGCTATTGGAAGGTTAACAGGTATGATACTATAATTTAGGCCAACATTCTTTCATTTTTAGATATGTAATACCCCAATCTTTAAAAACAATTTAATATATATCTATACTGAAAATATGCAAACTGTTTATAAACTATCAACTAAAAATTATTCTTGAAAGAATAAAAGGCATTTATATACACTTTTTGAAATTTAATTTAGTCATGATAAAAAAAAAAGAATTGAAATGCAATTTGAAAAACTTATATATGAAAGAGATTTCATGAAAGTCCTCCATCTTTTTAACCCATTAATAAAAAAATGTTGGCCTCACTTGTGTGAACACCTGAGAAAATACAACTTGAATCCTACTTTATCAAAAATCAAAATAAGACTAGAAACACATTAATTTCGGAATTTTTTTGAAAATGAGATTTGGACAAATTTAAAAACAAAAAATGTGCTAATTAAACATAAAATTTTGAATTCTAATACAACCAATGACAATTGAGTGAAGTTTAAGTAAAACAATGGTGAACAGAATGAAATCATGACAGATGATCATGAACTTATGTGCTATATTCAGATCAAAATTCAATTCGTAAATGATATGAAAAATAAAATAAGTCCTTTTCAAAATTGGACAAACTTTGTACTATTGCACTCAAGTCCTATTATTATATTAATGATTGCAAGAAATATAAATATTATTAACTGGTCAACCGAGTTTGAAATTTAAGCATATGTATAGTTCATGAAAATTTCATTTTAGATAATAATCAACACATCTTTTTTTTTCAAACAACAGTCAAATTAGATATAAAGTAATGAACATGTCAGGAACCAAGTGCTTAACATATTTTTATATTTATGATGTAACTAATTCAAAGAAGATGGTAATCTTTGATTTCTAATATATTTACATATTCATTACTTGTAGCTATTTTGACCATTATCTTCCTTTTTTTTATATTATAAACTTTTAATTCTTTTTTTTTTTAAACTTTTTTCGGGGTACTTCATTGACTGTATCAGACTACTAACACACATCCACACACATACTAACACACTTCCGCACACATACAAACACAAAATTAGGGAAAATTTCACGAACTATACATTAAAATAAAATTCTTTTCTTGAAACCAATAATAAATGATAGGACTAGATACTTCATAAACATAAAAAATTCCACTCAAAACAAAATTCTGAAATCTGTTAGGAGGCTGACTATATAAAAATCTAATTGACACAAAGGTTTAAAAATCAGATGTGTTGTGCTAAACAAGCTAGAACCTGTTTAACAAAACAATCCAAATCCAAACCCCTTTCTGTACATGCTAACTATTTACATTTATAATAAAAACTATATCCAAGGCAAAAAAATAAAAAAATAAAAGTTAACAATATTATAAAAACATCTTATTTCTTACACATAATTTTTTTACCAGCTGTAACTGCCAAATCTTCGGTTTAAAAATTACTTAACAGTTTACTGTAAATACATTTCAATCGTTGTCTCATTAAATGCACTGATTAATTTATAAGCTCTTCCATTTGTGGAATGGGTTTTGTTCAAAGTTACTTTCCTGAGTGGTCAGGGTTTCACCTCATATTGGAAATATGAATCAGTAAATGTACTGTTAATGAATTTACAAGTAAAACACAATCTCTCTCAAACTATGAAATATACTGTTTTCTTAAATCTAATCGAGATTCTGATTAAAACCAATCATTTAATACATTTTTCATACTGAGTATTAAATGCTATTAAATTGCTAACGATATCAGTGCTCTTTCACTTTTCAAATGGATTATGCTTCGGAACAACACGTAAAAGTCTGGTTTAGATTCAATCCTCACACTATCTAGAATCTACAGAATACATACAACATTTCTATTGCATACAAAAACTATTCCACTCGCATGGAATGTATAGAATCATTATCATAACATGTACATATATGTGTGTGTGTGTGTGAATATTACATTGCTGAGCATCAATTACAGTAGTCTTAATAAATACTTCCCATAATAAAATATAAATACAACAAATTCAAAATGCAGATAACAGATATTTGCATGGAGATTTTTTTATTTTTCTAAGATTTCATATTTACTTGTATATCTAATTTGCTTACAAATTCTAGATTGCATGAATGTCTAAGTTAAACAAAAATCTTTATGTATAAATTAGTTGCTCATCAACACCAAAGACAAAATATATATTTGTTTAACTGATTAACTACTGCACCCATTAGATACCAAAATATGTTGCAACAAAAACAGCATTTAACTTTCTTTTAACAATTCATAAAAATTACTTCATATTTCTTCTTATAAAGTTAACAGTAGTCTGATGTTTACAAATATTTCCAACGAATTCAAAAAGGTTCTGATTAAATATATAGAAAAATAAAATGGAAAGGAAAACAATTTTACAATGGTGAGAAAATAACTGTTTCTCCCCTTCCAATCATTGAAAGCTTCTGCTATAGCTAGCTTTATTCAGTATTTAATTTGTTTTTTTTTTTTAACTTTTTATATTAGCTTGCTCATATTGTAAAAGCCTTTACATTTTCTTTTTTTTAAATCTACAATTACTGTTTTTATAAATGAATCCTTTAAAATATCTTCCATAGAGATGACTCAAATTTAGTTTTCAAACCTCCCCCCAATTTGTACCTAAATTTATTTATAATTATTTTCCCACAGAGGACACATTCCTTGGGCCAATATCTACCATCATTTCAAAGTGAACAGCTCCATCTAATTCCAACTTGTCATATTTAATATTTCTGGCATAAGCTCTACATTCAATCATAAGTAGAGTCTGGACTTTAGGGGCCTTAAATTTGACCATGACTATTGGAGAAAGATATCCTTCCTGGTTCTTGTATGGAAAATACTTGTATGCAAGTCCACCAGATGGCAGATACATGACATCTCCAAGGTTATCAACATCAGCTGGATTCTGTAAAAATAAACATAAGGTCAGGTAAGAAATATAAACTCAATAAAATGCTTCGCTGAGAGCAGCCTTATATGACCGCAGAGGTCGAACCCTGAACAGTTTGGGCAAATTTGGACACAATATTCAAGCTTGATACTGTCTGAATTTGGATTGTGATCAAATTTTTGACATAATATAGGTTTCTGACACAAAATATATGTGGTCAAAGATCTTACAAATATATTGCGCAATACTGTCGATTGAAGATTTCTTCTTGAAACTTTTCAAAAATTCACGAAATTTGAAAAATTTTGAAAAAAAATATGAATCCCTTAAAAGAAATTGGAAAAAAAATCCCCTCCCCCACCCCAATTTTTTGAAACCCCCCTTGGAGCAATAACCCCAAAACTCAATCCCAACCTTTCCTTTTGTAGTATAGAACATTGTAGTACAATTTCAGAGAGATCCATACACTTTAACACAAGTTATTGTCTGAAAACTAGAAAAATGCTTGTTTTTGGCCCCTAATTCCTACATGTTTGGGGCAATTAACCCCAAACTCAATCACAGCCTTCCCTTTGTTATATGGAACCTTGTGGTACAATGTTAGAGAGATCCATACACTTACACACAAGTTATTGTCTGGAAACTAGAAAAATGCTTGTTTTTGGCCCCTTTTTGGCCCTTAATTCCTAAACTGTTGGCCCCATAACCCCTAAAATGAATCCCAACCTTCTACTTGTGGTATTAAACATTGTGGTACAATTTCAGAGCAATCAAAATACTTATACACAAGTTATTATCCTGAAACTAGAAAAATGCTTGTTTTGGGCCCCTAATTCCTAAACGGTTGGGACCATCATCCCCAAAATCAATCCCAACCTTCCTTTTGTGGTATTAAACCTTCTTAAAAAATTTCATAGAGATCCATTTACTTAAACTAAAGTTATTGTCCGGAAACCAATGTGTCTTCGGACGACGACGCAGACGACAGCATACCATTATACGATCCTAAAAAAATTTTTGCGGTTGTATAAAAAGAATTAAAAAAGACTTCTTTCTATTTTACAGATATAGCTTAACATCACTGAAAAGGTTAATGACAAATGAAGTCTACCCAATTAACACCTGTGCCTCCAAGAAGTTTGAAAATTTTGAAAGTTTGAAACATAATCAGGTACTGCACTAACCTCCAAAATGTATTCCCCCGGAAAATTACCAGCATCCAATTTTTGTCACCAGATTTAAAATATTTGCCCAAAGTTCCATGTATCCCCCTCTTTTCAGACAAGTATCAAATTTATTGTGCTTCATATGAAGTTAATTCATACATACAAGACATTAAATATTGTACCAAAGGTTTCCTTGTTCATTGTTAAACTGGTGGAAAAGACTTTTCAACTTAAGTAGCAAGCACACTAGCACATGGATGATCTTCAACTTTAAAACCAAAAGTGATACCTAATAACCTTAAAGTAATTGCAAAACATTCATTTTGCTTAAAAAAACAAAAACTAGTACCACCTTTCAAATTATCGTTATAACTTCCAATTTTCCCTAGAGGGTCAAAATGACAATTGAACTGATGATAAACAGGTACATTTTTGGGTCAATCAGTTGGTAATTTGTTTACACAACAATAAGGGGCTATGACATTTGAATTGTCGAATGATCAAAAGAAGTCATAAATAAATGAACCTGTATATTTATCTATAATTCTTACAATACTATACTGAATCATGTACAATGGCAACTTCATTTAATAAAACAGAGAGGAAACTCCATTGTTATACCCTCACTATGAATATCTTATTTGACCCACCTGTCCTGAACATTTCACTGTGACCATATAATCTTTGTACAAGCCTTTAATTGCTGCTGGAAGGGCAGCAGTATCATTCAGTGTATCCGAATAGGCCTCAGGCTGCCATCCATAAACCTTCAGAAAAAAAGAACAATATTTCAAACTAATGTCTGCAAATCGTTTTCACAGGTTAGGCAAAACAATGAAACAAACTCCAGAATAGAGGGATTTGACAAATTAAATGTCTCACATATTGAAATAAAATGCTCCGCAGGGCGCAGCTTGATACGACCACAGAAGTCGAACCCTGAACAGTTGGGGCAAGTATGGACACAACATTCAAGCTTGATACAGCTCTGAATTTGGATTGTGATTAAATATTTGACACAGCATAGGTTTCTGACACAGAATGAATGTGGTCTAAGAACTTAAAAATTTTAAATTGGACATTCACCTATTATGGTCCAATATCCAAAATCTAAATACATGGTTAGATTCAGCATATCAAAGAACCCCATATATTCAATTTTTGATGAAATCAAACAAAGTTTAATTTTGGACCCTTTTGACCTCAATGTGGACAAAATTGATAATGGGGCCCAAAAATCAAAAATCTAAATACATGGTTAGATTCAGCATATCAAAGAACCCCATATATTCAATTTTTGTTGAAATCAAACAAAGTTTAATTTGGGACCCCAATTTGGACCAACTTGAAAACTGGGCCCATAATCAATAAAATGCTTCGCTGGGCGCAGCTTGATACGACCGCAGAGGTCGAACCCTGAACAGTTGGGGCAAGTATGGACACAACATTCAAGCTTGATACAGCTCTGAATTTGGATTGTGATTAAATATTTGACACAGCATAGGTTTCTGACACAGAAAGAATGTGGTCTAAGAACTTCAATTTTTTTAATTTACCTATAATGGTCCAATGTCCAAAATCAAAATACATGGTTAGATTCAGCATATCAAAGAACCCCATATATTCAATTTTTGTTGAAATCAAACAAAGTTTAATTTTGGACCCCAACTTGGACAAACTTGAAAACTGGTCCCATAATCAAAAATTTAAACACATGTTTAGATTCAGCATATCAAAGTACCCCAGGAATTCAATTTTTGTTAAAATCAAACTAAGTTTAATTTTGGACCCTTTGGACCTTAATGTAGACCAATTTAAAAAACGGGACCCAAAATTAAAAATCTAAAAACACAGTTAGATTTGGCATATCAAAGAACCCCAATAATTCAATTTTTGATGAAATCAAACAAAGTTTAATTTTGGACCCTTTTGACCTCAATATGAACCAATTTGATAGCGGGCCCACAAATAAAAAATCGAAATACAGGGTAAGATTCAGCATATCAAAGAACCCCATATATTCAATTTTTGTTGAAATCAAACAAAGTTTAATTTTGGACCCCAATTTGGACCAACTTGAAAACTGGGCCAAAAATCTAAAATCTAAATACATGTTTAGATTCAGAATATCAAAGAACCCCATATATTCAATTTTTGTTGAAATCAAACAAAGTTTAATTTTGGACCCCAATTTGGACCAACTTTAAAACTGGGCCAAAAATCTAAATACATGTTTGGATTCAGCATATCAAAGAACCCCAAAAATTCAATTTTTGTTAAAATCAAACTAAGTTTAATTTTGGACCCTTTGGACCTTAATGTAGACCAATTTAAAAAACGGGACCCAAAATTAAAAATCTAAATACACGGTTAGATTTGGCATATCAAAGAACCCCAATAATTCAATTTTTGATGAAATCAAACAAAGTTTAATTTTGGACCCTTTTGACCTCAATATGAACCAATTTGATAGCGGGGCCCACAAATAAAAAATTCTAAATACATGGTTAGATTCAGCATATCAAAGAACCTCATATATTCAATTTTTGTTGAAATCAAACAAATTTTAATTTTGGACCCCAATTTGGACAAACTTGAAAACTGGGCCAAAAATCAAAAATCTAAATACATGTTTAGATTCAGCATATCAAAGAACCCCATATATTCAATTTTTGTTAAAATCAAACAAAGTTTAATTTTGGACCCTTTGGACCTTAATGTAGACCAATTTGAAAACTGGACCCATAATTAAAAATCTAAATACACGGTTAGATTCGGCATAACAAATAAATAAATGTGGTCAAAGATTTTACAAATCTAATGCGCCATACTGTGCAATTAAAGATTACTTCTTGAAATTTTTCAATATTTGAAATTTGAAAAAAAAAACAATATTTGAAGAATAATTCTTTTTAATTTCTGAAATCTGAAATGAGAAAAAATTGACCCCCACAATTTCTTTTTACCCCCCCCCCCCCCCCCCCCCTTTCCCCTAAAAAATTCTTTCCCTCAAGATATGGTCATAATCTCAATTCAAATTTCCAATGGAATTTGCAGCCATAATTACCCATTTAAATTTACCATAGTGCTAACTTAATCTATTTTATAATAGAATTTAAAATATAGTGTCAAATCTTTCATATGGATTTTTTTGTAAAAAAAAAAGATGCAACATTTGCAGATATTTTTACTGGTCTTCCTTTATAAATCTGCATTTCTTTAAACATAATTTAAAAGCAGTGTAAGGGAAGTAACCAAAACGTTGTATTTGGATTACCTCCCTTACACTGTTTTAAATTATCTTAATTGTTCATTAACCATTACTTTATACATAATTTAATAGCAGTGTAAGGGAGATAATTTCAATGATGTATTTGATTTATCTCCCTTACACTGCTTTAAATTATGTTTTGTACTAAAGTATTTGTCCATTAACCAGGACAACCTTGTTTTTCCCCCTTTTTTGCCCCTAATTCTTAAACGGTTTGAGCCATAACCCCCCAAACCAAATCCTAACCATCCCTTTGTGGTATGGAAACTTGTAGTATAATTTCAGAGAGATCCATACACTGTTCCACAGTTATTGTCTGGAAACAAAAAAATGCTTATTTTTGGCCCCTTTTTGGCCCCTAATTCCTTAACTGTTGGTACCATAACCCCCAAAATCAATCCCCACCTTCCTTTTGTGGAATTGAACCTTATGGTAAAATTTCACAGAGATCCATTCACTTAAACTAAAGTTAGAGTGCGAAAACTAATGCGTATTCGGACGACGACGACGACGACGCCGGACGACGACGACGACGACACCAACGTCATACCAATATACGACCACAAAAATTTTTTTGCGGTCGTATAAAAATCTCAGAGAGATCCATACACTTGAACACAAGTTATTGTCTCGAAACTAGAAAAATGCTTATTTTTGGCCCCTTTTTGGCCCCTTAGTCCTAAACGTTTTGGGCAATTACCCCCAAACTCAATTCCAGCTTTCCCTTTGTGATATGGAACCTTGTAGTACAATTTCAGAAAGATCCATACACTTACACACAAGTTATTATCATGAAACTAGAAAAATGCTTGTTTTTTGCCCCTTTTTTGGCCCTTAATTCCTAATATTTTGAGGCAATTACCCCCAAAATCAATCCCAGCATTCCCTGTGTGATATGGAACCTTGTGGTATAATGTCAGAGAGATCCATACACTAACACACAAGTTATGTCTGGAAGTTACAAAATTGCTTATTTTTGGCCCCTTTTTGGACCCTTATTCCTTAACTGTTGGTACCATAACCCCCAAAATCAATCCCAACCTTCCTTTTGTGGTATTGAACCTTATGGTAAAATTTCATAGAGATCCATTCACTTAAACTAAAGTTAGAGTGCGAAAACCAATGTGTCTTCGGACGACGACGACGCCAACGTCATACCAATATACGACCGTTGCGGTCGTATAAAAAATAGCTATACAACATGTTGTATCCTTTTTTTAATATATGATAGTCTTAAAAGCAGCTATATACATTTCTAAACAAGCATTCTGAGAGTATTGCATGGCAATACATAGTCACCTACCAGGTAAAAATTCATTTTACTGGAACAAAATGTTAACTTTTTCTATAACTTGTCATGGTGTAAACAAAAAGTAAATATCATGTCAATATCTTCAAGCATGACTAAAAACAGTTTGGAAAACTGATTATATGAGTGAAAATAAAATGCTTCGCTGGGGCGCAGCTTGATACGACCGCAGAGGTCGAACCCTGAACAGTTGGGGCAAGTATGGACACAACATTCAAGCTTGATACAGCTCTGAATTTGGATTGTTATTAAATATTTGACACAGCATAGGTTTCTGACACAGAAAGAATGTGGTCTAAGAACTTGAATTTTTTTAATTTACCTATTATGGTCCAATGTCCAAAATCAAAATACACGGTTAGATTCAGCATATCAAAGAACCCCATATATTCAATTTTTGTTAAAATCAAACAAAGTTTAATTTTGGACCCCAACTTGGACAAACTTGAAAACTGGGCCCATAATCAAAAATCTAAACACATGTTTAGATTCAGCATATCAAAGAACCCCAAGAATTCAATTTTTGCTAAAATCAAACTAAGTTTAATTTTGGACCCTTTGGACCTTAATGTAGACCAATTTAAAAAACGGGACTTAAAATTAAAAATCTAAATACACGGTTAGATTTGGAATATCAAAGAACCCCAATAATTCAATTTTTGATGAAATCAAACAAAGTTTAATTTTGGACCCTTTTGACCTCAATATGAACAAATTTGATAGGGGGGCCCACAAATAAAAATTCTTAATGCATGGTTAGATTCAGCATATCAAAGAACCCCATATATTCAATTTTTGTTGAAATCAAAAAAAGTTAAATTTTGGACCCCAACTTGGACCAACTTGAAAACTGGGCCCATAATCAAAAATCTAAACACATGTTTAGATTCAGCATATCAAAGAACCCCAAGAATTCAATTTTTGTTAAAATCAAACTAAGTTTAATTTTGGACCCTTTGGACCTCAATGAAGACCAATTTAAAAAACGGGACCCAAATTAAAAATCTAAAAACACGGTTAGATTTGGCATATCAAAGAACCCCAATAATTCAATTTTTGATGAAATCAAACAAAGTTTAATTTTGGACCCTTTTGACCTCAATATGAACCAATTTGATAGCGGGGCCTACAAATAAAAAATCTAAATACATGGTTAGATTCAGCATATCAAAGAACCTCATATATTCAATTTTTGTTGAAATCAAACAAAGTTTAATTTTGGACCCCAATTTGGACCAACTTGAAAACTGGGCCCATAATCAAAAATCTAAATACATGTTTAGATTCAGCATATCAAAGAACCCCATATATTCAATTTTTGTTGAAATCAAACAAAGTTTAAATACTGGACCCTATCTTGGACCAACTTGAAAACTGGGCCCATAATCAAAAATCTAAACACATGTTTAGATTCAGCAAATCAAAGAACCCCAAGAATTCAATTTTTGTTAAAATCAAACTAAGTTTAATTTTGGACCCTTTGGACCTCAATGTAGACCAATTTAAAAAACAGGACCCAAAATTAAAAACCTAAATACACGGTTAGATTTGGAATATCAAAGAACCCCAATAATTCAATTTTAGATGAAATCAAACAAAGTTTAATTTTGGACCCTTTTGACCTCAATATGAACCAATTAGATAACGGGGTCCACAAATAAAAAATCTAAATACATGGTTAGATTCAGCATATCAAAGAACCCCATATATTCAATTTTTGTTGAAATCAAACAAAGTTTAATTTTGGACCCCAATTTGGACCAACTTGAAAACTGGGCCAAAAATCAAAAATCTAAATACATGTTTAGATTCAGCATATCAAAGAACCTCATATATTCAATTTTTGCTAAAATCAAACAAAGTTTAATTTTGGACCCTTTGGACATTAATGTAGACCAATTTGAAAACTGGACCCAAAATTAAAAATCTAAATACACTGTTAGATTCGGCATAACAAATAAATAAATGTGATCAAAGATTTTACAAATCTAATGCGCCATACTGTGCAATTAAAGATTACTTCTTGAAATTTTTCAATATTTGAAATTTGAAAAAAAAATAATATTTGAAGAATAATTCTTTTTAATTTCTGAAATCTGAAATGAGAAAAAATTGGCCCCCCACAATTTCTTTTTATTCCCCCCCCCCCCCCTTTTTCCCCCAAAAAAATTCTTTCCCTCAAGATATGGTCATAATCTCAATTCAAATTTCCAATGGAGTTGGCAACCATAATTACCCATTTAAATTTACCATAGTGCTAACTTAATCTATTTTATAATAGAATTAATAAAAATATAGTGTCAAATCTTTCATATGGATTTTTTTGTAAAAAAAAAAGATGAAAACATTTGCAGATATTTTTACTGGTCTTCCTTTATAAATATGCATTTCTTTAAACATAATTTAAAAGCAGTGTAAGGGAAGTAACCAAAACGTTGTATTTGGATTACCTCCCTTACACTGTTTTAGATTATCTTTATTGTTCATTAACCATTACTTTATACATAATTTAAAAGCAGTGTAAGGGAGATAATTTCAATGATGTATTTGATTTATCTCCCTTACACTGCTTTAAATTATGTTTTGTACTAAAGTATTTGTCCATTAACCAGGACAACCTTGTTTTTCCTCCTTTTTTGCCCCTAATTCCTAAACGGTTTGAGCCATAACCCCCCAAAGCAAATCCTAACCATCCCTTTGTGGTATGGAAACTTGTAGTATAATTTCAGAGAGATCCATACACCGTTCCACAGTTATTGTCTGGAAACTAGAAAATGCTCATTTTTGGCCCCTTTTTGGCCCCTAATTCCTTAACTGTTGGTACCATAACCCCCAAAATCAATCCCAACCTTCCTTTTGTGGTATTTAACCTTATGGTCAAATTTCAAAAAGATCCATTCACTTAAACTAAAGTTAGAGTGCGAAAACCAATATGTATTCGGACGACGACGCTGGACGACGACGACGACGACGGACGACGACGACGACGACGACGCCAACGTCATACCAATATACGACCACAAAATTTTTTTGCGGTCGTATAAAAACATTAGATATGATTAATAGTTCTCTAAAATTAGATATGATGTAATTCAGTGTATATCTTTTTTTCAAATTATAATCAAATATAATTAATAGTTCCAAATATTCTTTCTTTCATTTGTCACAAACTAATATAGATTTGTAACTTATCTATAAAATGTCAACAACTTTTATCTACACAATGTAATGTATTGAAATATATACCTTAATAAAAATAGATTATTATCTAATTAAAGGATTTCTCTTCATAATTTTTTTTTTATTTATATATATATATATATATAGCATTCAGAAAATTAGTTTAAACAAACCGGCCAAAAAATTCTTCAAATAATTTAACAAAGAATGCTTTTAAAAAATGAGTTATCTCCCTTTGTACAGAAATATGGTTTAACATAGTACTCTAACATTAGATATGGTCCAGAGTTATGGTCCATAACTCTTGACTAAATCATCAGACCAGAACAAGATTCGAACTCGATCTATAACTTGTCATGATAAAACTATATAACAAATATCAAATCAATATCTTCAAGAACTAAGAAAAAAAGTGTGGAAAGCTGATTTGCCGGACTGACGGATGGACAGACGGACAGATGGACAGACGGAAAACCTAAAGTCCCCTTCGACTTCGTCGGTAGGGGACTAATAAATGAAGAATGTACCCATGGGACACAGATGTAATGCAAAAAGGGACATTACTCAAGAATGATAAAAGAGACACAACCCAAATTTGAACTTGATTCTGTGTTTTGTGGTAATAAGCATTGTGTATAAGTTTCCTAACTTTTGGTTGAGGGAAACTTAAGTTAGAGAATGGAAACTAATTATGGGATGTACATACGGACAAGGGTAACATTAAATGTCACCTCCGCACGACGAATAATAACTAGATGCAGAAAAAACTTAGCAAAACAAGAATGTATGTCCATGAAACACTATGTCCTGCTCCCACTATTACACAGGCTGAAACCCAGTTGAAATTAAACAAAAGAAATGAAACTCTTTGTTAGAGAAGGTAAAAAAGGCCAAGTTGGTAAATTTGAATTGTTTACATCTGTTTCTATGGGCTTTAAAAGTTTAATGAATGTGCCTTATTTAGGATTTTATGCGTCTTACGTATGTGTTTTTACTTAAATTATGGTATGGAGCTTCGAGTTATTTTTAAATTTTAAATTATGGACAAATTTTCACAAAACAGTCGATTGTGGTAGGTGCAAATACATGTGGATCTTTTTTGTGCATAAGTATAAATTCCACCCAAAAAAATTCCAAAGAAAGATAATAGATTGATCTTTATAAAGCATTAATTTGCATCTCTGCCCCCGGCAACAGTTTTTTGGGAAAAAATCCCAAAAATACAATAATTTCATCAAAAAGAGAAAGTCGAGTGCACCTTTTTCTGTTAGGTGTGTTTGAGTTGACTATTCTGTCATGAAAACGTATAAAAGAAAAATATTTAATACATCATCTCGCTTCAGATTCTTTTATTTTTATATATTTAGGCTCTAGGTTAATATGATAATATTAAAAATTTACAGTACTAGAAAATGAAATATATGGGTCAAGTGAAATACCTTTCTAATGAGTCAAGACAACAGAGTAGGTGTGTTCGAATAACAATTTTTTACTAAAAGTACTTGACAGACTTTTCAAGTGGATCTTAAAAATACATAACTTCAAAAAAAAATCTTTATTTTTTGTGTGTGTTATCTAGGGTAATTAGTCTTCAACCTCTGAAAATTTTTAGTCTGCCCTTCCAAGAAATATTTAATTAGAATTTTTTTAAATATTTTTGAACTTTCAAAAAATTCCCCCTGACAACCGATCAGACAACAGTTTTAAGTTGACCAAATGCATAAAATTACATTAAATAATGCTCAATAGCTAGTAGATACATTTGTCTTTTAAAATACAACGGGCATATAAGGATCGTAATGATGCGTGGATAAATTTTTCAAGAGCTAAATTGACAGCGCGTCATCACTACAATGGCTTCCATTTTTACGATTATAAAAATTAGGTAGCGTAATGGGGAGATAATTTTGACGAAGTAGAATCCGGACTGTACATTTCAATGCTGAATGAACTGTGAAAGATAGGTCAAAACCCTTATTTGGCATATATAATAAACAACTCACTTCATGTTGAACACATGTACAACAAAAGGTTTCAAATTGATTTTACCATAAACTACCTTAAATCAAAACTTTAATTAGAACCTGATATAGGATGTGTGGACTGAGTCTAATAAAGGTCATATATCACAGCAAGCTTCACATATTTTTAACATTTTTTTTTAATAGAAAATAAGTTTAGAAACGTTCTTTCAAATCTTTGTTTTGGCTAAAAAAAACTTTTTGATAAAGGTTATCATTATAGTTTTTGTAGTATGAATTGTATCTGGAAAATTTTCAAATTAACATCAAATCACTGTTTATGCCTTTTCGTATATATTCTTTACAGCTGCCGATAGTGTGTAGGAGACAGCATGATTGCATAACCCTGCCACATGTTCATGTGCCAATTCCTAGTGAGGAAACTCTTTGACTGATTGCCTTAGTTAATTTGAGGAATTGCGTATAGACAGCAGATATTTGCTAACTCAGATATATCAGTGTTCTCCTCAGGCCCTTAAAGGACCGCGATGTATAATTTTCTACCGTGGTGGTATCGTTCTCGCCGCGATGTATAATTTTTCTCCGTGGTGCTAAAATTTTCGGTAAAAAAATCGTAAATCGGTAGTTTTAAACGCCTTATTAAACCTTTTCCGTGGGGTATAAAATTTCAGATGAAAATTGACCAGTTCAAACCAGTTCAATCCAGTTCTTACAACTAGATTGTTTACACCACGTGATCGATTTACCTTTTGAGGTTAACCTTGATGATTGGATTTAATCGATGTACATGATTCTTTTGTGTTTTAATTAATTAAGAGATCATAATTAATGATCAGATTTGTGAGGGACAAACAGACATTTGTTAATTAACTCTATTACTCCAGCCGTTGGTCATAAATAATTTGCGTATTTTAAACGTGTTGGAGTTACTTCCCCTGATTTAGCTTATTACAAATAAGTGCTCCTAAAATATTATCTATCATTGAAAATAGAAATAAAGTACAAATTGAATGCAAAATTATATAAGAATGTTACCTTAAGGATAATAACTTTCTTTGAACATACCAAAAAAATATATTGCAAATTATTTTTGATAATCATACTTTTATTAATGCACAGACATATTATAATAAATAAGTAGTATTTTCCAATTTGAATTTGATTTGTGTTAAAGTAGTCCCAGTCTTCAGATCCCGATTGGAACTCAGCTAGATATGATACATGGGTGTATAGATATATGATATATATTTACTCTTCATGTCTGTCTACCAAGTAATACAATAATGATTCTAATAATAATTGTATTATTGTGTAAAAGAATCATGTCTAAAGCTAAGGAAAATAGTTTTTAATTTACTAAAGGTTCTGCATTAAAATTTTATCTTGTTTAATTTACTACAGGTTCTGCATTAATATTTAATCTTGTTTAAATTTAATTGTTATGGTGTAATCTAACAAAAATGGAGAATGTGTAGTGTAACTACAAGTATCAGGACAAATTGGCTTGATCAAAATATAAAAAGTGACTTTAGTTTAAAGACTAATAGTGCTTTCTTTTAATTATTCTTAAAAGAAATTACCAGTAATTTTTTGACCCAAAGTCTACATAACACAGTAAACAAAACAAAGACAAAAAGGTAATGACACAAAAACTAACAAGAAAAAAAAAGCGATGCAACGCGACACAACATATTGTACAAATCATTTTGACACGCGTTACCCTGGTGCTATCCAAAAATCCTGGGGAGAACACTGTATATTCTTATGACTTAAAAACAATTAAAACATTATTTAATTATATATTTATAAAATAATTGATATATATACAAATTTCAATCTATTTTAATCTTACCCTGTTCAACTTGATAAGCATACATGGTTTTCCTTGATCATATCCATACTTAGGGTCAGCAGAGGGGTTACAATCTCCTAAATCATTTATGTCAAACTTACAAGCTTTATCATGGGCATTAGGATGTCTTGGAGAATTATCACCTGGACAATCAATGGCACCATCCTGGCTTCCAGTGTATGCTATAAACAAGTCAAGCAAATGGTCAAATTTTATCATCAATAAAATAACTTTTCAAAATGGTGTATTTATCTTTCAACATTGTTTTTATGTCTGCTACTCCAACTCTAGTTAGAGAGTAAGCCAGTGTAGGACACAGTCACATAATTTGATATAACCTTATCAAACTTGAAGAAAGTCAACTCTTATAGAATATAGATGTAGAATGTATACATGTAGTAGCTTTCTCGTATAACCATAGATATTAAAGTAGAAGAAAAGGACAATATAATATCTTAATATCTGAGTATGTCGAAAAATAACTTGGTTGAAACCATTCCATACAAGGATGAAGCATCCGTTTTTTATCTTCTGCACCAGTGTATGAAAACATTTGATCTTATATTGCAAAAAGTTAAAAATGATTTGTTGGTCCTAGCAAAGTACAAAATTTTCTAAAATTTAACACAAAAAAATCTATAAAATATGAAGGGGTTAGTATCCCATCAGTTTACTTTATGTACTCACGTTTGAGGAAGGTATCCAAATGGTCTATGTATGTCTGGTATGACTTAGGGTCAGCAGTAAATCTTACTAATGTTGTTTTTAACCCTGGCATTGGTCTATAACCCAAAGCTATAAAGAAATTCAACTTATGTCAATACAAAATCTTTATCACTAGTCTTGACTTGATGAAAACCCAGGTCCCTATTCCTTCTTATTAAGACTGGCAAGACTAGGAGGTCAGCATAAAAATAAAACCAAATTTGCCCAGGAAAAATTGAACTCATTTTGTTATCATTTTGTTATTTTCTATATAACAATGAAAAGTTTCAGGAAAGGATTCGTCTTTGTAATACATTAATCAACTTAATCATTATACTGTAGATTTTTGGCAGTAAATTATAACAAAAACTTACCTGGATTAGCTTTGAGAAGACTGTCTGCTCCCATTAGTCGTGGTTCTTTATCATCAACCAACTGATAGAAGATGGCTAAGGCAGCAGCAAAGAAACCAGAAAGACATATGTAGTAGATAACGTAGAAGAAACCAATTCCAGCTGAAAAAAATACAACTGACAATGAATATATATCAATTTAAAATGGTAAATTGGTAATGAAGCAAATTTTTGCATTTGATTTGCTAACATAGAATAATTTATAATTTTTAACTGCTATCATTCTACATGTATCTATAATTTCAACCTATCAAACCTATCACAATGGCAAGTCATCTTTTACATGGGACCCTCATTCATAAATCATGATTGTCCAATTGGTCCAATTTAGTTTTCTTGTTTGAATTGTTTTACATTTGTCATTTCGAGGCCATTTATAGTGGACTATGCTTTATGGGTTTCAATCATTGTTGAAGGCCATACAGTCACCTATATTTGTTAATTTCTCGGTCATTTGGTCTATTGTGGAATGTTGTCTCATGGCAATCATACCACATTATTAAATATGAAACCAGAAGTCTGCTCCTCTATATCATAAAATCAATCTAGCAATTCAATTTTGCATCTGTGTAACCTTTACGTAAACTTGGTTTGTACCCAGTTATATAGCTACATGGTATTGGTGTACAATATTAAATGACTATAACAAGACTTGGAAAACACCATTTCATTTTCAAGATAAAATGCTCTGCTGGGCGCAGCTTGATACGACCGCAGAGGTCGAACCCTGAACAGTTGGGGCAAGTATGGACACAACTTTCAAGCTTGATACAGCACTGAATTTGGATTGTGATTAAATATTTGACACAGCATAGGTTTTGACACAGAATGAATGTGGTCTAAGAACTTAAAAAAATTTAATTTACCTATTCAAACCATATCATTATTATTTGCTTTTATATATAAATCAGAAATAACCAATTTAAAATGGAAAATTTTAAAGAAAAAAAAAGGAAAAAAAAAATCCCTCCCCCAAATTTTTTGAACCCCCTTATGATTCATGATCACCCCCAAACTCAATCCCAGCCTTCCCTTTGTGGTATGGTACCTTGCAGTACAATTTCAGAGAGATCCATACACTTGAACACAAGTTATTGTCTGGAAACTAGAAAAATGCTTGTTTTTAGGCCCCAAATTCCTAAACGTTTAGGGCAATTACCTCCAAACTCAAACCCAGCTTTCCCTTTGTGATATGGAACCTTGTAGTACAATTTCATAAAGATCCATACACTTACACACAAGTTATTGTCCTGAAATGAGAAAAATGCTTTTTTTTTTCCCTTTTTGGCCCCTAATTCCTAAAATTTGGAGGCAATTACCCCCAAAATCAATCCCAGCCTTCCCTTTTGTGGTATGGTACCTCGCAATACAATTTCAGAGAGATCTATACACTTGAACACAAGTTATAGTCTGGAAACTAGAAAATGCTTATTTTTGGCCCCTTATTCCTAAACGTTATGGGCAATTACCCCCAAACTCGATTCCAGCTTTCCCTTTGTGATATGGAACCTTGTAGTACAATTTCAGAAAGATCCATACACTTACACACAAGTTATTGTCATGAAACTAGAAAAATACTTGTTTTATGCTCCTTTTTTGGCCCCTAATTCCTAAAATTTTGAGGCAACTACCCCCAAATTCAATCCCAGCATTCCCTTTGTGATATGGAACCTTGAGGTAAAATGTCAGAGAGATCCATACACTAACACACAAGTTATGTCTGGAAGTTACAAAAATGCTTATTGTTGGTACCATAACCCCCAAAATCAATCCCAACCTTCCTTTCGTGGTATTGAACCTTATGGTAAAATTTCATAGAGATCCATTCCCTTAAACTTAATTTAGAGTGCGAAAACCAATGTGTCTTCGGATGACATCGTCGACGAGGACGCCGCCAACATCGTACCAATATACGACCGCAAATTTTTTTTTTTGCGGTCGTATAATTAGTGTGGTGACCCCTGACTTGGTAACTTTTTTATTCAGGACAATTTGCAGGTGAAATCTATGCATAAGGCATCTACTGATATTATCTGTACATCAGACTGTTCATAAGTTGATACTTCAATGTGTTTATAACGTGCAAGTAAATGTTCTACACTGTTTAATTCTGTTAATGCACCTTTCACAATGTATGCAAGTTCCTTGAAAAGGCCCGAGACCACAATTAATGACCCCGCTTTTCGATGTCTACGAATATAGTTCATTGTTATTTATATGGTGTCTTTTTTCTTTATTTTTGTTCTCTGCCTTCCTGATTAATTTCTTATTTTTTATAGGGTGGACATGAAAGAAGAGAGTTAGAATAAATGTTTAGATGCATTATTTTAACTATTCAGTAGTGGGAATGAGTGATTAGGCCAGTTGCAAAAGGTAACATTTATAGTTTTCGGATAATCTCTCGACTTGTAGTATGGATGTGTTTTGGCTAATTTAATGACCTGCACAGAAGGGATTTTCCTAAAAGTTGGATATATTGTGAGACTTGTACTGTACATTACACATACCAAAAATTTGGAAATTTTCAGGTAAATTTTTTTTAATGTAAAAAAAGTTATTAAGAAATGACAGGGAAATTAATTGTGGTCTCTGGCCTAAGAGGTGCATTTCAGCAAATATTGAATTTGTACTTTGACATCTTCCCTGAATGATCTATTGGTATTAATTTGTCAAACTACATGGGAATAAATGATTTCCACTTTTATTTGATAGAAATTTTGTAAAAAAAATCACATTTCAGCTTACATGCCCCAAATTTAGCTTTTTCAGTTGTTTCAATATTTTTACAAAAGTAGCATGCTAATTACTTTCTCTCTGACATTATTATTTTAGTAAAATATATATATATATATATATATATATATTATGATAAAAAAATGTATTTCATCATAAAAAAAAACACAATATGTTTTTAAGCAAGCCAGATAAAAATGACATTTATTTTACTACAATACAATATAATACTAACAAGCAAGCTCTAGTGTTATAAACAGTTCAAGTAAATAAACATAATAACATTTACACAATTAATTCCTCCTAGACATACATTATACAGTATATTTGACTCTCCTGTCAATTCTTTACAATGAAGTTATGTAACATTACATTAACACAGAGATAATGAATTACCTGGTCAGTACAACAATTACATCACATGCCCTGGAGTTCACACTTAAAATTACAAAATAAATCTCAAATGCCAACATTCAAACCTTTGTTCTCAGACAATACAATTCATATTATTATCATATCTTTGTAATAATGTGATAAAATATCAAAATTTGATAATATCACAGCATGTTTTTAAGCTCTTATAAATCAATGATTTTCACCCAAAAAAAAAATGATTTTTTTGTGAAATATATTCTGCAATAAAAAATATCCAGACTTTTTAACAAAGTGTATCAAAATAGTCATTGTATCAGATAAGAAATTTTAACTATATAGATTCCCTGACATACATTTGTATTTCAAATTTTTCATCTTCAGCTTTTTTGAGCACTTTGTTGTCAAGGTTGAAGAATTAAATAATTAAAAGAACTATGGGGTGTTTAACGACATTGACTACCCATGAGGGCTTTGCATGTTTCATTTCAATATACTTCATTGTTATATCATTGTGATATCAAAAGTCATTTAAGATTGACCCGAAAAGTTATGACTATGAAATTGTTCCAGTATACAAAACAAACAAATGCACTTAAAAGGCCTTTAAATTTTAAAACCTGCACATATATAATTCACTCAAAAATGCAGCACCATGTCTTGAGGAACTAAGGTCCTGTAACTTACTTCTACAGTTAATGTATGAAATTAGGAAAATTTCAAATTTTAACTCAAATTATGTTTGAAACTTATTTAAATCCACTAGAACAGCATGTGCCAGCAGCCTAATAACTAAATTGGCTTTCTAGCTTGCTGACAAAAGGTTCTGGAATAGACTTCATGTAATTAAACTATATGTGCTTTATTTGTCCTGGAATTTTTTTTTAAAGTAACCACCTCCTTTCCAACTACTTTGTCAGGTTAGACACAACCCACCAAATGGGGAATAGTTCCCCAAATGAGTTTAAGGGATATTTTTTCAAGAGTTAACAAAACTTTTTTTTATTCCAAATTCATTACTTGTAAATGCCTCATGGAAAATGCAGCTGCTTTTCCAAAAGTTGGGAGTCCTTAACTGATATACAAAGACAATAGATTTAAGAAAATTATCATGACATAATTTTTGGGCTTGAACACCTTTAATACTGTCATTTGGCTATTTTTCCTATATTGAAAGTCCATAATTGTTTATCAAGCAATTTTCTACTCATTAAGTTTTCATTATATTCGAAGATTGTTTGAAGTATATTTGTTTGTTATTTATATAATTTTGTCTTCCTTTGCTTTCTCTTATTGTGAACATGTGTACATGTATTTATTTTACAAATTAATTTGATTGAAATATATATATATGACAAATTTAGACAAAAAATACTTGTTCTTTATCATCAGAAAACCAGAATGCTTTAAATTTGAGAGATAATATTATGAAAAATACCCAAAATAAGCTAGTGACAATCTAGTTGCGGAACCGTAGCTCTTAGGACCTTATGATATTTTTTGACAATTTGCGGACAAGAGCTACGGTTCAGCAGCTAGTGACAATCATGCTTCCAAATTTTTGGTACCACTGAGATTTAAAGCCAACCACAATATTCTTGTTTAACTGTGTAGTTTTATGTGAATAAGAAAAAAATGTAGAGGCCCATACTCATTGCATAACACTGCAGTACACGTCATATGCATGTGCAGATTTAAAATATCAGAATCAACATGAACTATACCTCAATAGTAATATTGAGAATTATCAAATCAAGAAATGTCATTCATAACTAAACAAGTATTTAGACAGATCAACTTTCATGTTCATTTATATTGTGTACACATCCCATGTATTAATCACATGAAAGTTTCTTTTGACATACAATTTACTTGCTACCTTTCTTTGACCTTTTGTGGTTCACTATAGGTAAAATTAACTGTTCAAGGTGACCTATTTGAAGTTGTCCTATCAAACATTTTGTCCAATATCAGGGTAACAATTAACAATTTTCAAAGCGATGATAAAAAATTATCTGTGATGTGAACATGTATTTAAACTTATATTTTTTTAAAAGTTTATCAAGGAAATGCATGGGCATGCTTGCAATCGGATTATCAATAATTTGGTTTATACCCCAATCGTGCCCCAAAGCAAGGACGATTTTACAAAGGTCAGAACCAAAGTTATATTTTAGTAGGAGTAAATATTAAATTTTAATCATTCAGGGGTTTAAATATATTTATTTTTTGCATGAAAGGACATTGAATTATTGAATATTTAAGGAAAACAAGCAAACCGGCATATTCAAAGCAAAGTGTACCGAAAGGTGCCAAGAGGTTTCGGATCTGTTAGGTAATCCAATTTCAGCGAACTTACCCCAGCTTTTAGCTCCTCGACCCATTACAGTTCCATCTTCTGTGTTGCAAAAGAACTTCCCACAGGCTCTGGCTTTGTCGCCTATGGTCTCTTTATGTGGTCCTTTATCCGCCATTTCGTGTCCTTGCTGCTCAAGATGCCAAAATACTACTGAAGCCCCGGATGTAACATTTGTACATTACCCACGTGACATTGACGTAAATTTATTCATTGCGAAATTCAAGCTAATCAATTATACATGCGCCCTCTGTCGGCCCTGTCATCGAGTAGTACGCGAACAACTGGATTATTCGGGATAAATAAAATTTTTACGGCTTGCAGTCTTGTTATTGACTGCTCAATAGGCTAACATGCTAAACAACTGATCTTTGAAAATAAACAAAAAATGCTACATAGAATTTTTTTCCATGTACATATCATGCAAATCAAATCAAATAATTTTATTGGTGTAAATTCCAATACAGGAATGATACCAGCTGACATTTACAAATGTACAAGTACAAAAATAAACAAAAAACAAAGACATATTTTCTGAGTTGTCTCTTATCATTGAGATTCTCAATGATAAGAGACAAATATTTTATAATATAACTGCATTGCGTATGTATGTAGTAATGTGAAATTGTGATTTAATGAAAAAAAAAGTGCCTCATGCCACGAAGAATAAAAAGTTATGAAACCTAGGACTAGTATACGAGGGTAGGAATGCCCGTTGACGTCAGGCGTCAAATGAGCCTTAATTTTCAGTTATCGTCATTCGTCAGATCTCATTTTGTAACTACCGTTAGCGTCTATTGGAGTAAAATGTTTATCGTTAACGTTATCCTAACAAATATATTCATGATCGTCATTCCTACCCTCTTATACTACATAAACATTATTGGTTTTAAAGAAAATAGTCGCACTGCTGATCACATTTTTACACTAAAATCAGTAATTGATCATTTTAAACAACAAAATAAAAAGGTATTTGCAGCTTTTATCGATCTTAAAAAAGCCTTTGATACAGTTTGGCGACTATGATTGTTTTATAAACTTTTGATACATGATATTCCAAATAGATTTTTTTTAGAATTGTTTATTCATTAATGTATACTGACTCAGTATGCAGAATCAAGTTCTCAAACGGACTCAGTTCGGCATTTTTATCTGAGCGAGGAGTAAAACAAGGAGATACATGTACTGAGCCCTGTACTTTTTAATTATTTATATTAATGACCTTACCAATGCTTTAAGCAGTTATAACTCTGATCCAGTTGTAATTGGGGTCTTTTCTTTAAATATTCTTCTATATGCAGATGATGTTGTTTTATTGTCTCAAAGTAAATAAAATGCTCCGCTGGGGCGCAGCTTGATACGACCGCAGAGGTCGAACCCTGAACAGTTGGGGCAAGTATGGACACAAAATTCAAGCTTGATACAGCTATGACTTTGGATTGTCATTAAATATTTGACACAGCATAGGTTTCTGACACAGGATGAATGTGGTGTAAGAACTGGAAAAAATTTAATTTACCTATTATGGTGGAATATCCATAAACTAAATTGTTTGTTAATTTCAATATATCAAAGAATATGTAGAATTCAATGTTTGATGTAATGTAATAAAGTTGAAATTTGGACCGTTTTTGTTCAATGTGGACCAATTTGGTAACATGTATAAATAATCAAAAATCTAAATACATGGGAGCCCATTTAAATACATCATAAAGGTATTAAAATAGAAAGTGACATCATAGTCATGGCTAAAAATAAACAAAAATCCTTAATCAGCAACATTTAAAGTAATATCTAAAAATAAAATTCCTTTGTAACCATAAAAGCCCATTTAAATACATCATAAAGATATTAAAATAGAAAATGACATCATAGTCATGGCTAAACATAGCAAAAAACCCTTAATCAGCATCATTTAACAGTAATATCTAAAAATGGAAATTACATCATAAAGGTATTAAAATAGAAAAGACATCATAGTCATGGCTAAAAATAAACAAAATCCTTAATCAGCATCAGCAACATTTTATAGTAATATCTAAAAATAAAATTCCTTTGTAACCATAAAAGCCCATTTAAATACATCATAACAGATATTAAAATAGAAAATGACATCATAGTCATGGCTAAACATAGCAAAAACCTTAATCAGCATCATTTAACAGTAATATCTAAAAATAAAAATTTCTTTGCAACCATAAAAGTAAAATAGAAAATGACATCATAATCATAGCTAAAAATAAACAAAATTTTTTTTTATTGGCAAATTTTAAATGGAGTTTATTATACTAAAACAATAAATTTGCAACCATAAACATGATAAAACCCCATTTAAACACATCATAAAAGTATTAAATAATTCAACTACATCATAAGGCTATAAAAATAGAAAATGACTTCATAGTCAAGGCTAAAGGTAAACAAAAAACCTTCATCAGCAAAATTTTATATTGGCAAATTTCCAATGAAGTTTATTACACTAAAATTGTTGGCAAATTTCCAATGCATTTATTAACAATAAAGTTATTGGCAAATTTCCAATTTACATAATTTAAAAGCAGTGTAGATGAGATATTTAAATGAGTTTGAATTACCAACCTTACACTGCTTTTAAATAATGTTGTTTACTCAATTATTTGTCTATTAAAATGGAAACCCTTGTTTTTTAACCTTTTTTCCCCTTATTCCTTAAACATTAGAGCCATAACCACCCCCCCCCCCCTAGCCAATTATTACTTTCCAATGTAACCTAAATTTCCAATATACATAATTTTAAATTTCAATTCTTCATGATATATAACCGTATCATTATTATTTTCTTTCATATATAAATCTGAAACAACCATCTTTAAATGGAAAATTTTAAAGAAAAAAAAGGAAAAAAAAAAATCCTACCCCCCACACATTTTTTCAACCCCCTTTTGATTCATCATCCCCCACCTCAATCACAACCTTCAATTTGTGGTATGGTACATTGCAATACAATTTCACAGAGATCCATACACTTGAACACAAGTTTTTGTTGCAAACTAAAAAAATCTTTATTTTCGACCAATATTTGGCCCCTTATTCATAAATGTTTGAGCAATTAACCCCAAAACTCAATTCCTACTTTCTCTTCGTGATAAAAAATAACTAACTTAAAATGTAAATTTTAAACAAAAAAAAAAGGAAAAAAAAAAATTACCCCTTTTTTGACCCCCGCCCCCCTTATGATTCATCACCCCCACCCCCCTTTCCCCCCAAACCAAGCTCAATAACAGCCTTGCCTTTGTGGTATGGTACCTTGTAATACAATTTTAGAGAGATCCATACACTTGAACACAAGTTATTGTCTAGAAACTAAAAAATGCTTATTTTAAACCCCTTTTTAGGCCCCTTATTACTAAACGTTTTGGGCAATTACCACAACACTCAATTCCAGCTTTCCCTTTGTGAAATGGAACCTTGTAGTAAAATTTCAGAAAGATCCATACACTTACACACAAGTTATTGTCATGAAACTAGAAAAATGCTTGTTTTTTGCCCCCTTTTGGCCCCTTATTCCTAAAATTTTGAGGCAATTAACCCCAAAATCAATCCCAGCATTGACCCTTTGTGATATGGAATCTTGTGGTACAATGTCAAAGAGATCCATATGCTAACACACAAGTTATGTCTGGAAGTTACAAAAATGCTTATTTTCGGCCCCTTTTTGGCCCCTAATTCCTTAACTGTTGGTACCATAACCCCCAAAATCAATCCCCACCTTCCTATTGTGGTATTGAACCTTATGGTAAAATTTCATAGAGATCCATTCACTTAAACTAAAGTTAGAGTGCGAAAACCATTGTGTATTCGGACGACGACGCCGGACGACGACGACGACGACGACGACGCCAACGTCATACCAATATACGACCTCAAAATTTTTTTGCGGTCGTATAAAAAAAGGAAAAAAAAAAATCCTACCCCCCACACATTTTTTCAACCCCCTTTTGATTCATCATCCCCCACCTCAATCACAACCTTCAATTTGTGGTATGGTACATTGCAATACAATTTCACAGAGATCCATACACTTGAACACAAGTTTTTGTTGCAAACTAAAAAAATCCTTATTTTCGACCAATATTTGGCCCCTTATTCATAAATGTTTGAGCAATTAACCCCAAAACTCAATTCCTACTTTCTCTTCGTGATAAAAAATAACTAACTTAAAATGTAAATTTTAAACAAAAAAAAAAGGAAAAAAAAAATTACCCCTTTTTTGACCCCCGCCCCCCTTATGATTCATCACCCCACCCCCCTTTCCCCCCAAACCAAGCTCAATAACAGCCTTGCCTTTGTGGTATGGTACCTTGTAATACAATTTTAGAGAGATCCATACACTTGAACACAAGTTATTGTCTAGAAACTAAAAAATGCTTATTTTAAACCCCTTTTTAGGCCCCTTATTACTAAACGTTTTGGGCAATTACCACAACACTCAATTCCAGCTTTCCCTTTGTGAAATGGAACCTTGTAGTAAAATTTCAGAAAGATCCATACACTTACACACAAGTTATTGTCATGAAACTAGAAAAATGCTTGTTTTTTGCCCCCTTTTGGCCCCTTATTCCTAAAATTTTGAGGCAATTAACCCCAAAATCAATCCCAGCATTGACCCTTTGTGATATGGAATCTTGTGGTACAATGTCAAAGAGATCCATATGCTAACACACAAGTTATGTCTGGAAGTTACAAAAATGCTTATTTTCGGCCCCTTTTTGGCCCCTAATTCCTTAACTGTTGGTACCATAACCCCCAAAATCAATCCCCACCTTCCTATTGTGGTATTGAACCTTATGGTAAATTTCATAGAGATCCATTCACTTAAACTAAAGTTAGAGTGCGAAAACCATTGTGTATTCGGACGACGACGCCGGACGACGACGACGACGACGACGACGACGACGCCAACGTCATACTAATATACGACCTCAAAATTTTTTTGCGGTCGTATAAAAAGGACTACAAAACAGTCTTAATGCTTTATATGATTATTGTGAATGTTGGAAACTACTAGTAGTTAATACGGATAAGTCCAAAGTTATTGTATTTAATTCAAATGGTAAAACCTTTTTGGACGAATTTACTTATAATGATTCTTGTATTGAAACTGTTACTCTTATTTAGGTATTGTAATAAAATGACATGGTAATTT